GTTGTCGCATCGGCAGCCAGTCCGAGGCCTACATTTTCTCGTTCGGAGTATTGAATACCTTGCAGATGCTGCTGGTCCACAGCAGCTTGGATTGTTCCGTCTGAGAAGTCGGCTGCTCAGTGCATTGTTTCGTTCTGTGAGCTTAGGCATTTTCATCACTGTCCTCTTTGCCATGAGTGGCTTGCGTCTTGGTCAGCATGGATCATGGGAGCAGAAGCAGTGCGGCTCTTCGATGGCTGCTGCACCAAATCGGAGACATCAGTCCCCTGGTCGCACAGCCAAGGAGATGGCAGATGTACGCTGATGTCTATCTTTGGTCAACTTTGCTGGCTGTCGCTGGGCTGATCAAGAAAGAAGGGTCGTGCCACGTACAAGTCGAAGATGTGCAGTGGTTATGATGCCAAGGCCACCATGAATGCGCTTTATCTCATGGTGGCAGCGATAGCCAAAGATGCCACCTCTGCGATCGTTTTCTCCTCCCCGTTCATGATGCATTCTCAGTTTCATAAAAACTGTGGCTTATCTTGGTGTGACTGCTCGACATTTGAGGATGCTCTTCTTGTTGTTCAATGGCTTTACCGCAACGCGATCATCTGTCGTCCCATGGATGAGAGCCTTTATTGCACGCTTTCTAATTGGTTGTGGTCTGCACTACATTCCCTGTGACGCGTCTAGGTTAAACATGTGTGTGTGTGTGTGTCTCTCTCTGTGTGTGTGTGTGTGTGTGTGTTCAGGATGGGCCATTGACATTTCCCCGGTGGCATACAGCATTCAACAAATGGTGTATGCAGCAAAGCTGCTTTCCTGCAGCATGAGTGCTTTCCCTTGTGCGCACACTGCGCGCTGCTTACAGTGATTGTTCCCGAAGTTTGGAAGTGTTGCAACAGTTTGGAACGACTTTTGTGATAGTGTCTTTGAGGCACACATATGCCGATGACGAAAATCTCGTCAAAGGCGGCTTGCTGTTGGAACTGCTGCTGAACACTTGTCTGATGCTAGCGACCAGACCTGGAGCTTTGTTCGACACTGCATCAGGCTATGAGGGTGTGATCCAGCTGTCCGAATACAAGGCTCAGCGAGAAGCGAACTTTACTTGCTGCTACAGAGAGAGATTCTCAGTGTACAGCACTGCCTACAGTTCGAAGTTTCGGTTGTCCACAGAGCTAGTTCACGTCTCTGCAGATGCTGCTAGCGGTTGCGGAGGGGGTCTTTGGCCGGTGAGTTGAAGGACCAGCCGTCCAGAGCGATCGCTGTGGTCGCGATCTGCTTTGGCATCTTCAAAACTGTGCAGCTGATGCCTGCATGCATGCTACGGCGGCTGTCATTGCAGTGCGCATCATGAATTCTCAGAACTGTTGAGCAAGGACGGCGTTCCGACGGCTGAACAAGATTCAGAGGTGATGTTCAAGCTGTGGCGTTTAGAAGCTCGTCCGCAATGTCGCTTTGAAGTTGGAGCCACACTTGACGCAGATGTTGGCACGTGCCAATTAGCCGTTTGACGTCTGAGCTGACAATGCCATCGCAAACAGTGAAAGAGCATGTGGATTTGTGTTTCATGACTGGGCGAAGCCTCCACTGCAGATGGAGTATCACAGCACTAGCTGCGTAGTCAGTTCTGTAGAATGAGCATTCAGTACCCGCAAGCCACTTTTTGGAGTGGTTCATAGCTGGTAGCTCAGGTGTTTATCTACACCTCAATCTGATATTCCGTAGCCAACAGGTGACAGTGACAACTTCCAATGATTTCCAATGCCACTTGGTATTCAGAACAAATAGTGCTCAGTGATATCGCGGCGCGCGTGGTAATACCGTCGGCCATAGCAACAGAAGTTACAACTAGTGCGCAATCGTAGTCGTTGAGAGATCGTCGTCGTCATGGTGCTGCTAGTGGCACTGACGTCAGCAGCAAAAAGGCAGCAGCAGCAGTAAGAGTAGCAGTAGCAGCACGACGAAGAGGGGTAGTACTAAAAGAAACCATAATGTATTGCAGGATACCACAATCTACTGTAACATACTACAGCATACTATCATAAGCATGTTCATGCTGCTCTCAGGCCTGGCTTCGACGTTGATGGTTAACGACCACTTCCGCAGTTTCGCTTTTGTCGTTTTGGCGGCATACGGCTTGGGTTCAGGAATCCTGAGAGTTCAGGGTGAAGGGCTGCCACAGAAGTTGGTCAATGGCTGCTAGAGGAGGAGGTGCCGAGGTACGTTGTCGGACGATAAAAAGCTTGAAATTTGCCTTTTGAGCTCGGCTGTTCAGCCCCCTCTGGGAAGTCGAATACACGTAATTCACTTGTACAGCGTTGCAAAAGTGAACCTCCTCAACAACTGAGGGGAGAGGCTTCTGCCACGTTCCGTGTTGCATGGGACATGCAGGGCCGGACCCAGACGCGGCCAAATGCATTGACTGTAGAGAAGCAGTGGCTGTCCTTCTGAGAAGGAGCACCCATGTCATGTGGCTTCTCAGAAGAAGAGGGGCGCTCCCCTTGGCTTGCGGAACGGTGTGGAAGATGGACCAAACAAAGCACCCTCCCTAAAATCAACCCATAAGCCTCCGAACAAGGGACCCTAACTCGACTTCTGAGACTGTTTCGAAGCCCCTGAACGAGGGCCAGCAATGGCTCGCCATGTGAGCCGGGCTAAAGTCCCGCACTTTTTTCGCGAAGAGCACGGAGCAATGCTGGTAGTGATCACAAACATAAGGCCGAGGCTTCTTGTTGTTGTTGTTGTTGCTGCTGCTAGTGTTAGTGGTCATGCAAGTAAGACCAAACATGAAACAACTCAAGCCCAACGATTTGCCGGAACGTGACACCAAGGACAGCATCCGATAGCATGTAGTAATGTAGTAGTAGCAGTGGTAGTGGTAACGATGACAGTATGTTCTATGGTTCATCACAGTGGTATTCGACAACAGCCATCAGGACGAAAGGAGTGAGGACGACAGGGATATTAATGACGGGGAGGCCATGCCGACGACAAAGGCCAGCACATGTAGTGAGCTTGGGTGTAAGGTGATATGAGAATGGATCTCAGCGAATCTTTCAATCGTGTGAAGGCTGGAAGGGAGGTTAGCGATGACAGAATGAGGATGGGAGGCAACGGATGCGCACGCGGTTTGGCATGGTCCAGTGAGAGCGAGGCAGAAAGATTAATAAGAATGCGGGTGGGGATGGGGAGGATCGGACTGAAGATCGTGTACATCCTGCATGAAGGGTCGAATGGTTATGACTGTCAAGATGACGACCACGACGACGGCTCTGTCTTTCAGCAGCAGTGCTACTAAGTACTCGATTTCGAGGACAGCCTGCCGCTGCAAGTTCGTTCTCCCGGCACCTTTTCAGAGTCCCAGATCCTCTAGCGCCCTTATGTAGCATGTATGCTTGGAGGAGGTGGCAGCACTGTCGCCCAATTCTGTTGCCTTTTTAGGTAAGATCCGATAGAACACTATATGACGGATACATGTTTGTATAGACCCGTACAGTAGAGCATCCTCTTCTGTTTGCATGTATGCATGTGTGCATTGAAAGGAAGAATACGGTTCTTGTAAGAGTTTCTGTGTTGCTGTTCCTACTGGCAATGTATCGTGACGGGCCGCAGCAGGCTCCAAGCGAGTATACTGCAACTTCTTACATCATGGTTTGTTCTTTGGAGGTTCATAACAGACTTGTTTAGCGGACCGTGTCATCGACTATCAGCCCGTTTTCTTAAGCTCCGGCTCCGTGTTCGGTCCCAAGGCTCAGGGGATGGCCATCACCACTTCAGCAGCCGAAGCAGCCAGTGGGTCTTGAGACCTCGCAGGGTTCAGGGCGGCCTGTTCCAGCGATGGCTGCGCAGGCCTCCGAGGCGCTACAGTGCGTTGGGGCGACTCGGAGGCAAAGGAACCAGATCGAAGCTTCCGGGATGGGAGGCCTCGCATTGGAAGCTCCGACGCGGCGGTACCGGTAGAAGTTCAAGGAGACAGAGTCCTAGGCGAAGCCTATCTTAGTAGCCGCCGTGAATGCTCCTTGTGACGACAATACTCATCACAATAATCAAGAGATACGTGCAAGGAAGCATCACAATTAGAGTGCTGCTTGTATGTGCCACAGTGTCATCATCAGCATTCTCAATCACTACCGACCCGAAGCTCCGAAACTCGAAACCCGGTTTGGGATCTGGTGGGACCAAAGAAGCTCTCGGCCGCCAAGGAGGCACTGGGCCAGGCCGAGCGCGCCCTGGAGGCCTCAAGGAAGTTCTGAACTTCCAGCGCCGGTGGTGGTCAGGGCCGATGAGGGTTTAGGGCCGATGTGGCTTTGAGGACTGGGGTGCAGTCTGGAGCTCACAGTGAAGGGCGGGATCTCCTGCTCAGCCCTCGATGGAGGCTGCCATGGCCTGGGAGCTGCGGACGGCCAAGGAAAGCCTCGGTTGTGAGCTTCGGAATAAACAGCTCGAGCTTCGCTTCTTCGGGCCACAGAAGGTACATGGCTGTAGTGCGGAGAGTGAGAATCGTTCAAAAAGCATCCTGTGCTTCTTTCCGTTCCAGTCACTGTCAAGACGGGAGCCGCCCACGAGAGGCGATGATGCAGACCTTCCTCGATCAGGCCAGCTGAGAAGCTTCGGATGCTGAACGAGCTTTCATCAAGCTGTAGGACCTGGGATGGCAGCAGAGCATGCAAACGTGATGCGAAGCTTTCGGAAGAGGCGCCATGAGGCGCCCGTCTCCTGAGAGGTGTCCCGCCGATGCCACGAGCTGGAGGCTGGCTGTGCATAGCCACGGCTGGGTGATGCAGTCATGAAGGGACCTCTCATGTTGGCATGTTGCAGGCTGAGACTGTCATGTTATGGTCTGCTGGTCATGCGATCAAAGGAGTCTTTGCATTTCAAGGTGTTGTTGACTGCATGCGAGATGGCAGAAAACCCGGAGCACATCTTAACATGCGGAAGTTTAGGAAAGCTCAGCTCAAAGTTAATTGACCGTCGACCCCCGTGAGTGAGAATGGACCGTGCAGCTGCAGCAGATGCACTCACCGAGCCACCAGCGAGTCTCGCGCACAAGAGTGCTCCTGCGGATACGGATTTCCCTGTCGGCCGCCGCAATCGTCCTGGGAGTTGCGGCGGTGCTCAATCTGCAAGATGCCGCTCCGAACCTTGCTCTGCTGCAGACTCTGGGTTCCTTCTTTGCAGTTCTGGCTCTGCTGGCGACTTTCCCATGGTTTAGACGCAGCCTGTCTTGAGTCCAGTGTGCGAGTGCGTGGCTGTGCAGTTCCTGTCCTTGCACATTCCCGTAACTTCCCATTGATGGGTGGGGTGCTGTAAGCAGATGAGGAGAGTTCAAATGCTGCTGCATGAGCTCTGGAATCCTGGCCAATGCTGGGGCCATCTTGTCTCTTCTTGATGGGCACGTGCCTGGGCGCAACCTCAAGTACACTTACATTATAGAAGCAAACATTTCGCTGGAGGGTGTGGTTGTCTGCGCAAGGCGCGGTGGTGGCAACAGGCATGGCCTGAACTCCAGAAAGCAGGGTGGTAAATTGACACGACGAGAAGAGACTAGCTGGAGGAATTTCAAGGCATGGAAGTTAGAGCGATCGCGTCAATGGGAGCAACTCCAAAAATGTGACAAGCAAAATGAAGAAGGCCTGCTTTCAGATAAGTGAGTTCTTTACCAGGGCTCCTGAATCAGGGGATTTTAGAGTCTCTGGGTTTTGGCTGAGGTGCTCATTTCGTTGCTTTACTCCATCGGCCTCAGCAACGGCATCGTTGCACTGGCTGTGGGACTTCCAGTCTTCATTGCTTTGGTGGCGGTGCTCATAGATGGCTTGGTCCGCCTTCCCGGCCATGCCCCCCGGCGGCACCACGTGGCATCCAGGATTCGAAGGCTGTGATCGTGTGCATCAAGCCACCGCTAAACTGCGAAAGGTGTTCTTTGCTTGCTCAGGCGTGCTCCTTCCGCTCCAGCTGGGAGGCGAGTGAGACTGGAGTCCAGTCCAACATCTTTAATCAGTCTTCATCTTCGACGTCCCTGAATCGTTCACTCTGCATCCTCCATGACTTTACACAAAGTCTCTGTGCGGGTGTAGGCTCTGTCTGCTACAATTGATCTGGCAGCATCAGTCGGAAGCCGGAAGGCCAGGGCGAGTCTGCTAGCATCCTGCTACCAAAGGCGACCTATCAGTCGCACCGCCATCACATACGAAGAAGCGCAACCTGTTCAAATTTCCCAGATCCTGCCTGAAGCCCCGAATCAAAGACACCGAAAGAAGCACACCATTAGAGTCTATTAGAGCCCTAAACACTAATCCCGAAGGGCCAAAACGAAAGCTAATACACTCTTATCGGAGTGAAGGTGGGAGCTGCTGCCTGGTTGGACCTGGACGCAAAGTCCCCGATACCGGCCCGGTGCTCAGTATAACTTTAGGGTTTAGGGTTTATAGGGATCAATTTAGGGTTTCGGGTTCTATGTATAACGTTAGGGCGAAGAGTCAGGATAGCTAGCATCAGCTTTGACCTTTCAGTGCAGTGTGCATTGTGAGCACTTTCGGTGCCGACCGGCCAGGATTCGTGTTTTGTGCGAGAGAGAGGAGTTGGTGTTCCTGAGAAGCACGCTGTGATTTCTTGTGATTACGCCACTTGTTGATGTGATTCTTTCCCCCGCATCAGCTTTTTTAACCTTCCGGATAGTTAAGTTGCTCCTTCCCTGACGGTCGCTGCCGAGGTTTGCTGCATATCGATGTCCATCCGCGCCTGCATCAAGGCGCCCCGCTAGCACCGCTACCATGGCCCGAGCCCGTGGTTTTCAGAGTTCTTGCGCAGTTATTCGGGGGCCTCGTCCTTTCTCCTTTCGTCGATTTTTTTCTGCCCTCTGTCGCTGACTTCTGAGCCGAGTCCAGGCTTGGCAAGCCGAGTCTGAAGCCCGGAAGCCAGGCGACATTACTGGCGGCTCTCGGTGGCTCCCTTGTCGCTGGGCTCTATGCGGCGCTGCATCCCAAGCTGGCCAAAGCGCTCTCGCCTACATTGGTCTGAGCCCTAGAATGCTTGAGTTCAGCTCCGGGTCAGGCACCATCGAGAACTTCCGAGCCCGGCCGTGAGACACGAACCTATATCAATCCCTCCCAAAGCATCTACAGATTCAGCCAACCCCTGAAATTCCTCAACGACACGAGGATCTGCGGTTCGGACTTACAGCTAAGACTCTGAACCTCGCACCAGTTCAGCCTGAAACAAACCCCAACCCACCCGCCCCCAAAACCAAACGACATTTTCGTTGACTCGTTCGATAGCTGAGTCTCTTCTATACACACACAGATACATACATACATACGTACCCTATACCTTCACCTCAACTCCAAATGCCTTACATGCCCTACATCCTAGCCCTAAATCCTGGTCCTAGTCTAGTGTACATGCCCTAAATCCGACATGTCCGTTTAGGGTTTAGGGTTTGGGTGGAAATCGAAGCTTCTTTGCAGGGTCCCTTTCTGGCCTTCGCTCCGATGCCGCCGCTGGCGATCGGAGCTCTGCTGGCCTGGCCCAGGGGCCCGGCGGAGCCGCTTTGGAGACCGGAGAACCCCCTACAGTTAAAGCCAGAAAGTTGGAATATGATGATCCTAAACCCTTTATGGTAAATTATAGGGTATCCTACCCTGAAACCATATTCCAACTTTCTGGAGTTCCTTTTAACATGAGGATTAGTTTTCATGTTCAATGAAGACCAATACGACTATTAGTGTAGACGCTGCAGCTGGCATTATACCAGCTGTAAGGTTTACACTAATATTCGTACTGGCATTCCTACTAATATTGACTTACAGCCCCTTTTGGGAAACTGTCTTTCTGCGAGGGCCCATTCGGACCCTGACTAGAGGCCCTGTAGAAGGGAGATTGTTTGTTTTCATCAGGCTTCCTGCTGTAAGAGTTCCTAGATGGATTGCTGTGAGTGAGGTTCCTTTTGAGGGTGTAATGGCTCCTTGAGGGGGTCGTGGGCTCTAGGAGTTTGGGTTTAGTGGCTTTGGGGCTTCTGGATTTAGGTTTTGCAGGGCTTGAGGGTTGAAGGCCTCCGTCCTGCGCTTTTTTGGTGGCAACATCTACATTCACTCTAGCGATGTGGTAGGTCAGAGTGGGCAACTTCCTGGAGGATTCTGTTAGGCTGTGGATGTCTGCCCAGGCTGATGAACCTGTCTGCACGCGCGCGTTTGGCAAGATGGACTCTTGTTGTTGCCGCCTTTGGGTCGCTCTTCATCTTCGCCGCCAAGGGCTCAGATGCCGTGCCCGGCTTCCCAAAGGAAAGCATCGCACCTGTCTTAGTTCGTCTGAGCTCTTAAGTGGAGATCCTCTTGTCATTCAAGTTTCGCATCGCCGGAAACGTCTCACTCCAGTAATTGACCCTCGTCGTACCATACATGAAGCCTGCATGCCTCATGCTTGAGCTCAAATGCCAAACGCCAACTGCAACTAACACATGTCAGCCCGAATCTACAAACTGATTCAAATCCGAAGTAAAGGGGTGGTTCGAGCGATCCCAAACTGTAGCCGAAGCAGTTGCCATCATCTTCATTGCTCCTGACTTCTAGGGCTTAAGCCCTAGAGCAGGAACGATCCGGGACCCCAACTTCGAAGCTTTGTATTGCCTGCACCAATTCCCTAAACCCCTCTTAACCCTAAAAAATTAGCCGTATTAGCCCTAAAAGCCCTAAACCCTGTTAACCTTATAAGCCCTAAACCCTAAACCCGAAACCCTAAACCCGAAACCCTAAACCCGAAACCCTAAACCCTAAACCCGAAACCCTAAACCCGAAACCCTAAACCCTAAACCCGAAACCCTAAACCCGAAACCCTAAACCCGAAACCCTAAACCCGAAACCCGAAACCCTAAACCCGAAACCCTAAACCCGAAACCCTAAACCCTAAACCCGAAACCCTAAACCCGAAACCCCAAGAACCTGCAGCCTGGAATTTTGGGTCCCGACTTCGCATTTCGACCGAGGCCTGGTCAGGCCGACTGCTGGAGGCACAGCTCTGTTGTCCTTGGTCGAATGTTGGGGCCTTAAAAAGTAGGAAGTAGCGGAGTAGCGATTGTTGGGGTTAGAGTTGTAGTATACTTTAAAGTTTAGTTATCTTAAGGAAGCCCCAAAACCCTATTCTAATTACAAAGGGCCCCTACATGAAGCCGCCTCTTTGCTCTTTGAATTCTGCCCTGGTACAGGTGCATGGGACCTGGACAAGCTGCAAGAACGTGGACGATGAGTGCGTGGCCTTGGCCTCTCGTGGTGACTGCCGCCAGGAGAGCAAGCAGCCTGGAAGAAGTGTTGCGAGTCGGTCTCGGTCGCCGGTAAGCCTTCGGACGCTGTCGGTGCCTCTGCGAACAGAGAGCCTGAGGTACTTCGACTACATGCTGCTTGCCTGCTTGTGGAGGTCTAATGCTTTTTGCGTTTCGCTCCTTTCTGCATCCGTGTCTGCACGTCTGCAGCGGAGGATGGCCAAGTGCCGGAAGGCCTGTCGTGCCTGCACGGACGTGAACTGGGGCCTCGCCGGAGATCTCAGCTTGGCCGTGCTGACAGTACTGGTACTGCAGACACTGCGCTTCGTGGGGGGCCTTAGACCACTTAGAGGGATCCACTGTCCTTTTTGGTTCGTGGTGGTTGGGGTGGGCTTCCAGGCCTACTGCTTCTACGAGTCTGCGCGCCAGCTGCTCTTGGCAGACAGCCATTTGAGCTTCGGCGCAGAATGGATTCCTGTTTTTCTGGCGTACTTATACTTCTCGTGTTCACTTCTGAGAGAGCTCATTTTAAGGACCTCCGATCCACCAGAGTTGTCCTTCCACGAGCTCGCAGAGGGGCCTGGCCGGCGTGGCTCTGTGCCCAAGTTGCAAGAGGAACCTTGTGCTGAAGAGCTCGGAATACGACATGCGCGAGCTACATGCCAGACAGCTTGCTCTGCTCGAGCCAGTTGTTCAGACTGAAATGCAACGTCTCGCAGTTATTCCTGCTGAGGTGCAATATGCGATCGACAGTCAGCTTGAGCTTGCAGAGCCGCTGTCAGCAGCCAGCCACACCACATCTGAGCTGAATCAGGCACATGTTGCTGCACGTGTACGTAGCCGGAGTGCAAGGCCTTGCGCCTGTTTCATGCCTATCATGGCTGAGTCCTTTCTTGCAGGAAGATGCTATGCCCATACGGGGTACTGCAGAGCCAGCAAGCGGCAAAAGTCTGGCCGGCTTATTTGCAGCCCGCCGAGAGATCACAGTAGTTTCGATCTTGCCTTTGCGTCACTTGGCTCGGCTGCATGTGCTTACTCAGGCAGCCCCCGCGACAGTCAAGTCTTTCAAAGAGGAGCTTGTTGTTACATTACATGCCTTGGCACGAAGTTGAGTCGAATCTCAGTGTTGTGTCTGCAGAGGAGGAAGGCGAGCGAGAGCCACTGCAAGCGCTGGGTGGGCATAGCCCTGTCACGGCGGCACGGCAGCTATCACCAGGATCTCTTCCTACGCTGTCGTCCGTGCGACTGCTGGAGCTCCCTCCCGAGCAGTCCTCTGTCAAGGAAGACGACGGTGAGGCAAGCTTTTTCGACTGTGAATCCCTAGCTGGAGACGGAGAGGACTGAGACGTCCACACGCTCCTTCGGTGAGTTTCTGGCCCGCGCACCCTGGTCTTGGATCCCTGCGAGGGTGCGGCGCAGTGGCTTCCTGGCAATCTTTGCAAAGGGAGTGCAAAGGGCCGTGCAGGATCGTGGAGGTTTCAGCGCACCTCAAGCTGGCCGAAGATCGCCGAGGATGCCAATCAGAAGGCCGAGAGCGCCACGGACCGACGAAGGTTTTCAAGGCAGGACAACGTGCTTCAGAAAGCTCCATTCGAGGAGGAAGAGGGGTGACAGACAGAATGGGTGCAGAAGTGGTCGCAGCGAGACGCAAAAACCAGCACGTGTGGCATGACGCGTCAGTTTGCTCGTGCTTGCTTTTGCAGGTATTGGCGTGTGGATTGTGCTTCCTTTTGTTTCACCATCTACGTTCCAAGCTGCGATTGTTCTGAGCACGACCATGCCGTTGCCGGAGAACCGCAGGCCAGCGAGATGGGGCCGATCGAGCCCTCGCCGCGGAGCCAAGATAACACACACCTTGGCTTCACGATGTGGATCGAAGTCTGCGTGTTTCGTTGGAGTTGCTGATTTCCCAGCCTCTGTTGCTGAAGGTCTGGCCAAGATGCCGGCGGCCGAAATCCATGGTAGACAGCAGATGTTGCTGTTGCAGTCGAGCCATTGCCGGCGGGTCATCCGGGAGTTGCCGCACTCAGGCACTGGATGACTGGTACAGCGACCCCTGGGCATCACCAGGCCCTCCTCAACTGGTACCAGCATTCAAAGAACTCGTGTTTATCGTGATCACAGTAGTACCAAGTCTGGTAGTAGCTTTCTTGGAAGCAATATTGGTAGGCTGCAGATGTCTGGGATTCCCATGCCCTGGGATGTTGCTAGCTCTTCGCAGGCATTGCCCGCAAGAGTTCCTCAAGCTCACGGCAGGGAGACAGGCGACCGCAAGATTTGTTCAGATGTCTGGGGTGCGAAACGTGGGTAGCACCAAAAGATCTGTCAGGATTCCTGTCTCCTGCCTCAGGTTTGTGTGTCTGCAACCTTGACTGCTAGGTATCTACGATGCCAAAGCACATCCTAAGCACCAGCTTCCTGGACTCATTATTGAGACGTGCACATGTACAGAAGAAGCTCTAGCACCTAAGAGCAACTGCAACCGTTGCACTCATGCTACCATGCGTATCTGTTTCAGACTGAAGCCTGCACACCTTACACAGGGTACAACGCCCGACATTCTTGAAACTCCGGCCTCAGCATCCCTGCTGCATCGCATAGCAGCGACAGCACAGACCTTGATCCATTGATTGCAGCAGTGTGATCTCCATCAAATCCAACACCAAACCCTAAGCCTGAGTCCGAACCCTGTCATCCTGACCTCTGCGAAGGCCCTGAAACGACTAAACCTGGCAACCGCAAGTTCTGTGTGCCAGGCGCGGGCCCAGGAAGACTTCCGGAGGGCTGCGTGGGCCGGAGGTGCGAAGTAGAAGGAGTGGCTCTGGTAACATCGCTAAGTGCCAGCACTCTAAGCATCACCATCCGCAAGTCTCCAGAAGTAGGAGAAGAACAAGCTTCAGGTCGAGACTTTCTGCTTGGAGCAGCTGGATGATGCACCCACAGAGGCATGGACTGGTCCCAGCTTCCCAGAGCTGCAACTGACGGAGTGTTGCATAAGTCGTTTCGTTCAAGTGGCTTGCGTCTCCGACCAGTTCTTCCACGCCTCTCGATACATGCTGGCCGCGCCCGACGCACGAACGGAGTCTGCTCGTAATGGATTGAACAATCGATGTTGTGCTGCCATCAGCGGTGACAGTATCGTCGACCGGTGCTGAGACGCGAGACACAAGCACAGATGAGCAGAGCTCTGTACAAAAATGAGATCCCCCAAACTCTGGGCCATATCGATGCAAGGACTATGACCCAGGCAATCCAGAGAAAACGAACTTAGCAGAGGTCTGGTGAGGCCCGAGCATGCCGCGGCGGTGCATGAATGTGTGTTCAGAAGGCTTCCTGTTGGATGATACCCAAGCCACGCGACGGACAGGGTCAAGCAGAGCAAGGCGTAAGCAGATTCTGGGCTGCGTGTACGATTGCGCAAACCCAGTCACATTCTTTAGGATTTCCAGCATCCACTGTTTTGGCCAATCAAACCAACGACGGCGAGTTCTTCTCAGAGCAAGGACATGAATCGCAAGTTTTCTTCGTGACTCTATGCAGTCCAAGCACCAAGCAATACCCTGAGCCTGCCGTGCCCGATTTTCCGAATGAAGCCCGGAAAGGATCAGAGCATGACCGTGCTCATGTTTTGAAACGGTCCAACATGAGCTGAATCGGCAGAGCATGGAAAGGCCAGGCACCACCGTTGAGGCCCAGACATTGTAAGCACAAGCTCTTGGCCAAGCAAGAATGCTTGGCGAGTTCGCAGGCATGCTAGTTCTCCACCTGTATGTTCATGATGGTCCACTGGGTTGCTATGATCAAGCATGAAAAGTTCTGTTAATTTTGTGTGCATGTTTGTCCACCAAGATACCACTTAGAGCTCTGGATGTCGCGACAGGTGGCCGACGCCGCTCCGCTGGAGGCCAAACCCGGCCTATTGAGCCTCAAAAGCCCTTCCGAACTCCGAAAAAGCAACGGGACAGGATGTTTCAGATCCCGGCGGGGGACCCAGCGAGCCGCAGTGGCAATATGGAAGGCCGGCTTGAACAAGCGTGAGAACCGATTTTATTCACTGCACAGACTTCGCTTGTGCAGAGCTGTGAAAAACGCGACGGGACCCATCCTCTTTGCTGTGCTACACGGGGCGTCAGCTGCCTTCGTTCTCTGCTCTCTGCATGGGGTGCTGACGTGTCGGGCCCGGAGGTGTGTCGCGCTGAAGCTAGTGGCGCACAGCCCGCACGGCAACAGCGCACCTCGGCGTTTTTCGGGTCGTGTGTCAACGACATTGGTCCTGAGCGAATCATTGTCGCTGAGTAGAACATGAATCCGCGTATCCCTCGGGGCCTGATGTGTAGATGAGGCATTCGAGCAGCTCCTTCCGGTGCTTCTCACGGTGTTCCAGGTGAGCGATGATGAAAGGCCCACGCATGGCGAGCTCTGTGCGACTTTAGCGCGCCTCAGCGTTGGCCTGAAGGAAGAGCTCCTTTCTAGCGAGACGGAGGCAACAAGGAAGCTCGTGGTGGACGGGCTCTGAGACGGGGTTGCCTCTGCTCTTGAAAGCAATGTCTCCACCATGTGTTTGTCGGTCTACTCCAGTCGAGGTCCCAGGTCCTGCGATGCACAGCGGACAAACCGAGCACCTTGGCAAACTTCACACAGCTGACGGCTACAGATGGCGACTTTGCAAAGCTAGCGAGCGCAGACTTATTGCGCACCCAGGTTCGGAAGAGCGCGATGCTCTGACAAGATAGCTTGTTTCAGTGTTTCACGGCGCCAAAAGGAACCAGGAGAGATGTTTTGCGTTGCTTTGCGGATTTATGTGCGTGCTTACCGTAATGTCGTGACGAATATTCATTCATCGACTGTCTGCGCTATCGCCGCTTCGAAGGCACAATTTTGGATGGAGACCTGGGCATATGGGAGGGTTACATAGGGGGCGGGTCTTCGTGGCCGTGCAACACTCTCTTGCAACAGCGTCGCGCGAGCCTGAGCAATTCTCAAAAGATACCGTTTTTGTTTGTATGACTCCGCTCCTACGCAGGTGCTGGTATGGTGAGAAAGACAAACTATGACTACGATGACAGGACTCCCGGGTTAGGGAGGCCTGCGCAGGCTAAGCTCGTGCCCACAAGCCCAAGCAGGAGTGATGACGAGGATTTTCAAATCGGTGACGAAGTGGAGATCCACGGTTTGCAAGGCGACAGTTGTACATGTCTTCCAAGTTACCTAGAATCCCCTCCCAGAAGCTTGTGGATTAGTGTGGATCAGAGGCTCCGAATTGGCGAAGTGTTTGTCTCGTGATCTTAGAATTAGAGCTTTGTAACAGCAGGGCGAGCTTCCGTGTAAATGCCTGAAGATGCAAGTCTTTTCGCTTCGATGTGGCCCTCTTTTTTCTGCATGTCTGGGCTCAGCCACAACCCTGAAGATCACGAGCCCTAGCTGCTCAGCTTGCCAGGTGCCAAAGAATTAAATGGTCGGACAGGGCGAATTGTGGCCTATGTCGAAGAGACCCAGCGGTGTGCGCCTTGGAACACCACGGCAACGGTAATGGCAGCAGCAACAGCAAATAGCACAAGCAGCAACAAGTTGCAGAGGCTCCCTTTCCTCAACTGTGACGACGGCTGAGAGGCTCAGGCCCCAAAAACTGCGACAGCAGCTGCAGTTGCAAACTCCACAGGGAAGACACACGCTGCAAGCCCAAGGCGGTAGGACAGCACGAAAGCGCCGTAAATGCTGCACACCATTGGGTAGCTGCTAAGAACGTTTTACCACCCGAAAACGTGAAACGCAAACTGCATGTCATAAGGACCAAGAGCCAAAATGAGGGGGTCGCCAACGCCCCACCCTCACCCCCAGCCCCGCACACCCCTCTGAAATCCCAAGCTTGAGTTTGCAAAGTCGACAAGTAAATCATGAAGCAACACAAGCTGGTTGGGACAATAGGAAACGATTGCAAATAATGCTTCAAAATGATTCAAATGCGTTTGCTGTTAAGAAGGTGTAGAGCAAGTGTACTTGGTAGAGGGGGGCCTGTACTTTACTCCTGCTGCCGCTTATTGCTTCGCCACTCCTACAAGTCCTACGCCTACGCAGCAGCTCAGTCATCCTCATCATCACTGTCATCAACATCACCATCATCAAATCGGTGTGAAGGAAGGGTAGGCCGAGGAATAATCTCAGCAAGGGTGCTTGGGATTTCAGGATCCAGCTCGGCCTCAGGATTCAAGTAAGGGTTCTAGTTGCTAGTGTCCCGCCTTTCGAGTTTCATCTCCCGAGGTTTGGAGTGAAGTTAGACGGCGAGCTGGAGAACAAGGCAGCAGCAGCCCTGGCTTTCTTAGCGCGTGCCGGGCAAAGGGCTTGGCTTACAGGCCCTTCCTCGACCAGGCGTTATTGGAGGCAAAGAAAGAAATGACGTACGAAGACAGATGATCTGAGTCGGACAACGCCGAGGTGCGCCCTGTGAACCTCCGCCGGCTAGACGAGGCCGGGACAAGCCATGCGACGAGACCTGACTCTAACTCAGATATGACTGCTTCTTCTTATCCAGTCAACTTTTGCTGCTCTTCAGAATGGCCAAGCCCCAAACAAGTTCTGTTGCATTGAAAGTTGCCGTTGCAGGAGAACGGCGCCTCCGAACGAGCGCTGCTGGAAGCGCAGCTGGCGCAGGCGGACGGAGCATACGATTGTTAGATCCTTTCTGCCGTCTTTGTGCTTGCTAAACGTTTCGACCCTTGATTGCCCTTGTGATGACTACCGCTGCAGTGTCATGATGGTTAGTGGGTGAACGTTCTATTGTCATTTCTAGTAGTCGTAGTCGTGGTGGTGGCGGTGGTAGCAGTCGTCGTCGTTGTGTTTGTAGCGGCAGCAGCAGCACAAGCAATCAGCAGTAGCGGCAGCAGTGCCGGTACGACCAGTGCTAGTGCTGTGCTAGCGCTGGTGCAATTACCTGCAGGTGGTCGAGCAGCTCAAGGCCGCGGAGGAGAGCGGCGAGGCTTGGAAGCTTCTTCCTTTCTTCACTCGGCGCCGAAATTCAGCTCTGCAACCTAGATAACTTTGCCCGAGATGGGTTTGGCGGCTATTGTTGGGGCAGCTGATCTCGTGGGGCTTGAGTTCGGTTACAGAAGTCGGATGGCGATGTGGGCTGCGATTGAGGGAACATCTCGAAGCACAAAGGCAGTTTTTGGTAAGAATGGTGGTACCAACAAAACTAACATCTAAGACCGCAGGAGTCTGGAACCAGAACAAGACTAACAAGAAGAGTCGCAGTAACTGTTCCAGCAACACTACGACTGTAGCACCAGCAGTAACAATGTTATTGACATGATTGAAGTTGCTTTTATTCGGTCCGAAACACGGTAATCATAGTAGTTCTAATGTCAGCAGTGAGGAATTACATTTAGTTGCAACGATCACACTCGCAGCGGAAATAATTATCAGCATATTGTGGTTCTAAGCTGCAGCGTTCTTACGAACGTCCTGAATCGTCTTAGCAGCTTCATGCACCCAACTTGTCTTTTCGGCTTGACCTCTGCGACGCCTGAGGACAAAAGCCTGTACCAGCGGATGCTGGTCCAGCTCCGAGCTTCGATCTCCACCTGCGTAGCACCAGTTTTGTTGACAATTCAGGGTGAAGCCTGGTGGCGATTTGCATCGCTGTATGCTTTTGATTACTCTGGAAACCCGGTGACTCTCTAGTTTTCCATCTTGAAAATGGTATGGTATGTCTAGACGTCTGACCTGCCAAAGGCCGTCTCATTTGTTAAGCCTTGGGTCGCGCTTCCTCCGGTGTTCTGTTTCTGGGTGCTGCGTCCTAGTCGGCTCGGATGTTATATCCATGATGGCTTGATTTCTTTTGTTTGGGAGTGGCGCACGATCTCATCCTATCAGCCTTTGCTCGGATGAGGCTGAGCTCATCCGGAAACTCAAAGACATCGACGAGATGACTGAGGTGAGATTGCAAGTGCAGATGTGTTCTTTGCACAAACATTTCCGTTTTGGGAGCCAAGACACCTACGACAGATCTGTTCGAGCCATACTTGTAGGCACGCGCAAAGCAGCGGGCCGCAGCGGCGGCCAGCCAGTGCCCCAGGCATCCCCAGGCTATACTAGCTCCTCGCGAATGAACATACTGAGCCATGTCTAGCGGGCTGGTGCCAATGCCTGCCTGCGAAATATCTCTTGTTGTCTGGGTTGTGGCTAACCCCTTGTCCATCTCTTGGTGCCGCCGGCTAAGATGCTGCAGCCGCAGCGGCAGAGGAGGCGGCGGAGAGGGCGAAAAAAGCCCAGGAGGAACGGCCGGTGCTCGGCCCAAAACCTCCAGGCACCAGCGAAGTTTGCTAGACCTCCTTTTCGGGATGATGCGTGGCTGAGTAGGCAGCATCATTACACTCGTGGTGTTGGTCGTTGTCGTTATCGTGGCTGTTGCTTCCACTGTTATAGCTTTTGTTCTCAGTACGGTCATTTTTCTTGTGACTGCTACAGCTGTCGCTTGTTACCAACATTGTTACAGTTGTTTCGCTTTCTGTTGCTTCTACGAGCTCGTGTACCACGAGTACAGCTAGTATGACTTAGATCACTACTAGTGTTGATAGTGCTAGGCTTGATCTGTTGATCTTGCTTCAACAAGCGACCACGACTACTCTTGCTATCACGGCCACTATCTTTAGCAGTACTGGTACCAATGCTTGCAGTGTTATGTTTCTTAGCTGTCTTCTTCACAGCTGTGATTGTTCTCATCTGCACTGTTGTTTTGCCATGAATCACGATAGTCCATGATGATGCTGATGATGATGGCGAGGGTGATTTCTGATGATGATGGAGTTGAGAAAGTTCTTGATGAGAATGATGGCTCTTGCAAATATTTTGCATCGTCACTTCTGATTATGTCTCATGTTGGGAAGCGGCACAGTGGATTCTTCAGTTTCGAAGCTTTGTCAGCAGTTGTACTTCTTAAGGAATTATGGTAACTTCAATTAGATTCCTTAACAAGAACCCTTAAAGTTTAAAGGATGCCTGGGAGCTTACAGCACCCTTAAAAGGAATGCTTGTGCCCCGGTGCCAGGTGCCTCGAAAGCTCCGGAGGGCCTCAGACCGCCGCCCCTGCCAAGGGAGCGCCTGCTTAGGGTTTTGGGTTTAGGTTCAGGGTTTAGGGTTTAGGGTTCAGGGTTTAGGGTTCGGGGTGTAGGGTTTAGGGTTTAGGGTTTAGGGTTCAAGGTTCAGGGTTAAGGGTTTAGGGTTTAGGGTTCAGGGTTTAGGGTTTAGGGTTCAGGGTTTAGGGTTTAGGGTTGACTCCGCCACTGCCTGGGTTCTCGTTAAAGGGATTTTCACTTAAGTTACCATAGTGGGGATAGAGGGTTTTTATGAAAGTCCTCCATGTTAAGGGTATTTAGTTACCATAATAGGGATCTATAGTAAATAGTAGGGTTTCCATATTATGGTAGCTTGAACTAAGTCCCTCAACTTCAAGAACCCAACAGTGCCCTCGGATCTGTACGTTCTCTGCGTCTCCGTTGGACATTGTATGCTGTTGACAGTGCAGGAGCAGCATCACCCACTGCCGCCAAAGCAGCAGAGGCAACATCCACGTTCCAGCTGTGAATGCTCCCAAGCCGTAGATGCCAGACGCGAAGGGTAGGGACTCGTAGCTTGTGCATGCAACCTGTGCAGGGAAAAGGTGGTCAGCGATGCCAAGGCGAAAGCATGCCCTGTTGCTCTGTACTGGCTTGGCTTTGCGACCCAAGCTCCCACGATCGCACCACGAAGCACCCAACCGCCCGCCTCGCACAGCTCGAGCTGCGACCGCCCGCTCCACGTCCGGGACCGCCTCCGGTGTTGCCGCAGAGGCGGCTGCAAGTGAACAGTGTGTGGGAGTGTTTCGGGTTTGCGTGACGTGGGCATGGCACTGGCACATGGGTGATGGGTGTACAAGAGTTTCAGATCGTCACATCAGAGGAACTGTTTCTGGAAGTCGACCTCCCGAGGCTTAGTCTAAGCGGAGAGGCTTGCTGCCTCTTTCATGCGCACAGCCGGACTTTCAGAGGGAGTGAGGACACAGCTTTCGCAGTGGTTGCCTGCAGGTCAGGCGGGAAGCTGATCCCGCCCAAACCGAGCAAGCCCATGTGCCCACCGCAGTGTTAGGGGTCTTTGCCATTGCGATGAGTTCCCACATTGGGTCAACCCGGGTCTGCTTTCAACGCTGCGCCGCAGAGGTACACAGATGAGCATGAGTACCCGGACCCGACCAGGGCATTTCAAGCCGGAAGGCAAGTCAAGTTTGCTCCTGACGGCTGAGGAAGTCTTTGCGTAGGCCCAGGCGAGCAATAGCTCAGGCGTGTTTTCTGCGAGTCGACGTCGGTAACTGCACAAGATTTTCAGATCCCCCTCGCTGCTGACAGGGTCTTCGCGGGCTCAATTCTTTGTGGCATCATAGCTTCACAGGCACGGTCTGCAACGGAGGGTCGGAGGTGGAGGGCTAGCAAATTTCGTGCGGATTTCGAGAATTTGGATGAATAGGAGCCCCGGAGCAGCTTAGAGGCAGATGTCTCTTAAGTTGACAGTGCTGACAGACGAGAGATCCGCATGATATCGCATGATGAAAGTAGTGGTCGCAGTGGCGATGCTAACGGCGTTTGCATGTCCATTTGACAATGTGTGTGCGCGTGTGTGTTTGTGTTTGTGCGTGTGTGTGTGTGTGCATATGCATACATACGAAAATATGTACAGAACGCCAACGGTCAGAACAATGGTTGTATTACAGCTAGAAAGAATGGCAGGCACGGTGACAACGGCGCCCATGACAATCGTTTTGGTAATCAGGTAATCATAATTCTTGGAGACTCTTCGTGCAGATGACAGCTTGTGGTTACACAGCAGTCAAATCAGTAGTGATGAAAATCCCGCTAAAGTGTCGAGAGACAGCTTGCCTGATGCATAACTAGCTGCCAGAACAACTGGCCCTCGGCAGGCTGATTTATTTCCTGCAACCTGGTTTGTTTGGACATTCCTTACAGCCGCCGCCTCATTCTTTGAGGATCTGGGCTTGTGTGCAGATTGGGAAACATGTCTTGATTTCCGTCCGTCTCAAAGATTCTTGTCACCACTGCAGCGCCTGCTGCGGATTTTCCTTCTTTGTTTCGCTGTATGCTGAACAGCAGCATGTTCGATGTAACTATCGGCGCATCGCAGGCGGTAGCGCTACCCTCTTGCCTCCCGGACTTGCGCGTGCTGTCTAGCCTCGTTCGTGGCTCTTGCGCTATTCCAGTCAATTTCCGGTGGTCATTGTAGTGTCCTTTTCTGAACGTGCTCATCATTGCCAGCCTTAGCACCCTTAGCAACCCGTTGTCTGAGGTCCACCTTGTCGGGGTGGCCTTCCTTACCGATTATGCCGGCCAAAGTGGGCTCGTGGCTCTTTGTGCAACCTTCGGGCCGGGGGCTCAAGGCATGCCCTTGTAAGTTCTGAAAGCATGGGGAATCCTGGGGATGACAAGTCGCTGTAAGCAAGCCTTTTCCAAAAGCTGCTGCCCGCTGGTGCTTTGAGATGGTGATGTGAACCCTAAATCCTCCAGTCTACTTCACTTCGTGCCGTGCAGACGAGAAAGAGTCGAGGGCCGAGGGTGTTTAAGCTTTCAACAAACGTTAACTTGTAGTAGTGCTGCGACGCAGTAGTCGTGCTGCTGATGCTTGCGTTTGTTTGTTACGACGGTAAATGGGTGGTGGCAATGGAGCTGGTCACCTGGTCACCATTGCCGAGGGCGGGTGTTGGCAAACGTTCAACCTATACATTGACACCACGACGGTCTTTGAGACGCAAGGCAAAACAAGCGACTCGTAAGGCCTTGTACTCTTTTGATATCGGCCTTGTGGCGCTAAGGCTCCATGCTGGCTTCGCGCTCAGCGAGTTTGCCCTCTGGACCCATGTCGGGCAAACTTGCGAATTCCGTGGTCGACTTGGGATGATGCCCGAAGTCTAAATCTCGAACTTCCCGAACCCTGAGCCCGAAACCAAGCTGATCCGCAGGATGCTCGGCCTGGATGGTTCCGATTCAGTCGGCCCCTGGTCGGTCTTGGTTTTCTTTTGTTGCATCTCGGCCAGAGGAGCGGGGGAAGGGTTCTCAGCCAAGTGCAGCTCGAAGATTTGAGTTTCGCGGCAATCGAGGCATATTGTATTTTCACGCGCTGTGCTCAGACGGCGTGGGTTGGCGTGGTCACATGTTCCAAGTCTCACTCATTCAAATCATGATGCCATGCACGATCACTTTGCGATGTGCTTCTGTGACGGCTGAATGCACTTGGCGCACTCGAGTCCTTCTGGATGGAATCCACGGTGCTGCCACCAGATTACATCACCAGTGCCCTCACAGCATTAAATTGTGCGTTGAGCATGGAAACATGTCTCCCGAGAATCTTGCTATTCAATCGCAATTTGTGGAGGCATTTCGCTGTTTTTCCCGATGTTTCCCGCGTGCGGCACTTACAGTTCATCCCATCTGCAGCAGCCACACAGAGCGCCTACTGCAGTTGGGAGCCGTGGCGAACAAATGTAGCGAAGGATCTTGAAGTGGAGCATTGATCATCTAGGTGGCACTTTGAGAAGAATTGGAATTTCCCTTATGGTTACTATAGAAGTACCTGTTACCTGTTGATTACTACCTTTAAGGGCCCCGAAACTACAACCCAACCATGTTGCCCGTGAAACTCAATCATCAGTTTGGCCGCGTGCTGCTCCCAGGTTTAACGCGGCCGTTGCATGTAGTTGCCTTGAGCTCTTCCTTGAATGGAGGCTCGTCTTGTGCTTGATTTTCAAGGGATGGCGTACCAGGTCGTAAAGTGTAATAACTTGTAACAGTTCGTTTCGCCCTCGTGCGAGAGAGGCGAGTCCACAGAACCTGCATGCCTGCATCCGATGAAGTTCTGGAGTCATGCTGTCCTAGCGATGTGCATGAATGACAACTTGCGAAGTATGAATGTGTGTTCTCTCCGCTAAGCCGCCACTGTGCCGCAGATGGTTTCCAGACTACAAGCTCTGGCCATCCTTCGCCGTGCTTGGAGCCGCTTGTTCTGCAAGTTAAGACGGACCTGTCCTAGTTCACAGGACATCCTGATGCGAACGGATTAGATAGGGCGAAGCACACCCGGCACCTTTTGGCAATTCTGCGGCTCCTGTGGCGCAAAGCGCATTTGCCACCAAACTCGCATTCCCGGTGCATGGGGCGACTTCGAATTCGTTGTAAAAGCCAACGATTTGCTGCTCCCGAGCTTGATGAATCAGCTCCCTGCTCCGTGCCGTGTGCACTACGACAAGGTGCTTTCGGTGGAAATCGTGCTCGCCAGTCCTGCGATCGTCTTGGCTTCCCAATCACTCGAAGACTTTAGACATGGCAGGATCAGGCCCTTCGCCGCTCGGGCTCGTCAGCGTGGTCCCGAAATCCGGCAACCGAAAAGGGTTCGGGAGTCTTCAAAAGTCGCACTCATCATAGAGCTGCGCCCCTTTGGGGGTGCGACATGTCTTCCTGATGCAGTCCGGAAACTGTGCTTCCGCCACAATGCTGCCTCCCAAGTCCCATGCTTTTCCGCCTCCCTAAGTCGTGCTCCTACCACGCTGCCATGCTTGTCCTCAGGTGCAAATGCGTGCTTCTGCCACAGTGTGGTGCGCATTTTAATTTGTTGGGGTCGCCTTGGGATTCTTGAGGGTGCCGGCACAACAGAATATGACATGGCAGTACAAGAGAGCTTGCTGATGTATGTGGGTGTGCATGTGTATATATCCATGCATGTATGTATGTATGTATGTATGTACGTACCCTTTGTAGAGCGCGTTTTCGAGTTTTTGTGCATACTCTAAACCCTAAGCCGCAAATGGCGGAAAGATAGCCAGATGATCATGACGCATCGGCCCGAGGCTGCGATGTGTGCTGCCGGCCAGGCTCGCTGTGGCAAATCTGAACAGCATTCGTATTATATCATAGTATAGTATAGTGTAGAATATTACAGTATAGTGTGGCTATGAATTGCAGTCTGTCGTGCATGCTCAATGCGAAGGGCTTGGACATGGAAGCGATCATCTGTTGACGATGAAGCAGATCATGGCATCAAGACCATGAGTGGTGGGGCCACGGGGCGCTTTGCCCGCTCGGAGCTGTGGCCAGAGCATCCGTGCCGGAGACGGCATCAGACTTCGGGCAGAAGATGTGGCTGGCGATCTGATGAAGGCATTTAGATGAATACTGCTAGCGCCCTGCGGCGACTCGAGTAAGCCTAGACGCTTGCACAACAGATTGCAGATTACGCATTGGTTTCGCTTCCGTTGTGGAGGCGCTGATTGCGATCGCCTCGCGCACCGCCGACCGCAACTACTGGGCTAGTTGTCACCAGCCCAGCCACTGGAGCTTGTGTGATCCTTGACATGACGGTTGTCATATGTTCAGGGTAACCTCATCGGTGCTGGCCACGAATGCGTGACTTGTGGTTCTGATGCGACTTTCAGGTGCGGAGAGAGCCTAGTGTGATATTTGTATGGAAAGCTTCGCGAGCTAGGGTAAGCTAGGGTGAGGGTGCCCTGACATATGGGCAGCTGAAGCTGATGAGAAGTCCATGTTCATTCCGAGCCACGCATCATGAGTCGTGAGTCGTGAGGTCGCAACATGCCGGAAGAGGTCCGACGAAGCGTGCAGTTGCTGGGTCAGGGAGCACAGCCTCGTAGTCCCAGGGCTTGTTGCAGGAGGAGAGACCAGAAGACTTCGTGGGCTTGGAGATCCCAGATCGACGAATAGTTCAGGCCTCCCGCCGGCCTGTCTTTTTTTTCTCTGATGATGGCAGGAGTGGCAAGTTGCAGCACTGAGTCCTTCCATTCGAAGTTCGCCTCTGCATTCTGTACAAACTTGCCAGGAGGGAGTCTACCAGTACGAGAGACACCCGGCCTACCTGGGCGCAATGCTCTGGGGCCTTGGCATCCAGGCCTCGCGCTATCCTAGTCTTGGTAATGTGAGCAAAAACATGATGACGATGATGACCATGGATGTGATTCTGCTAGTGAAAACGGCCGTGAATCTGCCGTCGGCGACCATGCTTGGGCTGAGAGCAGCTCGTCGTCATCGTCACCAACATCTCCAACATGGTGATAGTACAATCATGATCATCGCTACATCATCACCATCATTATTGTTATCGTTGCCGTCATCATTAGCAATGTATCGCAGCAGTAAGATGCAGCCAGTAATCAACATGGGTATTGTAGCTGATGTCGTTGCCAAAGAAAGGCTACCTGCTACTGCTATTGTGCAGAGTAGTGGGAAGGAGGGTTAGCATGATTCCAGTGGCAAGACAAGCAACGGTCATGAGTCGCGAGAACGCTGATCTGGGCCACGGCTGTTTTTGGAACCAGAATCACCAGAGTTCCGCCTCAAGAGCTTGAGGGTAAGGCCCAGCTTTGCTCATCAGCCTGAGAGAGCGTGTGTGGGCTATCATCTCAATTTTTTGTCGTGCCAGTCTTCGGATCTCCGCAGAACGCTCTAGGCCTAGGCACCATGTGCAGAGGAAGAGCAGGACCATCTCCGTCACTGCGCCGGCAGGGACTGTCATGTAGAAGACGACGAGCACGATGACGACGAGGATGATGACGACAGCGAGAAGGAGAAGGACGACGACGACGACGACACGACAATAAGCGACGACGACGACGACGGCTACTTTACGGCTGCTGCACACTGCATCTTCCGCTTGTTTAGCCATCGCGTGACTTTGGGGGTGCGAGTTCTGATGCAAATGAGGTAGCTGGTGTAATACCGAGCATGATCAAGAACGGTCACAATTTTGAAGCACGGAAGTATCAGCAGTCTCCATTTGCCAGTGCGGCAATCAATGTTCGTTTATGTTGCTCTTCGTCGCAGTCAAACCGTTCTGGTGTTGGTGGTGATGGTACTGTGGCAAAACGCAGCAAAACATGTCGACATGTAGCAGTGCGAGCAGTTATGGTTGTCGTCATTACCGTCTTCACCAGTATCATCATCACAAGTGTTTGCTTCAGTACTACCGTAGGGACTTTCAGCTGAAGTCGTTTGCTCTGTCACAGGTTGCACTGTGCAATCCCGTGATGGCAGTGATCGTTGGCTTCGTGCTCTGGGCGTCGCTGCTATACGTCGCCTTGGAGGAGCCTAGTGCGGGTCACAAGGCAGAGCGACTAGGTGTACTGCCTTCTCAGGAGGAGCAGGAGCTTTACGACGAGTTCAAGGGGGGTAGCTGGACTCAGCCCGTGACAACATTCATCGATTTCACGATTCCGATGTTGAGAGGTGCAGACAGGCGGCATGTTGGGAAAGAGATCATAACAGAGCTGGTCTTAGGATACGCCAACTATGCCACCTTGACTTCGTGCTGGATTCCGCTCTTCAACACGTTGCCTGCTCAGTGATGTCTGCGCGCAAATAGTGCTTCCCCAAGCCGGAACTTCGGAACGTTGTGTTGCAGAGGTTCTTAGAAAACTCCGCCTTCCAACGGGAAATGACCGATACTTGCTTGGGCCTCGCTTCACCTTGTGGAGAACCTGCACTTTTCCTGAAGTCCCTGGCGTTTCGAGGTGAAGAAGATCATGAGAACATGCAAGAGGCCTGAGAAACACTTCCCTTCCTCCTTCTAACCAGCTGTACCTTGCATCCCAAACCTCTCTTGGACAGTAGAATGCTTCTGGTGAACAGGAGACGGAGGAGGAGGGTGAGGAAGAGATGGATGACGACCTCCGAAGTGCGCCGAGGGCTTCCGACTGCAAACGTTACCAAAAAGAAGCCAAGTCTCGTGACAGGTGAGGACGACTTGCTGCCGACCTGGGAAGGAGTACCGAAAGGCGCTTATGTCCTGTGGGTTGAGTCGCTGCGTCTTTGCCAGAATGCAGGTGGAGCTCTCTGGAATCGCCAGTTCCGCGAGCTTGGGTCCTAGCTCCGATGTATCGCGTCTGAGTCGGATGTAGGCAGCGGCTAGAAGCATGTGGTATTGTAGTTGTGGTCACGAGGCCTTGGATGCTCGGATGAAGTGTGGTGATGTTTCACAGCCTCGCAATCTACCCGTTTCAGACTCCAGCGCCCGGGTTGAGAGCTGATGCAGACACGGTATGCCGGGCCCTTCAATTTTGCCCACAGAAAGAAGCCGAACTCAACCAGGGGACAGTTTTGCCAAGAAGAGAGTTTCACACCTCCATCCCAGAGGCATCAGACAGACTAAGGGAACAGGCTGAAGCAGATTTTTGCATACGTTACATGACATGGACCTCTGGGCAGTGAGCCTTGCATCGCAGTGCAAGTTTACTGCCGGTGATGCGGATGCCCAGCTCCATTGCCTTCGGGCCACAAACAGTACTTTTTAAGATATCCCTCATGATTTCCTATGGAGGTACCTATCCATAAATACTTTTGAGGGCCCCCAAACTACATCCCAGAGTAGGGTACATGAGATCGAAGGATCTAAGTACCAATCAAGAGCAGGGCAACATCAACGACTCAACAGAACCATGGAGATCGATCTGCAGATCGATCAGCACATAATACTCAGCTGACCTGCGCATGTTCGGATGCCACGATGACATTTTCAAGTGTGGCTGAGAATGTGGCATGTGAATCATAGCCTGCCGCAGACCGCTCAATATTCCAGCCCCGAACCCCCGGCTTCTGTAGGAGAGGGTCTGCGCATTGCGACCCTGCATGCACGGTGTCGACAAATGTTGTGTTCCAAGCAGTGCCTACCATGTCCAGACGCGCCCGAGTTTTCATTCCTGTGCAGGAAGACTGCCTTCGAAAGAAACACAGCAACCAGATTACTGATGTCTGGACACTGGTTGGGCGACAGCTGCAAACGTTAAACCCGTGCGTCGTTCTCAATCTCGTGCTTAGAAAAGCTCGCTAGTGCATGCTGCCGCTGCAGAGCCTTGCTGTGTCGCGCATATGCCAACACAATTTCAGATGACCCAGAATCAAGAGAAGTTCTGACAGCTCGATGATCCCATGTGCGACAACATTCAACGTGCACTGTGGCGGATTGTGGCACGATAACACCCTCCTCGCTACTGGCTGTAATCTTCAATCTCCACGCCTTTACACAGGCGTTTGCAAACAATGCTGCATGAGGGGCTAGTGTCACGAAGGTGTTCTGAGCCCGCCGAGCGCCCTTCTCACGTCATCTCATTTGACGCATTATGTAGGCAGCATGGTGCCGTGGTGGCTTAAATTTCATAGCCACAGTCACAGTTGCGTGCTAGCTGCAATGCATGGCGAAACGGAAGACCTGCTGGGCCAAGAACGCGCCGCAGCTCCTTTGCTTCCTGGGGACCGTCGCATACTCCTTGGTGTTTTTGGCATATCACAGCGAGCTGCTCAGCGATCCGAAGGGTCCCAAAACTGGCGACAGCGACAGCCTTCCGCAGACAAGCCAGCTGAACCTGCTGGAAGTGGAATCGAAAGACCTCGACACCGCAGGCGAAGGCGATGCTGAGGCTCATGCGCCAACGAATTCCTTTGACGCTTGTCTGCAAGACGACCATACTAGGCATGCTTGGCGCCGAAGCCAGTCCTGCGAAGGACTCTGCGAACACCGCAGAGGAGGACATGCCGCGAGCCACAAAGGAGGGAATGTCCGAAGAGGCCTGGCAGTTGGAGGGCTTCAAAGAGTTGCGGTCTTTCGCGTGTTTGAGGTTGCTTTGCTTGCCCCCTGTCTCAGGTTGCTTCGGAGGAGAATTCAGCGAAGAAGGCTCAACTTTTAGAGCCTGCCACGGAGCCGGAAGGTGCAACGTCGAACGACGTCGCTGGGGCAGGGGCGGCAGGGCCAGGGCAAACACTGACCGTTGCCCTTGCCGCGAACAGCAAGCAGCTCGACGGCGTGCTCGTCGTCATCAATTCGGCGCTCTCCAATTCTAAACACCCCTCGAGGTTAAAGTTCTGCATCCTGACCACTCGGCTGGACACAAAGCCGCTTGTAGATTCGGTGAAGCGGAGGCTGGCAAAGCTCCAGCCGGACGTATCTGCAGTGGACTTCGACCCCTGGGCCCCTCGTGTCCGACAGCTCCTGGGTGGTAAGTCCTCTTCGAGGAAGGAGCTTTTCGATGAGCTGAACTTTGCAGCCTTCTACCTGCACGAGGCTCTTCCTCTGGCAAGAAGAGTGCTCTATCTGGACACCGATGTTGTGGTTACTTCGGACCTGACTCATCTTGTCGGCATCGATCTCCAGGGGCATCCGGCCGCAGCAGCTGAGGATTGCTCACAAAGACTGGGCAAGTACGTGGACATGGGCCGCATGAAGGCGAAGGGTGTTGAAACCAAGATGCCACTTCCACTGCACGCCTCAAAGAAGACGTGCGTTGTGAATCGCGGAGTGGTGCTAGTGGACACAGCCCAGTGGGCAGCTAGCAACATCACAGGTGCCATCGAAGCGCTTGTACGCCTCCACCTTGCCAAAGGCGTGGGGCCCCTTTGGAGGGCCGGGGTGTCGCAGCCCCCGTTCCTCCTGGCCATTGCTGGGAGATACCATGACCTGGGTGCAGAGTTCAACGTCCGTGGCTTGGGCCGTGGCGACATTGCACCCGAGGAGGTGGAATTCTACAAGAAGCGCAAGACATGGAACAGCTACTTTGACAGTTTCTTGCTCAAGTGCAAGATCCATTGCTGTCCAGGCCCCTGAGTCTTCTAATTACTGGGAGCGTCATCCTGTTCGGCAGCCTCAGATGCCCCCTGCGCCAGGCTGTAAAGGATGGGCGCTTTCACCTTACGTCTCTCCGCTGGCGCACCAGGCAACATCGTAAGTTTGTTGTGGGCCAAGTTGGGTGCTGCATCCGGTAGCTTCGATGTACTGAAAGACCGTCACGAGCAAAACTCCCATCGTTTCATCGGAGGCCAAGATCCTACACTTCAACGGCCGCCACAAGCCCTCGAATCAGGGCTTCCGCGGCTGCGATCCGGTGAAGCCGCCCCCGAGCCGCGGATCGCTCGGCGAGGCGCAGGGACACCCGGGACCCGGGCCGGATCGCTTTGAGCCTGACTTCCTGTCGTTGCCGTCGGGACGTCGGGTTTACGAAGACTTAGGACGACCGCAAGACATTAAAGACTTTAGAATTCACTGGCGCAGCGACTCGAGTGATCCCAGGAGGAGCGAGCTGCGCGAGAGCAGCGGCCTCTTTGCAGCTGCGGATCTGGTTGCCTGCAGGACCCAACCCTGGGACTCAGAGTCAGTGACTTCCTCTGTTGGTGACTGTCCCCTGCAGGAATGTGCATGCATTTGGTGGAAGCACCTACCCGAGTGAGACACATGAAGGGAGCGCATCCCTAGATAATGTGTAGGAGCCCTTATAGGAACTCTTTACAGCATATCCCGTTAGGGGTGCCGCAGACCTGCACATGTAGGCATCGAGAGGCAGAGAGCACCAAACGACCGAGTGCCAGCTGATTCGGATCGGATGACACACTGTCCGTGCTTGTGCTTCGTCTTCTGTTTTGGAACTAAGCGTATCGGCAAGTGCATGGTTCGAATTTGCGGCCTTCATCTGGATGGGTAGTAGGAATTATCAGTTTTTGCATGCATCTCTACCTCTATCAGACTCTATCATCTCTTTTGCTAGCTCCAGCTCTGACGGCCTCTCTTTCTCTCCCTGTCTCTATCTCTGTCTCCCTCTAACTTTAGCTCTAAACGTATCCATCTCCCCCTATCCGGAACCGTGTCCTTCTATCTCTCTCTCTCTCTCTCTCTCTCTCTCTCTCTCTCTCTCTCTCTCTCTCTCTTTCTCTCTCTCTCTCTCTCTCTTTCTCTCTCTCTCTCTCTCTCTCTTTCTCTCTCTCTCTCTCTCTCTCTCGCTCTCTCGCTCTCTCCCTCCCTCCCCCTCTCTCTCTCTCTGTGCCTCTGTCTCTGACTCTGTCTCAAAGTCTTGTCTCTATATCTCTGTTTTCTAGCTCTGTCTCCTCATCTGCATCTGTATCTCAGTCTCCATCTGAATTCCATCTCGATCTCAATCTCCATCTTTATCTCTACCGGTGTATGTATGTATACATATATATATATATATATATATGTATATTCATGTATGTATATGAATAGCAGGGTTTGTTGCAAGACACCAATACATGTGTTGATATAGTACAGTATGTGATGTAGCCTGTTAGAAAGATCTGTTTTCCCTCCAAAACACCGGTGAGTTCCATTGGCCCAGTTGCAACTAGGGGAGCGGATGCATCCGGCGAGCTCTAGGCAAAGCAGGTCTAGCTTTTTGTACCATGACTGCCATGACACTATGAAGAGCTTCTTTCGGCTTAAAGGGCCGAGACACCAGTGCGAAAACTGTTCCCTGCTTCAGATGCTAGGACGGAAGAAGTACATGAGAATATCTCTAAGACACGCCCGCCCGCCGTCCAGGGTTCCCACCCCGCCCAATCCCAGACCAGATTACGCTCCTCGCAATGGGGAGTGCAGCGCCGACCTTGGCATTTTCCCACTTGGCTTGCTAGGCTGAAAGACTGCGCATGCCTGTTCTGTTTGCTACATTCTTTTCTGTGGGTGGCAGAAGGGAACATCGAAACTTGGAAACTATAGAGTCGTACTGCAGCGAGCCTCATGTGCCTCATGCCCGTGACAGCCCCGCAAGGTGCAGAGACCGGCCCAGGCCCAAAGTGACCCTTGCAGTGCGACGGGCGGCCATGGCCTTTTCAGCTGTCAGAAGCACCTCTTCTCGCTTCCCGAAGGCCGCAGTTGCAGGGGTCAGGGCAAAAAGGAGCTTGTAGATGTAGCCTGTAAGACTGTAAGACTGTGAGACTGTCAGGCGTGGTCTATTTAAACTGTGCCTCACGCTCGCCAATGCTTCGCTCAGTCCCAGCCTTGGAACCACAGCACCCGGTCGATCTTGGTGAGCGTTAGACTATCAAGCGTTGCTTCTGAGGTTGAGAGGCTTGGTCACGAGGCGGTGTCAGTGAAGAACCAGCCGTGGTTGATCACAGACAGCGCCTCCGCACAAGTGCGGGCACTGTTTGCGCAGCTGGTGAGGGCAAGTCCCGACAACATCGCTCTGGCACCATCCACCTCCTATGCGATCTCACAGGCGGCGCACAACATCGCAAGGTCTGGAAGAGTTTCAGCAGGCCTGCGGTTCGATCTGCGCGAGGGGATGCCGTGTGAAGAATCAATCTTCTAACAATCGTCAGGTGACGTGATCCTTGTACTCCAGAACCAGATGAGCTCCAATGTCTATGCGTGGCAGCGCCTCTGTCGTGAGAGCGGCGCCCGCTTGGTGGCTATCCCAGAGCCACAGGAACAAACGGAGGAGGAATCTGTGGAGCGTCGGCCAAAGCGCCAGCGCGCCTGAAGCTGTAAACAGCAGTTGCTTTGATTTGCTTGTCTGCTTTGGGTCTAGTGGGGGCTTTAAGGGCTTCTGCAGACTGCCGGTAGAGGACTTGCATGATAGGAGTCGTTCGCAGACAGTGCTGCCGTTGCATTCATGCCGTTTTTGGGCCCTGCGAATGGATAAGGAACAGATTCCTCGATGTCTGGGATGACCTTATCCCCTTGGGACGAAGCGCTGGAAACTGCAGTCCGACTCCATGCCCAGCGCTCCCGGATTGCGGTGGTCGCTGTGCCCCACTTTTTGTGGACCGACGGTTCAGGGCCGATCAACTTGCACCGACTTCGATCCGTGCCCAAGCGGAACAGGTTCCAGATTATTTCAGTGTAAGAAAAAGACAGAGGTTGAGGCGGATGCACAGCACGAAGACGCATGATGCGGTCAAGGAATCACGATGACGATAAGAGCCATAGCAACGCACACGCACTTGAGACGGCTTTCCTTGGCCTCCCCGTTGTCATCCTCATCATCTTCATCGTCATCACTTCATCATCGTCGTCATCATCGTCATTATGGTCATCATCACCATCATCATCATCAGCTGTTTCTTCTTCAGGCTTGGCATCAAAGTATGTAGAATAATCTCCGTCTTCACCGTCATTGTGAGAACATGCTCATGCACGCGTTCGAGGAGTGAATGATGGGTCAAAGACGCTGACTTCTCCAGTCGTATACATCGCAAAGATGTTTTGCTAGGGTCAGTGAGCCTTGATGGCTGGCCGCCCAGGTGCTGGACGAGGTTGCGTGGGGCCGACGAACAGTCCTGGTTGTAGACGCTACGCAATCTTTAGGCGACCCAGGGAAGCCTGTCTCACGCACTGTCGGTGTTGTTTACAGTAGCTTATATTATATGCTATGCATGGCCCGGGTGCGGTGTGCAGGCGTGGTGCCTATTCAGGCAGAGTCCTGGGGCATTGACTGGCTGGCCTGCTCCGTGCACAAGTGGCTCTTCGGGCCGTACGGTTTATCCCTGGCGCCTTGTCAGGCTTGGTCGGCAGTCGGTTGGCCCGGTTGCCAGCATGCAAGCACCATCCCTGGCACCTCAGAGCCTGGTTCCAATCTGAGGTGTACGTTTCACCCGAGTGGAGCCAGGACGCCGCAACTGAGCCCATAGTCCAGGATGAACACAACCGTCTCGGTGCAGATGGAGACGTTTGCCTTCCCTTTGACCTTGAGAGACCAGGTTACTCGGAGCCTTGCAAAAAATCAGTGTCAACTCTAGCAGTGCTTGCAGATTTGCAGCTGCAAGAGAACGATCCACGATGCATGTCTCATGCGAATTGCTTGCATCCTTGCGCATGTCGAGGAAGACTTTCAAGAGGGTGCGAGAAAGTTCGACGCGGGCGGTCGCGTCAATCCCATATTGATGCCAATGGTTGCCGGTGCTTTGAAACAGGCCGCGCTGCGACACAAACATGAAACTTCAGCAAGTGAATGTGCTATCTTGAAGAGGTTCTCGAGTGGCATCCAGATCGCATTGGTGCCGCACTCGCACCCCTCACGCACCTTGATCTCAACAGCTCTATGTGGTTTTGCGGCGCAGACGGGAATCCTGCCTGAAGCCTTGAGCCATCAGCAGCCCCCGTGTGGCCTCGGTGACTCAGGGCGCAGTGCGCCGAAGGAGCCGCCAGATTGGGCCTCCAAGTGCCATCTTCGCATGCGCCACACTTTGTTGGAGTGGGCCCAAGTTCAGCCCACCTCTCAGCGCTTCAATGTATCGAGCTTTCCTTTTGCCTTTTTTGTCCATTGCTCGCGCCGTGTTGTGACCGAGGAGGATATCGGACGTGAACTACTGCACGGTGAAGGTGAGGCAACTGCGCGAAACCGATCGCAAGCTGCGGAGAGGTGGGCTGATGCTGCCGCCGCATACTTGAAGAGACACAGTGGCTTCGAGTGCATTCCAGTGCTATCATATTGCAGACGGAGGGGTCGCAGAATCTTGGAGGATGTGCGGCATCTCATGCAGCCCATTGCATGGAGTCACTACACATGTGGAGATTTTCTGAGGCATTCACGTGTCCTCCAGGGCTGGAGTTCTGCGCGTGTCGCCACATCTTTACAACACATCGAGTGACGTCCAAGCCTTCCTCGACAAGCTGGCATTTTTCAGGTGCGAGCCTTGGAATCAGCGACAGTTTCTCATAGGTTCTCACTGTTTGTGCAAGCTGTTCTGCAATGCCTTGCATTGGCAATGCCATACTTTGCAGTTTGCTGCAGGCGCAACCGGCCGAGCTAGTGGCAACTTGGAAAACGCAAGCCGTGGTGCTCTCGATAGGATTCAGCTTGAGCTGTGAGAAGCTTGCAGCTTTGTGCACGCACATCTTTTCACTTGGCTCCAGCGGCGGCGGTACAGGGAGCAGGGGAAGCCAAATGGCGCATGGCCCCTGGCGTGCTGTGCTCGGGAATGTACTGCGAGGAAGCAGTTGAAACGCATGCATTGCAACGGTACCTTTGCGCGCAGCGGTTTGTCCTTCCGCGAGAGTCTGTAAGCATTGCTTGTGGCCATGATCTGCTCAAGAAAAGAAAAATGGCAGTCGTATGTTTAATCCTTGCTATCCCGATACCACTACACAAGTGACTTGGCCTGCGCAGCTTTTGCTGTTCTGGAATGGCAGGATCAGTGGTTTACCTCACACATGTCCACCGCGAGCCCTGCAGCCTGGAACCCCGCAGTCCAAAATGCCCAAAGCTCACCCTCAGCCCGATACCCTGAACATCCCTGAACCGTAAATCGATGCATACAACCAAGGAAAGCAAGAAGCGCTTGAGATGCAGTGGACTGGCTCGGCCCTGGTTTTTTTCTGGCTCGCTGTGCTGGTTCAGGCTGGGTCCTGGCGGGGATTCGGGCTTCAGGCTGGGCAAAGGTGGAACGAGTGAGCATCGGGTCTACGGGTCTGAGGGATGCTTAGCTTCTAGCAAGCGAAGTGTTAGTCCTGGCATTTGTGGCGGCAGAAAGCAGGGAGTCTGCGTATCCTGAGGCCCGAGAGGAGGACTCACCACCAGAAGAGTTCAAGATCTGCACCGGTCGACTGGAAGAACAGGCGCCGGATGGAACCTGCATCAAGGTGAACACCTAGAGCTAGTTCATAGCGATCTTGGCAGTTTGGACTAGCGCTAGCGCGAGGCACAGATCATCCCTGTCATGATTGTTTGGGTGCTTGTGTTCCCACATGTGCTTTCTTGTCGGCTTGAATGCCTTAGCGGACATCCGCGCAATGCTCGCCTCGAAGTTGCGAAGATGCCCGTGTACTGTCAGCATTGCCAGATGTGATTTCACTTCCGGTACTAGTAGCAGTGGTAGAAGAGGTTTCCACCAGGCAGCTCATGCTTCGGGCAGTTAGCTCATCGACAGTTCTCACTACAGTGAAGGAGACCTGGTCGTGTCCAGACGTAACTGCTGACAAGTGCGCCACCACGTACACTGCCGTTGGTGGTGGTGCCTACATGCAGACGCACGGCCGAGATTCTTCAGCAGTTCTGCGATGATTTCAAAGCTAGTTTGGAGCCCTAGCAAAGGGTAAGGCATGTTCTCGAGTATCCGACCGAGAGTAGATGAAAGGTGTGAGCCGCTCAGGTGTGGTCGCGATGGGAAGCTTTGCCTTCACTCAGCCTTCTGCGACACGACCACTACGACTACAGCATCTTTGCTTCAACCAGTTGGTGCGAACTAAAGCTCTTGTCCATGTAGCAGTGTTTCGGGCTGCGGTTCTGGCTGACATGATCGGAACACGTCGGAACCGCAGAGCATTGAGCTTGTACTGTAGAAACGACCGTGTGACGCGGATACCTCGAATGCCGCGGCAGCCTTGTTTCACGCACAAACTTCGCCGACCCTGTGGCAGTTGCCGGGGTTTGTCCTGATCGATGACGACGGCCTCTGGGTGAAGATCAACCAGTGGACCCAAGGTCTGTATGAAAGGCGCGGAGACACGCAAGTCGGTTGCACGAAACGTTTTGACCACGTCATCATGATCGTTGCAGATCGTTGCAACTTGTTACTGCAGTGCTGGTCCGCTGCATTCTGACACCAAGCGTTACCGAGTAGCACTATGTCTCTTCCGTGCTTAGAGTCCGCGGTTGGCCCTGCTTCTGAACAGTGACGTGTGCCGGCTATGATGATATCTATCGTCACAAGCATGTCGAATGTTGTCGCAGAGCCAAGTGTGACAACTGCACGTGCTGCTGCCATTGTGGCGGCGGGAGGTACCTCAATTATGATGACATTTTCACTTTTTCATTCCATTCCAGTAGTCCTTGCTGTAGCCAGCCTGCAGGCAGATCAACGCCTACGGCACGGTGAGAACGAGTGGTCCAGGTGATGGCAAGCTCGATGACGGTGTGCAGCTTGACTGAAGCAAGCAGAGGTTAGAGTGATTGGACTACATTAGACTACCTCTCGTGCAGAGTCTTTATGGTAGGCCGTCCTGCAGGAGCTAGTACATAGTAAGAAATCGTGATTTTCTGGAGTTGACACTGGTACTTAACATCGTGGCTTGGATGGAAGCGTCGTCAGCAACAGCACTTAGTTAAACAGTGAGGGAGGGATAGAGACTGAGAGAGTTTGTACGGGGAGGCATGCGCAGATGCAAACCGGGGGCAGAGGTGTTGCGGCGCCAGGAGCTGCCCCATGCCCCTAGCAAGCAAGCAGGCAAGACTTCAGCCCTGTGGCACGGGTCGCCTGAAGGAAAGAAACCAGGAGAGAGCCAGAGAGAGTGCGAGAAAGAAAGAAAGAGAGTGCGAGAACGAACGGGCGTCGGCCAGCCAACTAGCCGCGAAGCGAGTTGCTCACTTATGCCGGCAGAAGTCGTGTCCTGACATCTTTTCAAAGTGTGGGTGGGAGCTCGGCGGCGGCAATCATATTTCAGGATCAATGCTCTCATGATGGTGAATAAGCTGCGTGGGCCATCGGGGAATACCTACAACATCTTCAAGGTCACGGCAAAGGCCCCTTTGTGCCATGGACAGACTCCTACACATTTCGCAGGGTCCTGGTCCTGCTGCTAGGAAGCCAATCTGGCGTACTACCTCCGCGTGAAAGACCGGAACTACACCGACACGAAAAGGAACTTCGATTTCCGTCGATACAGCCCCGGACTGAGCAGCGACGCTTCATTTGGCCGGTGGGTACACAAGCCATTCAGGAGAGTCAAGCAGTGCACTACGTTGTGAGCGGTGTTTCAAATCAAACTCCTCCCTGGGGGAGCGGTACCACCATGCTTCGGTATGAGTTTTTGTTATTGGTCAGAGTACTCCCGTTGTGCTTTCCCGAGGCACTTACCAGGCCGTTGGTGACAGGATGCCACAGAACTTGGAAACCGGCTACAAGGCCACAATCACAAGGGTGTTTTCTGTTTTCAATTGCGTTACAGGTGCTTGTGTTGATTTTGGTTTTGTGCTTTCCTCCAGGTGAGAATCGTAGGTATTGAAGATGCCGGCCGCAACAGTCACGCAACACTGGGCACTTGTTGGACATGCAGGACTTGAACATTGGTGGCATTTTTGACGCTCACCATTGGGGAGCGCGGCAGTCCTGCAACAGACGCTGAGCTGTGGTTGTTCACAGGCTGCGGTAGAGGCTTCAGTGGAAATGTTTTGGGTTGCTTCACTTGCTGAGGATTCTTCATGGGCCACGACTCCTGGGATGATTGCTATCATGCAGACGGCGGAAGAAACACCAACAAGCGTTGTTTCAGTGGAGGATATTACTGCCACAACAAGCTCCGGCGGCGCTACCCGCCGCTCCTAAATGTACAAATGTTTCTGAAGATTGCAGAGAAAGGCTAGATGCAAAAAGAGGAGGCAGCAGCAAGATGCAGCCTATACTAGCGCATGGCGCATGCTCCACAACAACCTTGGCTACCTTTGTTTGCCAAGGCCAGGCCTTGCCGGGAGGATGCGGCTGCCGGCGCCTCGGAAGCGTTCGCACAGAGGAGCACCCTCTGTCCAAATAGAATCGGAGGCCGATGAAGTGGCAGCCGTTGGACAGGGACCTGAGCTTCGCGGGGACATGGAACTGGCTTCCGCAAAAGGACGAAGAGGAGCTCCCGTGTTGCCCATGCTCCTCTTCCGAAGTCTTGCGCTGGGCTTCCTCAGGAGCTGCTGGGGCCAACTACGTTTGACGAGGCATCGTCGAAATTGGAAATTGGAGATCGACCTCCCTTAACAGAGGACATCAGAGGGTCAGAAGGTGGTGTGCAATGGACGACGTTACACAACGTTCCGTCAGGGCGGATGTGCCGTCGTTGGGTGCTTTGAGTGTCTTGTGCCCACTGCAGGCGTTTCGAGAGCTGCTGGACCAGCATCGGCGCGCCGATGTGAATGGATGCTGGGAAAGTGCCGCCTTCAGGTTTGTTCACGAGTGCCGAAGAGTCAAGGATTGAGAAGAGATCACGGCCCGCGGGCCGTTGCGCATGCCGGGCATACTGCCGAAATCGAGCAGGGTTTTGACGAATCTAGGCTCGACAGCCAAATATGTGGGATGGGGGTCCTTCGAATCTTCTTGCGAGGTGCCGAATTGCCTCACAGCGCAGAAACTGCGAGCGCAGCTGGAAGTGTGGCCACCACGGCTGTAGGCATGGAGCAGGGTTTCAAGCCATGTGTGAAGAAGCCATGATGTCGAGTGTAGCCCTTGGATTTGGTTTGCCTGGGAGTTGAGAGCTTTCCGGCTTCACAGTTCAAGTTCATGCCGACGGCCAGGAAGCACTTCACCGGTCCACTTCTTCATCGGAGACCATGATGATGGCGAGAGCACCAGCAGTCTGATGCAGCCTCGAACCCAGGAGCGCTCGAGCCGAGTGAGTTGTTCTTTTTGTTAATGTGTCGCCGTGCCCCAGCTCAGGTCCCATGAACTCTTCGAGACGTACAACATCGGAAGCGACTGTGCATCGTTGTGTGAGAGTTCAACGAGTCTGGATTATAATGCTGACTGGCATGCAGGACCCCCGAGCGTTTGATGTTGTAAATCATGCTCTTGGGAATTGGGGCCATTGTCAGATGTTCGTCCCAGACCCGTCAAGGAAGCCAGCCGGACGCAACAGTCTCAGAGCTTGGCGAGCATGGAGCAGTCCACTCTTCGGAAGAAGGCACATGTCCGAGTCCCGATTCTGCAAGTGACAGTTTGCCAAGCTCTCCGTCTTCACAAAACTGGAGCAACGACCACGAGGTCTCGTCGGCAGTTGATGCAAAGTTTTATCAACTTCCTGCTATTGCACATGTCGAGAAAGATGAACTCGACCACTTGTCGCGGTGCATCCTGGAAGAAAGTGAGACGTGGATGAATTGGATGCACCATGGGCAAGGCATGCCATCACAAATTCTTTGGGAGTCCCTGCTGCATGAGCTCTGCCAACTCGGCGAGAGCAGTCGAGCAAGAGCGTATTTCCTCGCTGGCGCGGAGCTGGGTTGTCGCCCCTCTTGCTTGACGAGATTGGCAGACCTGTGCGGAGATGTCGAGCCGCCAGCACTACTCCGATCAGCCTCTGAGTCTTCCGTGGCTTCAGTGGAGTCTCTCATGCGTCCTGGCTGTTTAGATAGGTGCTTCCGCATGGTACCAGTAGTGCATGAAGGGCGTTGAAGTCGTGCTCTTCTCCGTCGCATCGTGGCATGGTCCTGTAGAACCGGTAGAGCTGCAGCACCTGCTGGTGCAAGCATCGCCGAGGTCGCTCGAGCCTCACGCCCGCGAGCCTGGAGCAACTCCCAAGGCCGAACAGGAGGCGCCTGTCCTCCGGACTGCTGACAGTGCCCCGGACAGACAGGTCCTTGAGTTGGACGCACTCATTTTGCCGCCGGTGCCGAGAAGAGTCGAGCGTGGTACGGACTTCTCGCTTCCGCTTCACTCCACCATCCAGGCATGTGCGGGATGCATGCAGACAGCCTCAAGACGGACAAGCGAGGCAAGCAGGACGACTGCAATTTGGGCCGACCTGGATGAGCAGGAACGGCTATTCCAAGAGCTCGGGCGCGCCGGGTACATACAAAAGCGCATTCACCGCAAGCTGCACGTGCAAGCAGCACAGATCGGCGATCGCGAGCTTCTCAGGGTGGGAGACTTGTGCTTCAGCAAGCAGTTCGCAGAAGTCGAGAGACTTGCAGGGAGAGCATCTACAAACGATTGCTTTCAGTGAGCCAGCCAGAAGTTTCAACTGCGAAGGGTCAGCATGCCAGCTTTGCAAGCTTTGTGCCATGACCTTCATCCACGCCCTTGGGAGCCTCGGTGAGGGTTGCTGTCAGCTGCAGGTGCAGCTGCAGCTGTAGTTTAGTCTCCGCTCTTCTCGAGGATGGATCCTGCCTGAATTGGTCTTCTGAATGAAGAGCTATGTAGGAACATGCCATTTCGGAAGCGGTGGCCGCAGCTTGTGCTACGGAGTGAAGGAGTCAAGTCAGGAAGCTAGGCCGAGGAGTACCATATCGCCACACTGCCAAAGCAAGTTGGCCAAGCCAGCATCTTGTCAACATTGTCCTTTGCTGCCTCAAGAATGAAGTCGCTTCCTTGTAGCCGCTGTCTCTTCCTTTCGAGGCCTCGCACCTGCTGCTTGAAAGATTGGCGGTGCTTGAGTACGAGGGCGTTTGCACAGTATGCAGCTGAAAGATGGAAGAACTCAATTAATTTCACCACCTTCTGGCCCGAGCCGAGCAGGGACAGCTTCGAAACCCATGTCGAAAGCACTGCATAAAGACGAAGACGGCTTTATGGCAGTATCCGAGCATCAGACAAAAGACAACATCGACAACTCTGCTTTGAGCCCTCTCCGCAGCACTGGCAGCAACATGCTCCTGCACGGTCAAGGCGCGGACAGCACCAGACGGAGGAGGAAGAGGATTGCAATACCAGTAGCATTATTCCGCTAGCAGGAGGAGTCGTTTTCCCTACTCTCCTGAACAAATACACTTGGCCATGCCAGGGATTCAACGCTGCTTTAACTGTGATCTCTGGTGTTTTCGCAGAAGGACGGTACAGGTGGTCCGGGTCCTAGCGACCCGATGACGTACGCCCAGGCATGCAAACTTCAAATAAGCCCCGCGAAGATAACACCTTCAGGTCCTGGCAAGGGGTTCATCGTTCTTTGTGATGTCGATTCTGGTATTACGATGTTTGGGAGTTTCATCCGGCTTAGTTGCGGTTTAGCGTTTCAGTGTCCGAGCAGTGTGCATTGGGTTCACACGGGGAGTATGACTGGTTTTGGAGCAGGCAGCAGCAGGCGTCAGGATGAGGAAGAGGAGGAAGGGTAGTAGCGCTAGTGGGCCTGCCAACCACTCGGTCAGCATTTTAAGTTTGGGTACAAGATGCACTTTAGCTGTTTTCGAAGGTGCTATTATGGTTTTGATGTTTGATCCTCATCATGTTCACTTCCGTCAGCGTCATCGCGTCATCATCATCATCATCATCACCACCACTATCACTGATCGCCATCTGAATTTCAATCTTTGGCTTCATGCGCATCCGGTTCATCACCCTCGTCATCATAGGGACCACCACCAGCATTGTCCCCCTGCCATCACCTCTGTCATCATCAGCATCATCAGCACCATCATCATCTTCATCATCAGAATCACCATTGTGGACATGATCACCATCATCGTCTTCATCATCACTATTATCGTAATGGTCATTATCGGAGTCGTCGTCATCTTCATGTGCGTATGCGCCATCACCATTATGTACTGCCAAAACTTTCCTGCGTGCTGCTATGTGCAAGAGCCCTGTTTGCCTCCGGCCTCCTTCTTTCTTTGATGCACTCCGCGCAGGTGCACTGCCATCGCAGACACCAGTGAGCCGTGCGACGATTGTGAAGCCGAAGGAGGCGACCCGATCGCCTGAGATCCTTCAGAGCAGTCATTGGGACAGGGGCCCTCGAAGCATAACTATTGCGACTGCCACGTTGACCTCTTCACAATGACCGCTGTTTTGATCAGTTTGGTTGTTAGTTGTTGTCTTCACAGTAAAGACAGGAATGCCCCAGCCACGGCAGCGTAAGCATCAGACACAGACATAAGGGCAAGCTGTAATTAGGGGAACGGTCCTAGCATCAATGACGAATTCCTCGTGCTGCTGCTCCTCACTCAGCTACTGCTGCCGCTTTGACGATGCGACTGCGACAATATCGGTCGCTCTTGCACTTCCATGACTGAGCTTCGGCTGGTGCCGCTGATGATGCCGCTGCTATGGCACATAGGTAGTGCGTACAGGTTGTAGCAGGAAGCAGCAGCAGGTAATTCCAAGCAATGAGTCTGAGGGTGAGGTTTTATATTGCTGGGCATCGGGTTGATGTATGAAGCAGCAATGCATCATGATGTTGGTAATGTTGATCATCATTAATGCTACCATGCTCCTTGTTGTGACACTGGTGATGCTGGTGCGATCGTGATGGTAATGCTGCTTCTGGTGGCCCTGAGGCGCGAAGCCGGCGAGGCTTCCGCCTAGACCTGGCGGGTTCGTCGGCTTTGGGGTCGCTGGTAGTTGCGCGGGTCGCCGGAGCCTCAGAGCCCGCCTTTTGGGCTTGGTTCTTCATTCAGCGGCGAGCAGGCTCCCATGTGCCCATTGGTCAGACTCCTAGGCTTGCCTAGAATCGGACTGGAAACTGCGAGTTGTCAGATCGGATATCACTTGATTGTTGACGCAAGGCCAAAGTTGCCACCCGTGCTGCCGGCTCTGCAGCTTCCAGCTCTTCCGTTCCAAGCGTGCTGCGCTACTTCCGCTTCCACTCGGAGCTGCCGCACCCAGTGCCCTGGTAAGGGGCCTTCGTCTACCTGTAGTATTCGTTGCATGCTTCTGGCGTCTTGCCTGGGGACTCTGTGCGGGTGTGCTGCAACGAGTGTCTTCAACTATTTATTGGGCCTAAATTGTGCACTCGTTTGGAAGCATCTCCTTTTGTCTGCCATCTGCCTTCCCACCATATGCCGGGAGGTGCCGGCGCGGCGGAGCTACGTGGAGCGGAGGCAAGGCTCCGGCTGGCCGGAGCAATGCCCTCCGATGCAGGCGGTCCGAAGCGTTCGGAACACGGGTGAACCTTGTGCGGACATCCTTCTGCGCTGAGTTGTTGTGATTGGGCCAGGCGGCCTCCGCCTTCGGTTGGGCATCTTGGCTGGCAGCTGGTGTTGCGGTAATTCTTGGTATTCAGCATGCCTCGACATGCCTCGACCTGCGCCTAGGATGTCATAAACCCCTTCGAGATCCAGTTTGACCCTGGCGAGGTGTGAGTTGCTTTTGAAGCCTCCAAGCCCTTGTGGTGAAGTCCGTGGCAGTCAGACTTTTGTTGAATTCTACCCTCTGCGTCAGGATGGCTGGGAAATCCACGGCTCAGTAGAAGTTGGTGGCGGAGACCTCGAGGAACCTGAACAAGAGAATCAGTTTCCTCGGAGGGTTTGGTGGGGTGATGTGGGGTGCAGTAGAGGCAGCTTGGCCGGGTCCTACTCCCCTGTACTCTAAATGAGTTCTGGGCCTTGGCACCGTCTCAACTCGATCATCCTGGTCCCCAGACAAGGGAGAAACGACCGTTGCAGAGGAATCTCCCGTATTGCTTGGCTGGGCGTCCTCGTAACTTGCATCTCTCAAAACCTGAAAAACTTCGCGTCTGCGCCTTGCAATCAAGCTGACACCTGACCGAAGCAGACGACACTATCCTTCTGTCACCGGAAGGAGCGTGGAGACATCGGAGCCTTCGACCAGGAGCTTTCGCCGAGCTGCAAAGATTCCGGAGCGACACGAGCATCCTGAGAAGGACAACTGCTGGCAGTGGGATCCGAATCAGGCAACCCACATGACCTGAGTATCCTTGTCGTAGACCTTGTGCCCTGCTTGCAGAGGCTTTCGGGAGTGGATGCACAGGCGCATGCCCTCTGCCTGCTGAATATTGGCTCAGGCTGTTGGCCGAAATCAGCACAGCTTGTTGGCGCACTTCAACTAGAGATATCTCCCAGATCCACTCCGGCAAGCCGAAGAGACGGAGCGAGTAGTTGTGAGTAGTTCACAGTTCCCGCTGTGCTGAAGACCAACCCCTTGACAAAAGCGGAGGATGCCTGCCATGGCCGAGGTGAAGCCACTGCGCAAGCCGAAAGCCAGGAGCAAGGCAGGAGAAGGAGACGTGCAAGACTTCAGCGAGACCAAGGTCAGGGATCCGACTTCGAAGAAGTCTGCTCCCTTGAAGCGTCTCGCAGAGACAGACGACTCAGACGATGACCGCAAGCGCTTGCGGTTTGATTTCCTACACGATCCGACCGAGATTGGTCGCATGCAGGCCATCCAGTCTGCAAGAAATCAGCGCCGTCAGAGACCCCGCAAGATACGCCGGCAGCTAAGCTCCGACTCGGATGTCAGTGAGCCTGAGATCGAGCGGGCCAGCTTCAACGCGCCAGCAACCGGTGCCCAGCCGACAAAGATTGAGCCACAGCAAGATGATGACTCCGAGATCGAGCGGGCCAGCTTCACCGCGCCAGCAACCGGTGCCCAGCCGACAAAGATCGAGCCACAGCAAGATGATGACTCCGAGAGTGAGGACGACGTAGGACAGCATCGGAAGAAACCTTTCCGGCTGGAGTATCGTCGTCCACGTTGCGATCCTGGCACGTCTCTTCTTCGAAACATTTGGCTCGGACGAGGTGTATCCCCCGAGGAGCGTCGTCGAATCTTGGAACCATTAATTCGGGCAGAGCTCAAGGCTTGGAAGGCTGCGAAGGCTGCAGAGGCTGCGAAGGCTGCAGAGGCTGCCAAGGCTGCAGAGGCTGCCAAGGCAAGGAGCTCTCCTTGTTGAATACAGCATGGCTTTTGTTTGGTTTAGCAGTTCCATTTGGGGAGTCTTATGGTTTCTGGCTTGACTTTGCTTTCGGCGGTTCATCTTGAACTGCTTGTGCTTCTTCCTGTTCGTCCTTTGTCCTACCGTGGCTGCGGTTTGCTTTTGCTTCTTGCTTTCCGGTTTGCTGCCTTCAGCTGATCTTGAATAGTTGTGCATCGTGTTTGCAAGTGGGGGGGGGGGTTTCGCCCCACCCGCCACCCCCCCTAACCGCCCCATCCTTTTATTGAAAACCTTATGCTGTCGAACGCAGCCCAGGTGATATATCTTGTGGTTCCACACTCGCAGTGCTAAAGCCCTAAACCCTAAACCCTAACCCCTAAACCCTTAAGCCTGAACCCGAAACCACAAAAGTAATCCTTAAAGGGACCTTTAAATGAACTTTATGAGCGCCTAGCGCCCTGAAGCCCTATACCCAGACACTCCAACATCCTTTGACTGGGGAATATAACATTTTAAATTGTAGTAGGATCCCTAACTTGATTAAAGGAATATTCCTTAAATTAAGGGACATTGGAGTCTTAAGTGTAAACACCCATTGAAAATGGGCCAACTTCATTGAAATTCTTATGGGGCCCGTGAGGCCTGAAACCTCCACAAGAACACTGAACCCCACACCCCAGACCCTAAACCCTAAACCCTATTCGACCCTTAGGGTATCCCTTAAAGGAACCCTTGAGGTGTCCCTTAACGGGAACCTAAGGGCATTTTTCTTAAAGCAGTCCTTAAGGCATCTTTTAAGGGCTCGTTCAAGGGACCCCTTAAAGGAACCCTTATAGCTCCCTTTAAAGGAAGCTCCCTTTAAAGGAACCCTTATAGCTCTGTTTAAAAGAGCCCTCATAGCTCCCTTTGAAGGGAACCTCATAGCTCCCTTTAAAGGAACCCTTATAGCCTTATAGCTCCCTTTAAAGGAAACCTCATAGCTCGCTTTAAAGGAACTCTCATAGCTTCCTTTAAAGGAACCCTTATAGCTCCCTTTAAAGCATCCCCGGAGGTGTCGAGCCTCCACAAGGGCACCTCCGACTCCTTCACGGAGACCTGCCGGGCCCTGCACGAAGACAGGGACGAGCAGGCGCTTTCTTTAAAGGGATCTATAAGGCTTCCTTTAAGGGGGTTTAGGATTTAGGGTTTAAAGGTCTGAGGTTTCGGGTCTAGGGTTCAAGGTAAAAAGTCTCGGGTTTGGGGTTTGGGGTTTAATGTTTAGGGTTTAGGTTTTAAGGTCCAGGGTTTGAGGTTTAGGGTTTAGGGCTCAGGGCCCTTACCTTTCTTTTGAGGAACCCCTGTAAACGAATCGGAAACCCTGTAGGTGGACACGCGTGAGGCACCTCGGGTCCTCAGCGGTCCTACCTGCTCTGCCTGCATGTAGCATCTGACATGAACGGGTTTTGATGAGCATTGCCAAGCGTGCTTTCCCATCCAAGCGCCGAACCGGCAGCAGGATTAGTCGTGGTCATGTCGACATCGGTATCGCATCGTTGGGTGGTTTCATTCGCCATTGCTCGAATCGCAATCATCGTTGTTGATACGTTGATGGTGCTTGTCGTCTTTCGTTGCACTTCTGCTAGCTGCCAGGGCTTGAGGCACTTCGAGTGTTTAGGAGGCACCTTGTCCAAAGTCGTCCCCCCATATAATTACGGGCGGAATATTGAGCGCCATTGCTCGAATCGCAATCATCGTTGTTGATACGTTCATGGTGCTTGTCGTCTTTCGTTGCACTTCTGCTAGCTGCTAGGGCTTGAGGCACTTCGAGTGTTTCGGAGGCACTTTGTCCAAAGTCGTTCCCCCATATACTGGCGGAATATTGAAGAAACACGGACGAGCCCGAAAGGCCGAATAGTGTGGCCTTGCCAGGACTTTTCACATCTTGACACCTTTCGAACATGGTAACCGTTTAATCGTTTCCCCGTAATATTAAACGCCTCCCCCCCAATATAAAATTGGTTTTCGGGATTCTAATTTTGTATTAGGGGGGGTTTCGGGGCGTCCACGTATGAGTCGGATTGAGAGTATATAATAATGAGCCAGACACAAAGACCGCCCATCACGCAGCCGTTCCGGCTGTAAAGCAAACAGTCCCGCCCTAAACCCTAAAGCCCTAAAGCTCTAAACTCTATAAAGCCCAGAGCCCTAATCCCTTAAACCCTAAACCCTATTCGACCCTTAGGGCATCCCTTAAAGGAGCCCTTGAGGTGTCCCTTAACGGGAACCTCAGGGTGTCCCTTAAAGGAGCCCTTAAGGCATCCTTTAAGGGCTCCTTTAAGGTATCCCTTAAAGGAAAACTTATAGCTCCCTTGAAAGGAAACCTCATAGCTCCCTTCAAAGGAACCCTTATCGCTCCCTTTAAAGGAACTCTCATAGCTCCCTTTAAAGGAACCCGCATAGCTCCCTTTAAAGGAACCCTTATCGCTCCCTTTAAAGCATCCCCGGAGGTGTCGAGCCTCCACAAGGGCACCTCCGACTCCTTCACGGAGACCTGCCCGGCCCTGCACGAAGACAGGGACGAGCAGGCGCTTTCTTTAAAGGGATCTATAAGGCTTCCTTTAAGGGGGTTTAGGGTTTAGGGTTTAAAGGTCTGAGGTTTCGGGTCTAGGGTTCAAGGTCAAAAATCTCGGGTTTGGGGTTTGGGGTTTAATGTTTAGGGTTTAGGTTTTAAGGTCCAGGGTTTGAGGTTTAGGGTTTAGGGCTCAGGGCCCTTACCTTTCTTTTGAGGAACCCCTGTAAACGAATCGGAAACCCTGTAGGTGGACACGCGTGAGGCACCTCGGGTCCTCAGCGGTCCTACCTGCTCTGCCTGCATGTAGCATCTGACATGAACGCATTGCCCATCCAAGCGCCGAACCGGCAGCAGGATTAGTCGTGGTCATGTCGACATCGGTATCGCATCGTTGGGTGGTTTCATTCGCCATTGCTCGAATCGCAATCATCGTTGTTGATACGTTGATGGTGCTTGTCGTCTTTCGTTGCACTTCTGCTAGCTGCCAGGGCTTGAGGCACTTCGAGTGTTTAGGAGGCACCTTGTCCAAAGTCGTTCCCCCATATACTGGCGGAATATTGAGGACACGCGGACGAGCCCGAAAGGCCGAATAGTGTGGCCTTGCCAGGACTTTCACATCTTGACACCTTTCGATCTTGGTAACCGTTTAATCGTTTCCCCGTAATGTTAAACCCCCCTAATCTAAAATTTGATAACCGGGATTCTAATTTAGTATTAGGCGGGGTTTCGGGGCGTCCACGTATGAGTCGGATTGAGAGTATATAATAGTGAGCCAGACACAAAGACCGCCCATCACGCAGCGGTTCCGGCTGTAAAGCAGACAGTCCCGCCCTAAACCCTAAAGCCCTAAAGCTCTAAACTCTATGAAGCCCAGAGCCCTAATCCCTTAAACCCTAAACCCTATTCGACCCTTAGGGCATCTCTTAAAGGAGCCCTTGAGGTGTCCCTTAACGGGAACCTCAGGGTATCCCTTAAAGTAGCCCTTAAGGCATCCTTTAAGGGCTCCTTTAAGGTATCCCTTAAAGGAAAACTTATAGCTCCCTTGAAAGGAAACCTCATAGCTCCCTTTAAAGGAACCCTCATAGCTCCCTTTAAAGGAACTCTCATAGCTCCCTTTAAAGGAACCCCCATAGCTCCCTTCAAAGGAACCCTTGTCGCTCCCTTTAAAGCTTTAAAGGAAACCTCATAGCTCCCTTTAAAGCAAACCTCATAGCTCCCTTTAAAGGAACCCTTATAGCTCCCTTTACAGCATCCCCGGAGGTGTCGAGCCTCCACAAGGGCACCTCCGACTCCTTCACGGAGACCTGCCCGGCCCTGCACGAAGACAGGGACGAGCAGGCGCTTTCTTTAAAGGGATCTATAAGGCTTCCTTTAAGGGGGTTTAGGGTTTAGGGTTTAAAGGTCTGAGGTTTCGGGTCTGGGGTTCAAGGTAAAAAGTCTCGGGTTTGGGGTTTGGGGTTTAATGTTTAGGGTTTAGGTTTTAAGGTCCAGGGTTTGAGGTTTAGGGTTTAGGGCTCAGGGCCCTTACCTTTCTTCTAAGGAACCCCTGTAAACGAATCGGAAACCCTGTAGGTGGACACGCGTGAGGCACCTCGGGTCCTCAGCGGTCCTACCTGCTCTGCCTGCATGTAGCATCTGACATGAACGGGTTTTGATGAGCATTGCCAAGCGTGCTTTCCCATCCAAGCGCCGAACCGGCAGCAGGATTAGTCGTGGTCATGTCGACATCGGTATCGCATCGTTGGGTGGTTTCATTCGCCATTGCTCGAATCGCAATCATCGTTGTTGATACGTTGATGGTGCTTGTCGTCTTTCGTTGCACTTCTGCTAGCTGCCAGGGCTTGAGGCACTTCGAGTGTTTAGGAGGCACCTTGTCCAAAGTCGTTCCCCCATATACTGGCGGAATATTGAAGAAACACGGACGAGCCCGAAAGGCCGAATAGTGTGGCCTTGCCAGGACTTTTCACATCTTGACACCTTTCGATCTTGGTAACCGTTTAATCGTTTCCCCGTAATATTAAACGCCCCCACCCAATATAAAATTGGTTTTCGGGATTCTAATTTAGTATTAGGGGGGGTTTCGGGGCGTCCACGGATGAGACGGATTGAGAGAATATAATAATGAGCCAGACACAAATCACGCAGCCGTTCCGGCTGTAGAGCAGACAGTCCCGCCCTAAAGCCTCCTAAAGCCGTAAACCCTAAAGCCCCAAAGCCCTAAAGCTCTAAACTCTATAATGCCCAACCCTAAACCTTAAACCCTAAACCCTAATCCCTTAAACCCTAGAGCTCTGGTCTCCTCGGTTTGATTAGTACAGCTGTAATCTCTGGCTCTATTAAAACTCATACAATCCTAATCCTAGCTCCCGCCTAATGTTTTTAATTGACTTTCAATTATGCGCTCGAAATCGCGAAATCCTGGCGGCGAGTTAACTTTATATTAGGGGGGCTTTAGTATTAGGGGGAAGCGATTAAATGACTTCCGTTTCCCCGGACGACCGCAGCTGCCTCGGGACTCTGGAAAGAACGTGGTTAGTTTTAACGGATACCGCGCCGCAGCGGTATATGCTGGGCTACAGAAACCCAACAGCATTCAAATTCCACCCCGTCCCAAAAGCCCAAGTAAGTTCTCGAACCAAAGTAACGCTGGTACAGGCGGCCAAGGACGACAAGGACGGAGCGCAGTTGGCCGACAAAGACGTTGCAAAACTGCTCTCGAAAGGTTTAAGCGGCTATAGCAGCTCTGAAAGATTGGCGTCACTGATACAGCAGTTTGAAGTGTCAAAGACAACTGTGGAAGATTTGGGAAGGCGCAAAATGCAGCCAAAGTGCCTCATGCAGCAGTTCGGGCTAGCCTTGGGCGAGGCCCTGGCAGTATTGGACCTAGCCGACTCCAGGACTACATCGGAGCAAATGGCAGGCATCGTGGCACGTGGTGCTGTGAAGCGCAATATTGCGGTTCTGGATCTTACCCAGCCCCTGCCACCCCCGCCCGACCCCAGGACCACATCGGAGAAAACAGAAGGCATCGTGGCATGTGGTGCGGTGAAGCGCAAGATTGACGTGCTGGATCTTACCCAGCCCCTGCCACCAACGAAATATGTGAAGCCAGCCCAATCAGATGATGCTGGCCGGAAGCCCATCACGAGTACTGCTCTGGTTCCTGAATTCGCCAAGCCTCCGAAGAATCGTTCGAGAAGCATCAAGCGGAGGAGCCCGACCACTCGACCAGCACGACGACGAGCAATTTGGCAGAGAGCCATCGCGGAAAAGGAGCGCGAACAGTGCCTTGCGACTCCTCGAAGGAAGTACTGTCGCTACAGCCCATGTTTACATGCAACAGAACTGATGTTTTTGCTATCATGACAGTGATTTGTGGGGGTAGGTGCTGCCTCACCGGATCTCTCCTCATGTCTATCCGGAGATCCGGCTGGCTTCCTACGCAGCGTCACGTGCTGATGCGTGTTGAGCCATGCAAGGTAAGACTCGCAGACTATTGCGGTCATAAACTGGCTCACAATGCGTGATACCACACTATTGCAGGGCATACTTCTGTTCCGAGTTTTGATGGACTGAGCCGGAACCGAGGAATCAGGCCAAAGTGTCTACGTACCTTTACTTGCAGACCCCGCCCGGGCGACTTGGTCAGAACAGGAGAACGAAGGCAATGCCTGCTTTCAGGAGCAATATAGAGGCGCTTTCAGCAGGAGGCCGATGTCTGCAGAAGGCTGCATGTATGCTGCATGTTGCATAACAACTGAAGCATAGCCAGTCGGCGGGTCTCACAGGAACTTGAGCCGTGCAGAGTTGCGCCGCTAAGGTGGGCCGTCCTGATGCTGCAACCTCGGTCAGCAGCTGAAGCGCAGTTACGCTGGTTCTTGGTCCCATGCAAGGAGCGACATCCCAAACCTGAAGCGGCGCCTGGGGCTCAGCCACTCTGTTGTGACGGGGTGTTTCATGAAGTAGTTGGTGGTCTTTGAAACGGCGCTGTCACTGTCAGGCTTCCGGATATTAAGCGCGCTGATCGATACTTGGAAGCAGGATGATCTGAGGAGTTGCTGGCTTGTGATAGCAATTAGCTCGGGTTCAGACCTGGCACCGTGGCCTTCGGGGATGCAAGCGAAATGATGTGTTACGGAGCGATAGTGGTTGATGATAGGCATTTCCCAGCCGCCCATGTTGCAGAACAGCAAGTGTCGCAAGGACACCGACTGGTATTTTCCAGCACACCCCTGGCATGCAGTGGTTGAGCTGCCGAGGACGACAATGGTTCGCGAGGTTTCTCATTGTCTTGCTGCCAAACAAACAGAGGCGACAGAGGCAGAGAGAGAGAGCCGGAAGCCAGGAGCTTCCCCTAAGAAATCGGAGTGGGGTTTGGCTATCAGTTTTTGTTATGAAATTATTATCACTGAAATGTGTCGTGGCCGTTGTCATTCTTTCGGATACGACCAGCTTTACTGTCTTTGTGTCGCAGGTTCTTTTGTCGTCATTTTCAATCATCTTCTGATTGGCTATCCTTCATCGTACTTGTCGCATGCCTCGACATCGCCGCCGTTGCTTCTTGTCTTATGGTGGTGGTCAGACTGATTCGAGTTCTGTCATTGCCACCGAGTGGTAGTGTGATACTCAACGTTCCTATGGTTACATCTCATGATCGGATGTCCCTGTCGCTTTCAGGACTGCAGCCGGGAAGCCGATCGTGTTGAGGGAGGGCGAGCCGTGGCCGGGCTTTGACAAGTCAGCTTTGTTTCTCATTAGCGTTTTTCCTTCTTCGGCTTGAGGAATTGGGTCTAAGGCACTGGTAGGTGTTTACTGGCGTTTATTGTATTTCGTCAAGGAAGCGTCTCTCAAACAAGCTCGAACATAAGCTTCAGGAGACCTGCCCTCATTTCGATGCGCTTTGTCAGAGGTGCTCTGCTGGTCTGCCGTTGTTACTGCACCTTTGGACATCTGAGGCTTTGCAGGCTGACGGCCGTCAAGCGCGGGACGTATGCAGCCCGGTGCCTAGCCACGGGGGCCGGAAGTTCAAGCTTAGTTTTGGCATTTTGTGCTCGGGCGCGATCCTTGGTGTAAGCTTGCAGTAGCAGCTGCAGATCTGATGCCCCACCATCATTTTACGGCCACAGCACACTCTTGAACCATGCTACGCAAGAGGCCGAGAGGGAGCATCTAGTGGGTCAGTGCGGAGGACAGATGGGCACGCGGCAGCCCAAAGGTCGGGACAGGCTCTATGGCTTTGCGGGAGGAGGCATGGGAGTGCCCCTTTTTTCAGGCCTAGCCTCGGTCACGGGGCCCGGCCCAGTCAAACCGGAGCCAAAGGTTTTGGTGAAAGCTTCGACCTCGAGTCAAGTTGTTCCACAAGAAGTATGCCATTGCAGTGGGTCGGTAAAATGGGGGAGCCGTGCTCCATGTTGTGGTCATTGCTCTGGGTTGAAGTTCCATGTTCTGTTTTAACCGTTATGTAGGAGCCGGGAATGCCATGAAGCCGCTAGACAGAGAACTCTGAGGCCCGTGAGATGAAGCCAGAAGAGGCACGCATGCTCTGTTTGCTCCAGGGTGTTTGGGCTTGATATGGCCTGATGATTCGTCGCGAATTCTGCTCTTGCTTGATGAGTGGAGCTTGCAAGTCTAATTATTTGGTCTTGTCCGACCCGTGTCTGGGGGCCACGGCGGACGTGAGAGGGATGCGATCTGCTTGCTGTCATCGCCTTTGATGTTGCAAGTATCTGCAATGTCGCTAATTACAACGATCCTGCGTGTTCGAATCGTAGACATATTCCACGTGGTGCCTGGCCTGTGTTCGCTCTGTCTTGTGCAGTTCAAGAAGCTCTATCGCGGCGGCACGGAGCCTACAAGCCTCCTGACGTCTTGAGAGCTGAATCTGGATGACGCATATCATGTGAGCATCATCCTGGCAGCTCGAGCATGGCAAAATTGGGTGGCAAGATAACGCGTGCCTGTTTGCACAAATACAACTAACGGGTGAAGAGGCTACAGTACGAAACAAGACGCCATATCCTTCGGACTCCGTCAGAAGCATGGAGGGAAAGTAACAGCACCAAAGAATACCAGGCAGACCCGAAGTCCGAAATCCCCAGAAGCGGTTGTCATGCCCTGAAACCCTAGATACCTAAACCCCAATCCCGAGATCCTAGAGCCCCAAATCCGTCAACCCTAGAACCCGAAGCCCCAACCCAGAAACCCGAGAACCGTAAGCCCAAGCCCTCTTCCAAAAGCCGGTATAGCTGAAAAGGCTGCCTTTGCTTTGTGTCTTGGGCAGGGATCTTTGCTGTGAAACCCTAAACCCTTTCGCTAGAGCCCTGACCCCCTAAGTCCCAGAGCCTTAAATCCCAGAGCCCTAAATCTTAAAATTTCCTGCCCGGGTGAGGTCAGGCCTGGCTCCAGAAGAACGGTCGGCCCTCTGAGGACCCCGAGGCAGAAGTTTGGGGGAGCTTTTGGGGTGTAGGATGTCTTTTGGGGTTTGCGGTTTAAGTTTGATTAAGGGAGGTTTTTTGGAGGGTGCACAACTTGACGGCTTAGGGCTTAGGGGCTCGCGGGTTAGCATGGGCTGATGTTTTTGTTTGGGTTGGGATCTTCAGGCTTCACGCCCTTAAAGGCTAAACCTTAAAACCCAAAAGCCGTAACTTCAACCTCAAAGCTTAAACCCTTAGGAATCAAGGCTGTTTCGGAACTTCCATAAGCGATGAGGCCACTAGAGTTTGACAAGTCGCGGCTTGGACTATCTGAGTGTGTAGTCATTGTAGCCTACATATCACGGGAGACGTCAGGAGATTTCAAGATTATGAAGAGCAACATTGCACATCTTTGGCATGAGCGGTGTAGCTGGGGTTGGGGGACAAGGAGGAGAGCTCTTGGCTCCGCTGTGCTTCCAGGCCGAGGAGGGGGTCCTGGACATCCGCGGAGCCTATGCTCGGCAGCAGCAGTCCCTGGACTTCGAGGCCCGGCCGGCTGCTGCCATCGGCCGACGTGCAGAGAGAGACAGAGACCGGTCGCTCTGACAAAGCAAAGCAAGGGAGAGGGAGAGATAGAGTGGGAGAGAGACCCCATTACAGGTCCTACAAAAGATTGAGAGACTGCGCGCCGTGCTGGCGTTCAGGGGTTAGGGTCGTGCCAAGCCCTGCATGTGTTGGAAACAAAGGAGGAAGTCAAGAAGGAAAGAAAGAAGCAAGACAGAAGGAGAAGACAGGGCGAAAGTGGGGGAACATATTCGGAATCATAGAGGTCGACACCGGTGCAGAGCCTCAATGGAGAGACAAGCTTTCAAAGAAGAGCATAGGTCGGCATAGTGCAAGAGGAGCCTTGTAGTCTTTTGAGATTGTGTGTCAAGTGAGAGTCAGTTATCTCTGAGTCGTGTTTGTCCTGCAGCTGCTCGTGCCGATTGCGCACGGATCAGCGGATCAGTGGTAGTGCGTCGCAGATTTCGGGTTCCATTGCGCAGAGCTTGTGGTCAAGAAGAGCTGGAGGATCAGCAAATCCAGTCCTACCCACGCATTGACTTCGCAGGAAGAAGGACTACGTGTGCGTAAGAGAACGTCACAGTGCCATCTGCCTTTCTCACCGATGCCGGCGTGCTCGGCGCAGCTCCCTCCAGAGAGAGATTCAGGGAGAGATGGTGGGAAGAGACCTTTCCATGTGCGGTGTCTCGCCAGGCATTTTCAGCTCAAAGGCTCCTTCTGCTCAAAGGGAAGAACTTGTAGACTTGTGCCATGGCCGAACGACCTGGTAACGAGGACTTCGAGGGAGTAGTGGCCCCGGAGAAATCAAACACAGAAGGGGCGGCTACTCCTGGAAAGATTCAGCAAGATACTCCCGGTGTGCATGCTGATGCAAAGAGCGCACTTAGCAGAAAGACATTCCTTTGCCTTGCAGCTGCTTACACCGTGGAAGGTGTAGATTCGCAGCTCCTCAGCACATGTCTCTTTGCTTTACAAAGAGACATCGACCTCACCCTCCACGAGATTGCCATTCTAACAACCGCCCAGATGATCTTCGCCAATTTGGCAGCTCCCTTTTGGGGAATCCTTGCAGATCGACAAGTGCTGTCACGACGGACCATCCTGTCATTTGGTTGCATCGGTGTTGGCTCCGCTGTGACTGTCATGTCCCTCGTGTCCTCCATGCTGCCCCTTGTTTTCCTCCGTGCAATGTGCGGCTTCTTCCTGGCCACCCTGAAACCCGTGAGCATCGGCCTGGTAGCAGACGCAACGCCAGAGCAGCATCGAGGCAAGATCTTCGGGCAGTTGCAAAGCTTCTTCATGTTTGGAATGCTCATCACCACGCTGATCGGCGGCAATGTGGCCAACATCTTCATTGCAAGGCTTGCCGGCTGGCGTGTCCTGTTCTTTGTCACCGGTGTTCTAACTTATGCCGTGGCAGCGATCTTGGCCAAGTGCATGGTGGAGCCTCCACGGCAAACAGAGAAGCCAGACAATTTCAAAACGGGAGTTTGCAGGACTGTCGGGCAGGAGCTGATGGCCGTGCTACGCTTCCTGACGATCCCATCTTTCAGCATTTTAGTGTTGCAGGGCATCTTCGGGAGCATTCCATGGAGCATCATGGGGAACAACCTGCTTTATTTCAAGCTCTGTGGCTTGCAGGACTGGGAGTCGTCAATTCTGACAGCAGAGTTTACAGCTGCTGGAATGATCGGCGCCCTCCTGGGTGGCTTCGTCGCTGACACCTTGGCAAGGCTACTGGGTCAGCATGGCAGGCCACTGAATGCACAGATTACGGTGGCGATAGGAATCCCGTTGATGTACCTGCAGTTCTACGGGGTTCCTGCGGGGCAGGGATCCTTCTGGGTATACTTCGCGATCATCGGCTCCTTCGGTGTCTTCGCCACATGGGCTGGCATCGGCACGAATCTTCCCATCCTCTCGGACATCGTGCCGGCAGAGCATCGTTGCAAGGTGGGGGGGCCTCGTCGATCATGCAGAATTCATTGAAAAGCATAAACTTCAGAAGGCGTAGGTCAGCATCAGGTAGGAGTTCATATGGAACATCATTCGATCGACGTGCAGCCACTAAGCTGTGAGGTCATGGCTTGGGAGGGTGCTTTGGAGAGCAGTACAGCGGCCGCTATCGGGCCGGTGATTGTTTCGCTTTTGGCTCAGAATCTTTTCGGCTACCACTTCGGCGAGGATGGCAACACGGACAGCACGTTGGACTCAGCCACAGCGCTTGGAAAGGCCATGGCGGCTACCATCTGCATCCCGTGGACCATTTGTCTCATTGCCTATAGCCTCCTGCATTGGAGTTATCCGCGGGATCTGCGCCGATTGCGGGAACAGCGCAAGGCTGGGGAGGTGAGCTCCGAAAGCCAGGGCAGCCTCGCACCGAGTGTATGAGCAGCTCTTGGCTGGAGCGATGACTAGGCGCCCGCCAGCTCCACTCGTGAAGGAACGTGGACTGGCGAGCATTGCAAAGGCCTGAGAAGGCAAGTGCATGAGAGCTTCTTCTCTTTTTCAATACCCGTGCAGCAACAGGAGGCTGTACTATCTTCAGGGCACGCTCTTGTTGAATCCCAATACCGAGCTTGATCACTGGAAAGGCCCACAGCTCAATACAACCGGTCTTAACAGCCCAAGCTGGTGCTGGACTGTAGTACGGTACTACTTTAGCATACTGTTCTATCTCTTGTCATCTTTTGTATATAAAGGGGCCTCAGAGGTTGGCTGCCAAGGAGATTTGAATGCTTTGCCTGGCTGCAAGCAAGCCGGGGGCCTGGCAGCATCAGCCGCCTCTATCAATACCAGAAATCTTTATGCAAGAGTCGTGCCCTCATGAAGCAAGCGAGGAAGTGCTGGCTTCACCATACCGTGCATGTGGTCTGATGCTTGTTAAGCAATGGCCTCCACCTGCAGCTCATGAAGGAGCTATATGCTGTTGCTGCGAGTAACGATGTTCCGATGGCGACTTGGGCTCCATGACGTGGACCGCAGAAAAGCTATGGGTTTACGTGTGACTGATTCAATTTTCAACCATGCCATCGTCTGTGCGTGGATTGCCAGGTCAGAAGACGACGGAGAAGTGTTGCATGGGATCAGTAGTTCCGTCAAGTTCCAAGAGGTAGGCCCAGCTAGGCATGTAGGTCATGAACACCAGCCAAAAAGAATCTGCTGTACGACTCTGCATGTAGGCTGTTGCTGCATGCATGCTGGGTACGGGCCTCCTGCACAAACCTTGCATGCTGGATTGCGCACTGTATCGCAGCTGCTTGTGGCTCATGAGGACAGAGTGGCTAAACCGAAAATGCGTACCGCCACGTACCATGGCATTACAGGCATTCTTCCCAATCTGCTGAGTTGCCGCTTTTCACAAAGTAGGAGGCTGTTGCGCTCTCATGTGTTGCTGCCAGCTTGGCGTGCTGTGGCAGGCTCTTGGCTTGTGTATGGTCCTTCCGTCACCCAGGGTCTACGGCGTGAGGGTGCTGCTCGCGGGGCCTGGGAACCAAACCGCTCCTTTCCGCTTCGAAGTGTGCCCGCTGCCAGTCATGCTATGTCGGATGGATGGCAGGTTCGCAGGCCCTCTGGCCGTTCAAACGCACATGACTTCGGAAGCCATAGACGAGCAGCGCACTCAGAGGGCGATGTGAGCATCCTGTGGTAAGACTTGAATAGCAACACGGTACTTCCGTGATCTTCGGGCTGCTGTTGATGCTTCTCAGCTGATTTGCCAACATCTTTCTACATTGCCAGTGGAAGGTCCACAGACGGCTTTGGGCAGGACCTGCGAGATTGCTGAAGCTTTCAACAATTTGGGGTTTAAGATCAAAAATGATGCTCTGCGCCTCAAGGCGAACAATTTAAGGTTTAAGCTTTAAGATGAACGCTGAAGCCTTAAGGTTTGTAAGTTAGGGTTTATGCTTCAAGGTTACTGTACCGTTGATAGTTTTAGGTTGTGAGGTTTAAGGTTTGTAGTTTGGGGTTGAAGGTGCATATGTAACTTCGTTTTTGAGCTCTCGGGCCTATACCACAGGGTTAAAGGTTAGTTAATGATTTAGGGTTTAAGGTTTGCAGCCTCGGGCTTTGGGTTTGCGATTTATAACTTTGGTGATGTGGCGATTGCGCGGGCCTTGCGCATAGGTTGGAGCTCCTCAGTGCGGAGGTAGGCAGACACAAGCGGTGAGGTGGCACACACAATAGTCGTTGAACAGGGTTCATCAAAAGTTGGCACGGCACCAGACTGACATCCACCCTGAGCAACCTGCTGATGGAGTACAGTGGATTCGAGCCTAAAGGGGTGGAAAGGAATAGACTCAGACAGCGAGGCCTGCAGACGGCTTGCAAGCCAGAAATCCCAGCATCCTGAGCCTCAACGTAGCTTCGGGCTCGATTGCCACTCACTAAAGGAGGACGAGTTGCAGACTTCACCCTTTTCAGGACACACCGGCGCCTCCCGCGAGGAAGTTCCACAGAGTTCTGACCTTGGCTTCTTTGAACATCTTGGCCCCTGTCCTTGCTTGCCTCTTCAGGCGCGGTCGTCCTTGCGGATGGACCCTGAGGCGTGGTTGGTTCCGGTCAGCAGCGGGCATGAACATTTAATTCGCCAAGTTACCGAACTATTGAATCACCAAGCCCGAGATTACCAACTTTCTCAAGTGGCTAAAGCCGCACTGACTAGATCATTGAACTTCGGACCCCGAGATGATTAAAACCTGAAGCCCTAAACTCTCAAATGGGCAGTTTGCTCAACACCCCAAAGCCAAAACTCTGAAACCCTGCCCTGACCCTAAACCCCCGAAGCCAAAACTCTAAAACCCGACCCTAGACCCTAAACCCTCAGCTCCAAAGAACATCTAAGAACCCTACAGACTTCTCAGACACTCTAATATCCCTTATTCCGGAACATTCCTTAAACCATAGTAAGGATCCTTACTATGATTTAAGGAATATTCCTTTTGTTTCAGGGATATTGGAGTTGCTGTAGACCCTATAGATGCCTTATGGATCCCTTTAAAGGAACCCTTAAGGATCCCTTTAAAGGAACCCCTTAAGGATCCCTTGAAAGGACCTTAAGGATCCCAGGAACCCCTAGAGATCCCTTTAAAGGAGTGCCTGGGTTTCCATGTTTTTTTGCAGGAGGCTGCCGGCCTGGAGCTCGAGAACCGCCACCTCCGCCGGCGCGTGGCCGTCCCGTGGCCTTTGGGAGGGGTTGAGTCATTAGGGGAATTAGGGTTTAGGGGATTAGGGTTTAGGGGTTTAGGATTTAGGGGATTAGGGTTCAGGGGAATTAGGGGAATTCGGCTTTAGTCATTGAACTCGGGGAATGGGGATTAGGGGACTTAGGGTTTTAGGGGTTAAGGGTTTAGGGATTAGATGGGATTCGGGGTTTAGGGATTAGGGGAAGGGAATTAGGGGAATTACAGATTAGGGAATCGGGGATTAGGGGAATTAGGGGAATTAGGAATTAGGGGAACTAGGGGAATTAGGGTTTAGGGGTTGAGGGTTGAGGGGATTAGGATGAGGAATTAGGGAATTAGGGTTTAGGGGAATTAGGGGAACTGCGGGGAATTAGGGTTTTGGGGTTGAGGGTTTCGGGGATTCGGTTTGGGGTTTAAGGGGCATTCAGGAATTCAGGTTTAGGTTAGGGGAGAGAATTCCAGGGGCCTCAAGCTCACTTGCACAATCGAGAAAATTCGACGGTTTGAGTCGGTTCCCCACATTTTGGAGGCAACGACGGCCCAAAACCAAAGGCGACCTCAAAACGGCATCCACGCTGCAGGGTGGTTTGCACAACGTACTACTTGTAGCTTTGTGCCAGCTTCATCTCCTTAGCGAGTCGCCCCGTTTTGGAGTGCGCTTTGCCTCTGGCTGCGCGGGGAACCAAGGAGCTGGAGCATGCCGCAAACTCGGACAGGGAACCGCGAATCAAATCATGCAACAGCCTGTCGGCCTTCTGGGGAAAGAGTCGACGTGTTAAGCCCGTGGCTTCAACTTTGGGGTGTCTGAGATGGGACCTTCTCGTGCCGAGGCCCTCGAGGCCAAGCACGACGGCTCGCGCGAGGGCCCGGAAAGCCAGGGCCAGTCGAAGCCGAAGTCGCCGCAGAAACTCCTCCAGGCAACCGGGACCAGACTTCTGACTGCGGCAGAGCTGTCGAGAGCGGCAGGGGCTGGACTCCAGCGGCTCCGAGGAGTCGGACGAGGAGGCTCTGCGGGCCGCCGCTCGACTGGGAAGGGACGGGAAGGGTATGGAAGGCTGCGAGGCATAACTTGGCATGACGAGGCCCGGCGGGGTGCTAGGCATGTCCGGTCTTTTCATCTCAGGAAAAGCGAATGAAAGGGTGCGATCCCAAGTTGTCCGGCGCTGTAGGAAGGTGCAGAGGTGCTGTTGTTATGTTTCTAAGGATCGTGGTGTCGGGCAAGTGGAGGAAGCTGGCAAGAGCCCCGGGCAATGGTACATCGGACCTTCCAATTCTAGCCGGAACTCAGAGTGTTTCCTCGTTTATGTCTGCAAGAGCAGTCGTGGGTTAAACGTGCTTTGCCTTTATAAGATCTCCATTACGTGTTTTGCCTGCAGGCGGAGGGCATGAAACGCTTGGTGCGCGAGCAAGACATGGTCGGGCGCTCAGTCGTCTGTTTCTCCGGCGTGGTAGAAAGGCCCTGAGCTGTGCCATGACAACTGCCGAATTACTGTGGAATTTATGAAACACCGGGCCAGCTCGTCCATCAAACTTCAGGTGCCGCGAGCGCGTGTACAGGCATAGAGCTCTTCACACAAGCAGCTATGGCGGTCGAGCATCCCAGCGATGTGATGCAGTGGTTCGAGTCGGTGCCCCACTTGCTAACGGAGCCGGAGTGGGAGGTGTGCGAACGCGCCGGGTCGTCAAGCCTATCCCACTGCCACTGCCCTTGGGGTGGTCGCTTGTTAAAGCTGACCCTCAGTGGTATCCAGGTGCAGAGTGCTGACACCAGCAAGCTACTGCTTAGGCCGGAAACTAGAGCAATGCACGAGACGCTGGGGGGTCGCATGGAGCTGTTGGAGCAGCTGGCACCAGGCGACGCGGTCGTAAGGCAGCCTGCATCGTGGGGGCTTCTGCAGCTGGCCAGCTTGGTGTTTGGGAAAAACGAGGCATTGGGCGCTGGCCTCTCGGAGGTCTCTGTTCCCATCGTTTGCCGACAGACGCTATGCCGGGCCTGGCCAACAAGCGAAGACACTTCCCTCATGTTCTCCCGGAAAGATGGCGATCCTGCCGATGCCCTGTTGATCTGCCGACCACAAGCGGCTGACCAGGTTGGACTTGTGGGAATTTTCGCTGTCTCTGCAGAAAAGTTCGACCAATGGATGTCAACTCACCACGCCCTCTTTCTGGACACGGTTCTTCGGGCCGCGACGCAATTCTTGAACCGGCCAGGGATCTCAGACTTGCGCGCCCTGGACGCGAACATGTACACTGTCCTTAGCATCCACAGCTGCAAGCGAGGGCCCCCGCTGCTACCGCTGGCACCTGGTTCAACTGAGCCGGCATCAGTCACGATCAAGACAGACGAACGGAGTCAGCTTGGTGCTTGGAGCCGCATTCCTTTAGGCCCGGATGGCAAGTTTCGCTTGGTGAACTTCGTCAAGCAATTTGCCGCGAATCTCGGGATGAACCTGAAAGCTTACACTTCGCTGGATGGCCAGAGGTTGGTTCACTACCAGTGCGCAGTCAGGCGCGACGAGTGGGAGCGCGTCCGCGAGCAATTCCTTGAAGCCTTCCTGGTGCAGAAGCGCGCGTATCGCCGAGCTAACGGCGGCTCGTGTGCTCCTTGCCTTGCAGTGGATGCTGAGCCCCGTTTCGCTCCAGACGATAGACGTGTGGAGGTGGCCAGCCAGATTAGATGCAGGCAGCAGAAGCCATCGCAGCACAAGACGGTGGTGCGTCGCACCTTCATCGAGGTTGCCGAGGACGACAGCACCGAGGATGAGTTCGTGATCATCCGGGAGAGATCCAACAGACGTGCTAAGACCTTCCCAACTCGCTGGCCTCCATCCTCGGACTCGGAATAGGAGCTGCTGCGCATGAGCATGCCTCACTTTCAGACCTTCAGCTGGCAGGCTTCGAGGAGAGCCGCTGGATGTCAAGTGCATGTGTGACGAATTCATTGGCCGACATGACAATCAGGCGGAAATGTTGTCAGACGGCTCACCGACCGTGCTCTGGTTCATGTACAGCCACCACTTGTGCGGGCAAGCAGCTTCCAGCCGCTGCACATGTACAAGAAGACTGGCGCCCGTTCGCCTTGGGTCGGATCGACTTAGGTCGAACATTTCTGTGAGGCCATCCCAGCTAAGTGCACGCCAAAGGGTCGGCACAGGGATGGTGGCAAGTTCCTGCTACGTTCTTGACCCGGCTGGTGGACCTCAAGCAGCATCAGTTGTTGCGTCTATCGGCTGGAGCAGGCATGCAGTGATGCAGTGCAAGGGCGACTCAAAAGCTCGTCCGGCGAGAAACGAAGACGACCGTGACCGTAGCTGCATCAGTTGCTGTGGCTGCAGGGAGGCAGACGATTGTGTTTGACAGGAGGGCCAACTGCTGCAGTGAACTTCAAGACCGGTATTCTGCTTTGGCATCTGGTTGTGCAAAGAAAAGTCAGGGATGCATCGCGACAGTCAGTTCTGATTCACCCAGGACGACATCGAAGCCGAGAACGAAGAGTTGAAGGCCGCGTGCTGAAAGGGCGGACTCTCATGTTTTTTGCAAGAGGAGGTGATGCTTGATTGTGCTGCTAGCATGTAGCCGCCTCAGGAGCATGTGCTCCACTTGGAGGAGCGCTTGAAGCAGGCCTCCCACGGACTTTACACCAAAACATACATTCGGCTGCGGCAGACGCCTAGATAGCACAACTCTCCTGCATCAGAGTAATGGTATGTCATGCGATGTGCGGCCGAAGGTGAAGTTGGAGGCTCATCGCCTGCAGCTGCAGGTGCAGGCAGGGAGCCTGCTGGGGTGCAAAACTCTCATCCCTATGCTACTGGTAATCCCTGAGTTCCTGAGTGTCCCAGCTTTTCCACGCGAAGCAAGGACGACGCTCGCGTTCAAAGCAGCTACAAAGACGCCCTGGTACACGTCCGGCGCTTGGCACCATCAGAAGTCGTAATGTTAGACCCCGATCGCTTTGCCCAGGGCCCACGAAAACCAGAAATGGGACCATTTCGGCATGAAGCAGTAAAGGAAGAGCTTGCAGAGGCCGCAAGATGGCGCAAAGGCAGAAGAGGGAAGGACGGAAGAAAGAACCCGACTCGAACTCGTCCTCAGACTGAAGGAGCACGCTTCGAAGTCAACCTGCATCACAGTGCATATCTCATCAATGGAGCCACTACCGCTACTACTACTACTACTACTACTACTACTACCACCACTACCATTACCACCACTACTACTACTACTACTGCTACTACTACCACTACCACTACCACTACCACTACCACTACCACTACCACTACCACTACCACTACCACTACCACTACCACTACCACTACCACTACGACTACGACTACGACTACGACGACGACGACGACGACGACGACTACTACTACTACTACTACTGCTGCTACCGTTTTGCTGCGACGGCTGCTGCTGTTTACTGTCGTGATAGTAGGGCACCATAGCAACATGATGCGTGGCTGCACACAGATGGATGCAGACACACACAGACAGTGACAGACACGGTCACGGAGACCATCCCACAAAGCAAGCGGTCCATGTAAAGTGCTGGCAGGTGAGTGGCTCCCCTGCTAGTTCCCTTCCAACCATCCTGCCCCCACGATGTGGAGCATCGGCTTTTCGACCGTGTCTCCTTAGCTGGACCTGCTGCCGAGACTCGAGACCGAGGCTCAGCAGCAAGTGGAGACAGCACAGATGGAGACGGATATCCAGCGACGGAGGGCAGCAGATCTAAAGGAGCCGAAGGCTGTCCATGTGGCTTCATGCCGGCTTTCGGCTACCCTTGGCAGCTCTTTACACCGGTGGCCTGATGTGCTACTCGCAGGAGATGCTGGAGCAAATGGAGCTGGAGCTCAGCCTCGTGTGCGTCTCAGTTGCGTAGCAGGATCGACTGAGTGGTGAAGCATTCTGGAAAGCGGGGTTCAATTGCGAAGCACTCGCAGTGGATGCAGCATGGGCATGGGATGATGTTTTCTTGAAGACTGCGCAAATGCTGCAATCCTGCTTTGTGCCCCGCATTATTCTTCGGTGATCTGAAGATTTTGAGGTATCGTCTTCACAGTGAATTTTCAAGCACAGGTCAAGCTGGACACAAGTCCAAAGCCCGCAAAGGAGTCTGCATGAATCCCAGTTGCAAGCTTTTGCGAAGGGGTTTGGTGGCTGATGTGATCTCATGTCAATTGGTTGGATTGAAAGCTTCCTCGACGAATGTGCCTTCTTTATTAGCCAGCTAGGCTTCGGCTTCTGCAGAAACGTTTCACTGGGCGCCTGTGAGGTCGCTACACCCGAGACTGCCGAGTGCGCCCGCAGTTCTGGCTGCACAGCGTGCTCGTCTTTCAGTATCAGTCGGGGTTGTTGGGCTGACGGCGAGTCGATTTTGTGCTTCTCAGTCCGTTTGCAGGGACGGACCTCGAGTTGGAAGGCTCAGTGACTCAGAGGACGAGGCCGGCCTCTGATGTCGAAACTGGGGGTGGGCACGACCCTCCCGCAGCCTGTCGTGCAGGCTGACCACCTCGCAGTGCAGCTCGCCCGAGGCTGTGCACTTTTCGATATTGCGACTCTAACTCTACCGTCGATCGTTTTCACAGTCGCTGACCAGCACTCAAGACAGTGAAGCAGTCAAGCGCATGCAAGCTTTAGCCAAGCCCAGATAATGGCACCTGTTCATTCACAGGTACGAACCCAGGCAGCCCAGTCTTCAAAGAGGCTGTCGTGCGAGCAGTGAGGCGCGAACGCTAAAACATGCTAAAACATCACCCGGCGAATCCGGCACTTCCTTGCTGGCGCGATGCTATAACTGTAGGTCCGCAGTCGATGCCGCACGCCTCGAAGCTTCCACCAGACTTGGCCAAATCGTGCAGGCTCATAAGACAAAACTTGATGATGCAGCGAAAGCTCTCTGGCTTGCTGGAATGGCGTTCGGAGGCGAGAGTGTGCGAACCCATTGCTATTTTTGATTCAGACAGGTAGTTCCTCATCGGTGGAGTATGAGTGGCCCTTGCAGATTGAGTGACCGAGCTTGCTTCAGCAACTTCAGAAGGTCACGGTGAGCAAGTTGCAGATGGAGATTGACCAGGAGGCCGGCTCTTCATGTCATTGAGTTCTACAGATTTGCGACGGACATAAGTTATATGCGGTGATCTGGGGGCTGGGTTGATATTGCCGTGTTCAGGTCGATTTGGTGCAGCAGCTTCGGGCACGGGAGTCGAAGACCGGAGGCGTGGCAATGATCCGAAGATCGGCTTGAAGGTCAAGTCTCCAGCGGCCAAGAGCCCAAAGTGCAGTGTGGAAGTAGCAGCGAGCCGCCGCCGTTAGTGAGAGCAGTTTCGGACATGCCAGGCATGCATTCACCAGCACCTGACGAGGCAGACCGCAATTGCAGTGAGGTGTTGCAGAAACGACGATTCACCAGGTGTTGCATGTTCAGGAAATCAATGGAAGGCTTGCGATTTATAGGCAGCGCGACAAGCCGCACAGTTGTTCCAAGAGCCGTTGGCATGCTATTCCTCCATGGTTTAGGTTCAACATGTGCGCAGCGCAAAGTACCTTGCTGACCCCCAAGAGTTTCAGAGTCATCCCCGGGTCCCAGGCCGAGCTCGAGGATCTTCGCCTGCAGTGCGCGGAGTTGGAGCGCCCTTTGGCCCAGGGTGATCCGAGTTGGCCGGGAGGTTTTCGGGGTCGGGTAGGAGACACAGCACGCACCGTGCACCTTGAGAGAATCGATGCATCTATATAAACTCAACCAGCACTGGTGGACATCCTACACGGCCCTGCCACGGACAGCCTATATCACAAGTTGCTCCCCAGAGCCTTCTGTTGTTCCTATGACACCTCCACAGCACTGTATGTCGGAAGCACACGGATGCACGAACTGGCTCCATTTTGAAGTTCTAGTACAGCGGCACCCACTTGGCGGTCTACTCGTGACGGGGTCTGCAATGCCAATGCCAGTTGGTAGCAGCATGCCATCCATCCATCCATCCATCCATGCGTGCATCCATCCATGCATGCGTCTATGCATCCCGGCATCCCATGCATCATACACTTATGTGTATGCATACAGATGCTCCTGTTGAGCTCAACTTTCTGCCGCTGGGTCTGTTACATGCCTACCTAGCTACCTGCCTGCTTGCCTGCTGCCTGCCTGCCTTCTTGCATACCTGCCTACTCGCCTACCTGCCTACCTACCAAGCAACCTACCTCCTGCTTCGATTGTGTTTGACGTTTCATGAACTCTGCTAGCAGATGCCGGACTGTACTAATGACGGCCCGAACACAGAACAGGACTTGCGAAGAGCTGACATTCATGACGAGCAAAGGGAATGAAAGCTGTGGAGGTGCCCCAACTCCCAGTGGACTGAAGTAAGCGAAGCTACAGGCATTGAGGTGGGGAAGCGCAAAGGAACGTAAGGATTTAGCTGCCATCCGTTTTGCTAAAGGCCAGCTGCAAAAGGACGCTGACTCTGCGCAAGCAGAGCAGGCCTGGGCCCCGCTGCTTCGAACCTTCCTAACTTCGTGGCATGCCGACCCAGAGCTGCATCTCGGAACCTGCCCAAGATTGGGTTTAAATGGCTTCAGGGCTTGCTTGAGGTGGAGAGAAGCGGAGATGCAATGTCCCCTTCTGCACGTGACATGAGCAAAAGTTCATGCAAAGGTATTAGGAGTTCTTCATGATAGAATTGGCCTGGTTAGCCGTAGTTATACCGGAGGTTGTACTCAACTGATGGTTTCGCTTCGTGAGTCCCTGAAGCTTGGGTTCCATCCAGGGATCCAGGGATTACACATCCGGAGAAGGGCTTCGTCTCACACCCGCCTGGCTGTCTAACGTCGGTTGCCTTCCACCGCCGCGAGGCCCGCTTGCGAGCCGAGCTGCACGCACAGTTTGAGGAGGTGCACCTGCATGAGGACAGACCTCTGAGGATTTTTGTCTTTGGCAGGCTGACCTGGAGTCTTTGGACCTGCCCGCCGCATGAATATTCATGAATGCAGTCTTATAACCAGAACAATAGGACGAGAGTGCGAGCCACGTCAACGAAGTGCAGGCCGGGTACACATCACGAGATGGGTGAGTGGTTTTCATGCCAAGTGGAATGATGGCAGCAGCAGAAGACGTCGAGCGCAAGAATCGTGTTGCCATGCTTGTCTCTGCTGAGGTTGCCGATGTGTTGCAAACCATCAAAGCTCAGGCAGCACAAGCAAGTTTACCCGTAGAGCTGTTTTTCCCTTTAAGGCAAACAGCCATGGCTGTCGAGCGTCCCAACGATGTGATGGAGTGGTTCGAGTCGGTTCCTCACCTGTTCGCGGAGCAGGAGTGGGAGGTATGCGAACGTATCGGGCAGTCGAGCCTGTCCCACTGCCACTGCCCGTGGGGGGGTCGCTTGTTGAGGTTGACCCTTAGTGGTATCCGAGTGCAGAGTGCGGATACCAGCAACTTACTGCTCAGGCCAGAGACCAGGGCAACGTATGAGACGCGATCATCGCTGTGGGGTCGCATGGAGCTGTTGGAGCAGCTGGCGCCAGGCGATGTGATCGTACGGCAGCCTGCATCTTGGGGGCTTCTGCAGCTGGCCAGCCTGGTGTTTGGGAAAAACGAGGTTTCGGGCGCTGGCCTGTCGGAGGTCTCTGTTCCCATCGTTAGCCGACAGACGCTATGCCGGGCCTGGCCAACAAACGAAGACACTACCCTCATGTTCTCCACAAATCAGTGCGATCCAGCTGATGCCCTGTTGATCTGCCGACCACAAGCGGCTGACCAGGTTGGACTTGTGGGAATTTTCGCTGTCTCTGCAGAAAAGTTCGACCAATGGATGTCAACTCATCACGCCCTGTGGCTTGACACAGCCCTTCGAGCGGCGACGCACCTGTTGAACCGGCCAGGGATCTCCGACTTGCGCGCCCTGGACGCGAACATGTACACTGTCCTTAGCATCCACAGCTGCAAGCGAGGGCCTCCGCTGCTACCGCTGGCACCTGGTTCAACTGAGCCGGCAGCAGTCACGATCAAGACAGACGAACGGAGTCAGCTTGGTGCTTGGAGCCGCATTCCTTTAGGCCCGGATGGCAAGTTTCGCTTGGTGAACTTCGTCAAGCAATTTGCCGCGAATCTCGGGATGAACCTGAAAGCTTACACTTCGCTGGATGGCCAGAGGTTGGTTCACTACCAGTGCGCAGTCAGGCGCGACGAGTGGGAGCGCGTCCGCGAGCAATTCCTTGAAGCCTTCCTGGTGCAGAAGCGCGCGTATCGCCGAGCTAACGGCGGCTCGTGTGCTCCTTGCCTTGCAGTGGATGCTGAGCCCCGTTTCGCTCCAGACGATAGACGCGTGGGGCTCGCCAGCCAGATCAGATGCAGCCAGCAGCAGCCGGCGCAACACAAGACGGTGGTGCGCCGCACCTTCATCGAGGTTGCAGACGACGACAGCACCGAGGATGAGTTCGTGATCATCCGGGAGAGATCCAACAGACGCGCTAAGACCTTCCCAACTCGCTGGCCTCCATGCTCGGACTCCTCGGAATCTGATTAAGAGCTGAAGCGCCGCAGCGCGTCAGCTGCATGGCAGGGTTCCTCTCTCAAAGAGACCCTGTATGTCACACTGTATGTCTAGCCCATGTGTGAGTAATTCATCAGCAGACATTTGACAATCCTGGATTTGCACGGCCTACCCGCCCTCTGGTTCTTGTACAGCCGCCGCCACTTGTGCGGGCAAGCAGCTTCCAGTCGCTGCAGCTGTACAAGAAGACTGGTGTTGGTTCGACTTCGCTCGGACATTTCCGTCAGGCCATCCAACCTAAGTGCCCGCTAAAGGGTCGGCACATGGACGTTCCTGCAAAAGCCTGCCTCGGCTGGTGGGCTTACAGTATCAGTTGCTGTGGCTGCCGGCTGGAGCAGACCTGGAATTTCGCAGAGCCTCGACGATTCGAAAACTCGTCCGACGAGAAACGATGCATTGCTGCTTGCTTTGGGTTTCCCGCATGCCGCAATGGCGCAGGCTTTGGAGATGTCTCTGGCCGAAGCCTGGCGGGCCGTCCGGCAGGTGGAACACAATGTAACAGATAAAACGCCCAGCACTCTCTTGCTTCCTATGCCTTCCCCGCCAGGAGAGCCAAGATGCACGTGATGCCCAGAGTGCGAGTAGCGGCACCGAGCTTCAGCAGATGCTTCTTGCTGAAGAGCAGCGGTGCCAAGAATTGGCCCCTCGGCTGCCTCATAGTGATGCAGAATATGCAGGGTATGTGCGTTGGTCATCGCTTTTGTGTAGATCTGCAGATAAGATCTTGAGTGGTTCTGGCCTGGCAGCTTCTAGCAGTCCAGCAGATTCTAGCACTGATTTGCAGACATGTTCTGTATCGAAGGAGAGTGCCTGCGAAAGCATGCCCGTGACCCAGACCTCGAAGCCTCCAAGGCATGATTGACCCACGCATTGCTTGCCTCGGAACGGAAGTGGAAGTTCTGTTCGGTTAATGCCGTCAGGATCACTGAGTTCATCTGCTCCTTCATGCATGACCCGTGCTGAAAGCATGGATTGATTCCGCCCAAAGGTCAATGGCAGTGGCGGAAGCAGGTGAAACAGCATCACGTCTCCACAAGGCTGAGACGGAGTTGTCGCAGCAATGCCAGACCTTGAAGCTTGGTTGCACTGGAGCGATCGGCCAAGCTGGAAACATGATACTAGCTCTCTTGTATGCCTTGGAGTGCATCGGGTGCACAAGCAGCCATATTTGCAGCCTCTCTTATCCGTGATCAGAATCAGAGGCGAGCCAGGCCTAGGCCTAGGCCTGCCGACACCAAACAGAGCGCAGCGGATTGATGAACAAATTATTATCATTATCATTATTACTACTATTGTTGTTATTCGCGTTGTTATTATTGTTGTTATTTTCGTGGTACATTGTATACGTCCTCTGACCTCTGATGCTCTCAGGAAAGAGGAGAAAGCGGAGCTTTTGTTGATGACGGCTGCACGAAGCTCTGAGGAAGGCCGCCAATCTTCTCTCTGTACTAGTGCTTAGTGACAGTAATAGCCATAGTAACAGTCATAGTAATTGCAATAGTATAGTAGTACTCGTAACGGTAGCAGTAGTAGCAATAGTAGCCGCACTGGTGTAATAGTAGTTGGAATAGGAATAGTGGTAGTAACGTAATGGCACCAATAACAGCAACGGTAGTAACAAAATCCTACTAGTCATCGTATTAGTAATGGGAACAGTAATAGGAATAGTGGTAGTAACAATGCTTGTAATGGCAACAATAACAGTAGCGGTAGTAACAAAAATCCTACTAGTCATCGTAATAGTAATTGGAAAAGTGATAGGAATAGTGGTAGTAACAGTATGCTCAAGAGTTGTTCAGGCTTCTGCGGTCAGAGCCCTGAGAACGGCTTTTCTTCGCAGAGCTCCAGGCATTACTCCGGACACAGAGAGCTCGGAGGAAAGCAGGAAAGTTCGAGCTCTGGAGCAGGTCAGCGGTTGGGCGGGCATCGTCTTCTTTTTTTGGGTTTGCGTTGCTATTCTTTTTCAGCAACCTTAAGGTGCGAGTAGCAGCTACTTGTAGTCCCTAAACCCTAAACCCCTAAACCCTAAACCCCTAAACCCCTAAACCCTAAACCTCAGTCATTAAGAGCTGCTCATCACAGCAGGATCGAAGGCGAGGCCTCACTTTGAACTACCCCTCGCGGGTTCGAGTCCGAAGCAAGTCTTTCCCTAAACCCCAGGGTTTAGGGTTTAGGTCCCCAGCCATGACAAACCGCAAACTATCATAATGCAAAGCCGAAGGGTTTAGAAAAACTAACCTTGCCTGAGCCGTAGCAAGGAAAAGTCCAAACCTCGGCACAGCGAGCTGCTACGTTACCTGTGCTAGAAGACCTTACTCCTGCATACTACTGCCTCGGCTTTGGATCTCAATCGATCTCTTCCGGGGTCTCCTGTGCTCTATATTGCTTATATTTGTAGGACGGATGACAGTGATATACAGTGATTATTTATCGGACGATTTCAGTCCGCATCTCGTCCAACGCTGGCCTTGGGCAAAGTGGGATCGTTTGAGCTTTCCTTGCACCTGGACGCTGTTCATGCATACTGCAAGCTTACCTGTGAGGGACAGGGCTGCGTCTTGATATGATTTGGTCCAGTTCCAAACTGTGCACTGTCTGCCGCTGTCAAGAAGCAGCATCATGTCATGTCACCTTGCAAGTTTGCCATGCTCTGCACGGACCATGAGTTGAGCATGTGTGAACTTCGGCATGCTCCCAGCCTCGTGTCAGGAGAATGAGACGCTCCGACTCAAATGTACAGAAGCAGAGGACAGCTCTGGTTGTCCTGTTTCGTCATGCTTCTGAGGAAGTTTTGCTAACCTCCAGAGCAGCCTGCAGAATGTGGGCTCGGGTGCGTTCTTTTTTAACGTTGTGCGGCTTCTTGGCGTGCACCAACCCCTGAGCAGGAGCAAGGCTGCCGAGAAGAAGCAACGACTCGCCGCGGTCTTAACTCTGTGGCTCGTTGTGTCTGCGCCTGCATCCTTGCAAAGATATGATCGCGGGAAGAGTCGTCGTCAACCGTTTGTCATTGCCCTATGCACACGAAACCATTGCATTCACACGTCAATTTGTGACTTGGCAGCTTTCTTTGCAAGCCTCTTGAACGAGCTCTCTTGGTTTCTTGCTCAGGACGTGAGGAGGTGGAAGAATGGCAGACTCGATGCTCCGCCTTGGAAGCTGACGCGCGGAAGGCAGCGAGGCTACAGGAGGAATTGCAGCTGAAAGCTGAAGAGTTGACCTCATCACTGACGGACCTGGAGGTTACAAGGAAAGGTCAGGTCATGGCCCAGGAACTTGCAGAGTCACTGGACAAGTCTTACAAAGAGCTGAAGTCCGAGTACAGCAACTGCCATGCAGAGCTCTCGGAAGCCAAGATGGAGGCTGAGAGGCTCAGGCAGCTACAGCCCGCACAGCCCGCACAGCCCGTACAGCCCGTACAGCCACAGCCCACTGCTCCCCGTGCCTCTCTCGTCGCAACTCAAGCGGGTGAGCCCGCCACCCTGGGTTCTACCGTGGCTGCTTTGCGTCGTGCCCGGGCCTCTTTGGCTGGCGAGGCCATAGAAAGAGTTCCACAGGTACCACAGCAGGCGCAAGCAGATCCAGGCCCTGGCGGCAGCCCTCCGGCGCGGGACGTGAGTGCGGGTCTGAAGGCACTGCAGCGCCTCAAGGCCGCTGCGGCGGGAAAGGCCAAGGTAGAGGCTGGGGCCGGGGCCGAGTCACCGCAGTCAAAGGCAGCCAGCCTCATCGCGAACCGAAGCAAGGCGGATCGTCCGTGTCAAACTAGCCTCTTTCGGTTGCGACACTTCTTCCCACCACATCCCAACCTATAGGGCCTAGGGGACAGGGCCATGTCACGTCATCAATTCTTCAGGAAAGCTGTTGCGTTCACTGTTGCATTCCGTCTTAGGATGCACGCTTCATCCAAATATGAGTTGCATGCCGAGCCTGAGAGAATCTTTGCAGGCCAGCAGCCTCTGGTTGAAAGCGGCGCAGACAACAAGTGATGCAGCGAAGGAGTAGAGTGTAGAGGCATGCGATAATGCTTATGCGTGAGCAAGCCGAGACGAGAGAAGACACTCGGAGATCCGAATCCGATATCGGCCCCGAGACGACGCAGAGGACTCCAAGCGAGGCGAGACCAGGAGCTCTGGAAGCTCAGGCGCTCTGCGCGGTCCTTGGCTTCTTTCTCTCATGGAAAAGCTGGACAGGCAGACACGCCGGAAGACCGTACGAGACATAGGCCCCCCCGGGGCGGCGGAATGCCACGCGTAGCGGACCCACTTGCAATATGTGCAAGGCATGAATGTCGCCTTCCACTTCTCGGGTTAATGACTCCTTGGGCATTGGGGCTCGCAAACGTTTCCTGAAATTGGCCCCTGGCTTGAAAAGGCCTTGGGCCCTAAGCTAGTTTGGAGCTTGAGCCTCATCCCAGTCCTGCCTCCTCTGACTGTTCCTTTCCTTGAGCTTGTATGAGTTGAAGTCGCCGGACCCAACAACAGTCAGAGCGATACAGGGAGTTGGCACTGCCACACCGGTTAATGCTTCTACTGCTCGCTGGAAAATCCAGCTGAGCAGTGCGAACATCGGGTCTAAGTTCTAGGAGTCCTTGTGCGCCAGCGCGAGCTCGTGGCTCCATTATCTCATTTTCCGCGAGAGATCGATTCTTACAGGACGATGGGTTGCAGAGATAACATGTTGAAGATTTGCTTGGGATTGCTTTACAGCCATCTCGGGGTTGAATGAGATGAGATGGCCTTGAGGACAGTGAGCCCATGTGATATTCTGGCTCAGTGCTGCTCTTGCAGCTTCCTCAGATGCCAGCCTTCATGCACGTGCAATGGTAGCTCTGCATGGCAAGCCTCGCAAAGCCGGCTTTGCAGCAGCTGTTGCACTGCTGGTCCATCACAGGGGGCAGGCCCCCCGAGCCCTCTTGCGTACACTGCAGCTTGGAAGACCAGGTCGCACAGAACTTGGCGCATCTCAGGGGCGGACAGCACGATGGACGGACGAGGTCGCCCTGCTGATTGACGGAGATCAAATCGGACCTCAGTGGTTTGAGTCTGTGTTGCTGGCAGTGCAGAGGATGTCCGGTGAAAGGCCAGCATGCCCCAGCAATGACTTTACAATTCGACGTGCGCTCTTGTGTTAGATTTGTTAGGTGCTGGAGACCTCAGAACCAGCTTTGAAGGCACAAACACCATTCAAGCCTCTGAGCACCTCGAACTCTGTCCTCTGCAAGGCCGAAAGTGGCGGTTTGCTTCGGAGCTCCACATTTGGCAAGCTCATGGAAGTCACATTTGACACAGCATGGAATTCAATTCCAGAAAGTCGAGCGGAAGAATACCTCAGATCGACCCGACCCTAACGATGCTGCCATTATGAAGGCGGCGAATTCAATTGCCACAGCAAGTCCTGACAGCTGCATAGCCATCGCCTCCACGGATTCCGACTTTCTGGAATATCACCTGCAGCTAAAGAACCGTGGCATCCGGTCCGTGGCTCTCGTGCCCTACACGAGCGATGAGAAGCGCTGCGCCCTTTCCGGCGTGGAGTCCTGCCGATTTCGAGTTCCTCCGAGCAACCCCGGCTTCAAGGAGGCCTTCGAAGCCAGGTTTCAGCGAGAGTACGAGGAGGAGAAGGCCCAGGAAGTCTTCCAAGAGGTCGGAGAAGCTCTCAAAGAGCTTGGCTACCTACCAGAGCTGCCTCCTTTCCCAACTGCGAGGTCTTTGGCCCTCTTCTTCCATGCCAACAGGGTCGAGAATGTGCAGCTGTATCCTTGGTGCGTCGCCGCCTTCCTTGCCAGACCGCTTCTGGATGCTGCCGTCCCGAATCCCGGGGACCTGCTGTTCTTCGAGGCCAAAGGCTAAGCCGAAACTATCAACACTAAGCCACACCTGTCTTCAGCAGCGACAGATTCGCTCGGAGATGTGAACTAGGCCCTAGGCTGGATGCGTTAGCCTTAGCAAGGTCGTGATGCTGAAATTCCTTTGCTCGGAGCGTTTTAGGAGCCTCAGAGAGCATCTCACGCAGTCCACGGTCTCAGCGTTCTCCCCTGCGAGGCCATGGAGGGCCGGAAGCAGCCTGCTGCTTTGAAACGCTGGCACGTGGAGCAAGCGAAGGACGGCGACGGCCTGGCACTGAAGGTCCTGGCCTGGCTGGGCTACGAGGCGGCCGGAGCCCGGGTGGGCCCTGCTCGTCGTCTCCGTGTTTCGTTCGGCCCCATGGTTTCGGTTGAGTTGTGCAACCTAATGGCAGAAGGGGACACCCTGCCCTTGCATGCCGTCCCACAGCCGTCGGCATGCCACATCATATTGCTACATCCAACATGGCCTTCCGGAGGTTTGGTGTGGGTACGGGGATGCTGCACCTGAGCCATTGTTGTCCTCACTGAGCAAAACTTCTCTGGGCGCGAGTAACATGGAGCATACGTGCGAAGGAAACGCCTGTACCCAGCCTTGCCTATGTCGGTAGGCGAACCGGTTCAGGTGCAACCTTCACACGACCTGTTGTAATCGTACCAAATTTTATGCCGACAGCGTTTAAGTGCTCAACTGAGGCTTTGATTCGACGGGGTGTGTCAAACAAGTTTCAGTTTTCAAAGCTGCCTTAGTGATAGTGGCAGACGTTGGAGGGAAAGCGCAGTTCCTGTAGTTGTTGGATGTCATGGGCCTGGGCACAGTGGTGGCAAACATAGTTCTGCTGACAACCTTTTGCCAGTTAAAGTTCCGTGGCCGCAGTATCTTTGGGCCCCCGACTTTTTGTACAGCAAAATCAAGTGTTCGTCTGCCCAGCCAGTGGGAGCACTAACCTTAACACAGCAGTCTTGAAGTCAAGAGTGCCCTACTGTGATGCGGGCTGTAACTTCTGTGGTACTGTTGCCACGGTACTGACATGTTTGAAATTTTTGCCTTGCGGACCCAAGGCTGGCTAATTCAAGATTCAAGTACATCACTTAGCCACAGTCTGTCCTGCGACGGTTCTGGATTTTCCCTCAGGTTCCAAGCCCTTCTAGCGAGTCACGTGATGGTGAATGGTGGAAGATGGCTTCTCCACAGTTTCCCAAGTGCTTTCGCATGTGCTCCTGTGTCAGGGCATGTTTTTCCGATTGTGTAGGCCACCTTGACCGGTTTCGACTGCCAACAGGTACTCCCAGAGAAGCCTGCATCCTTGTGCGAAGAACTGCGTGCTTTCTGGCGCCGCAACAGCAAAGCAATGCGGATCAACTTAAAGCACTCGAAGGGGGTCACTTCCATTCCGGTGCTGAGAAGTGAGATGGACTGTGCTGAGATGCTGCATTTTCTGGACACCGTGTTCAAAGATAATGCGGTTCGGCAGCAATGGCGCCCTCCTCCAGATGACCGCGACACCCGCCTTTGGCGCCGAGGTGGCATTTAATTACAGTTCTCTCCATGTGATATCCTTCTCCGCAGGCTATCGCTCAGTCGTTCGGGGCACAGTCCGTCATATCCGAGCAACTAAGCCAGCAGGATCCAGCAGGGGTTCTCACAAACTACAAGTAGCTAATCCGCGGCAGAAGGGTGTCAACTCCAACTGCACGCGCAAGAAAAAGGCGGCGTCTGCCGGCTTTGAGAGCTCGGCGTGCACTCTTTGCAGCATGCGAGGCTGGCTCGAAAGCGCTACCTGCCAGATGCGGAGGCTCCGCGATCCGAGGCAGCTTTCATCCAGGGATGAGCAATACTCGGATGGATTAGACCAGGAATTGAGATCTGCGACTCTTTCAAAGCAGAGTTCCTTCCAGGTGTTGGCAGCAATGGTCACATTGCTGGAGGATCGCGGAGTCGAAGCACCTGAGCACTCATTCGTGACCTGCCTGCACGTGCTTTGTGGTTGATAAGCGTCCGCTAGGGCTGGTAGAGGTGACTGGGCTGCGTGCCGGTGTTGAGGGTGTCGGCTCATACTGAGGCCTTGACGCTGTGCTTGGCACAAGAAGCGATCCTGCAGCGACACAACGTCCTCTCCAGAGGATGAGCATGACATGGAGCTCTTCGATCTCGAAGGGCGACCTGACCAGATACACGGACCGGAAAGTCAAGCTTCTGACCCTGGTTGAGACTGTCGCAGAAATTGGTGCCAGCACTGTTGGTCGACGCCAATCACGCACTGAGCATGTGGGCCATTCAGCGGAACGAGCTATCCTTGGTTATCGTCACCATTCGTCACCACTCCACGCACGCTGACGCTGCACCGTCCCCCGGACAAATGCCACTGCGAGGTTCAGAGAGTGGTGCATCACAGGGGTGCTTCGCACTGTCACATACTTCGATGGCTTACTCGTGCTTCGGCCTTCGTGTCGAGAAATCGCTGATGCCTGCTGTTGCTAGACAGTCTTACATCAGTGCTGGCCTTTTCACGCGATGGATGACTCTTGTTCTCACCTGCGGCAGCATTTGTATCTTCGTCCTGCAAGCGCCCTAAGCAGGCTCGAGGTCGTAGTCAGTACACACGCAGAGTAGCATCAGATGGCTGCCATGGCTGTTGAAGGCGAATGGATGATCAAGTTGGAGCGTGGCTGGAGTGCCTGGATGGTGGGCGAGCAGAAATTTCAAGGGCCCACCGAGCCGTTCCGCTACACGTTCGGCAAGACGGAGTTCCAAGTCGACTTTCACAACGAGACCGAAGGCACCTCCACCAACCTCTCCACAGGCAAAGCCCGTGCGCTCTGCTTCGTGGCAAAGGGCCAGGCGGCACCTGCCTCGTCGGGTGAGGAGGAGGTCCAGCAGCCTCAGACCGCTCAGGACATGTCCGACAAGCCTATGCAAGCCACGAAAATTGACAGCAACTTGCCCACCTGCTGCTACCTCGCGACCAACAACACCGCATCCTACGAAGGTGAGTACCAGTGGCTTATCGAGCTGGAGAAGGGCTGGAGTCCATGGATGCCGGGCAACGAGCCTTTCGACGGAAACACTGACGAGCCTCTGCGCTACACTCTCGGACGGTACACTTTCGAAGTCCACTTCGAGGATGAGGGCCACGGCACTCAGACGAACCTGACCACCGGCAAGGTCCGTCGCATCCAACGTCAGCGCAAAGGAGAGGCAGCTCCGGCTTGGGAAGGCACCGGCATCCGAAGGCGACCCGCAAACGGAGCTGGACCAGCCGACGTCGGTCCAGCCCCTGTGGAATCGGCTGCCATGGCAGCGCAGGCCAACCGGCAGGTTAGGCGCACCGCGAATGCTGGATATCCTGCGGCGACTGCGGCTGCAGGAGGCGCACCGGTCAAGAGCGCTCAGAAGTTCGCTCTCCGCACATCCAAGCCAGCGGCAGCCACAAGGCCACAGGTGTCTGAGGCTGCGCATAAGGCAACCGCCGCTCCAAGTGCACCGAGAGCTCCGGCAGCGACGACTGCCTCGAACGGCAACGTCCCTCGCTTCATGCGGCCGCTGAAGTCCAAAGCCTGAAGGGCTAAGGGTGCCCAGAAATTTGAGCTTTAGACATGGCAAAGTCGCTTGCTCAGGCACTTGACCTGAGTGAGCGGAAGAAATGTCGAGAGATTGCACGTAAGTCCCTGAAGTTTGAAACCGCAGCGCTTGGACAATCGTAGGATGTTCGAGAGCATGCGAACTTCGTGGAGGAAAGCACAACGCTTTCTGCCTTCTGATAGATCTTGTTACTGGTAGCGCTTCCTAGAAGCATGATGCTACCAGCTCCGAACCGATTGATCTTATCGAAAACGACGAAAGCTGCATGAGCCATCTCGGAAAGCATGTCCTGCAGTGCTGCTGCTCAGTTACTCTACCGACCGTGCACGCAAGGTTCATTTGCAAGGATCTGGCTCGTTTCCCAGGCTTGAAGTTACAGCAAACTATACCAACTCCTGTGTCCGTATCCTCTTTTTGACGACTCGCCTCCCAGCGATGCCATGGCGACAGGCCCAGGCCTGATCGGGCCGAGATGGCATGAGCGGTAAAAGTCGAGTCTAGCTACGCGTGACACTGGTAACCTCATTGTCCTAGCCTTGTCTGTCGTCACAGTACTGAAATTGCTTGCTTGCGTCCTAAACGTTTCTTCCTTGCGGGCTCCGCAGTTTGTGGTTCGGAGGTTTAAGGCTTGTAGACGTGTGCTTTGGCAGCCATGGACCAGCTCCGTGTCTTCGTCCCGGCCGGCCCGGCCGGCTCGGCCCCGCCGCGGAGCGCAAGCACACAGCCGGCACTGCCGGTGTCGCAGATGAAGCAAGTTCTCCAGCCCGGGGCTCCGCAGCCGGGGACCCAACCGGGTCCCCCGCCTCCGCTCCAGCCCAATCTACAAGCCATGTTCATGCAACGCTGTGTGCAGGGACCGGGACAGGTGCAGCAAGTCTCTCCGATGATGATGCCAGGGTCGGTGCCGAATTGCCCGGGCTCGCCACAACCCCCAAAGCCGCGATGGATGGAAGTCGTACCTGGGAGAGAGACCAAGACATCTCCTGCTCCTGTCAGGCCGTCTCCCGACACGATAGCTGTGAAGCCAGGCTCTCCGATCGCTCCAGTCCGTGTCGGACCGGCGCCAGACGCCTCGCAAGCCAGTTCCCACAATGCACCCGCTGATTGCAAAATGAGGGCAAGCGCACCTTTGCTAGATACACTTGTGAAGCCGTCCGCCCCTGTCACCCCAGCCTCCCCACCAGTTCCAGGCCCTGCCAAGCAAAGCGAAGCCAGGGCATGCGAGGCGACGAGCCCGAGCTCAGGCCCCGACGCCAAACACTCGGCCCCGGCTACGGTCCCGGCTGCCGATGTTGCTTGCATGTCCTGGGCCACCAGCACTTTCGAGAGGGAGGAAGCGCAAAAAGAGGCCAAGGAGAAGCAGGAGGCACCGGAGGCGGGGAGCCTTTCCCCGGATTCTAAGCCAGCGAGGCTGCTGGAGGTTCCCCGAGGTCGAGATGGGAAAGGCGCTCGACAATCCTCCGATTCCAGATCCCCCAGTGGCTCTCCCTCTCCCAGCTGCCGAACAGTGGGATCAGATGATCAGTCTGTAGACGAAGTGTACAGCCGCACACCATCCCCATCTCCAGAGCCAACACGCCAGAATGGCAAACAGCAGCTGGCTGAGCTACTTGAACTCTGGAAGGCTGCAAGGCACGAAGGTGGACCGCTGTCCATAGAGGAGTGCGAGTGCATTGAGAACATCTTCTATGACAGTATGAATCCTGACCGTGTCAAGATTGTGGAGATGAAACGTGTGGAGCAGCCGGCCTTGCTGCGCAGGTTCTGCGCAGAGGAGCAGGACTCTCTCGACAGACAAGCCAGATCACAGAAAACGCACAAGCAGTTCATGAAGCTGCACGGCACTCGATGGGAGTATGCGCCCTTGATCGCAGAAAATGGGCTCGACCCATCCTGTGGTCACCTTACGAAAGGGAGCTGGCTTGGTGGCTTGGCCGAGAAAGCCCACTCGTATGCCTCCAAAGGCCCAGGGCCAGAAGTAGATAATGAGGATGGCCACAAGGCCCGACTCTTTGCTTTATTTGTTGTTGCTTGTGTGCCAGACGTGAGTGATGGAGACGACGAGAGATCCTTTGGTGTTTGGCGCATCATGTCCGCCCGGCGCATGTGTCCAGCTTATCACGTGATTTACTCTGCCCCGGCTGATGTGGGACGACACAAGAGGCCCCTGATTGAGCCACGCGCCAACAAGGCAATGCTCTTGAAGCAAGGCCACGATGGCACCGGCACGGAATCGGCTGGTCCGAGCTCTTTCAGATGCCGAAGTGTGAGCCCGCCTCCACGCAGCCGCACGCCGAATCCTTCACCCGAGGCATTCCAGGAAGTCACTAGCAGCTGGCCGGTTTCGAAAGAAGGGCGCATGCTCCCTGGAGCCATGGCGTGCACTTCCCCTGCACTCAAGGCCGGGCCCCACGGGATTTGCAGCGCAGAGAGTAGCGGTACTGTACTAGTAGACGTTTGGAGGGTACTAGGTCATGCTCGCATCCTGCAAGGTTCACAAAGAGAGACCATCGAGCACAAGCGAGTCCCCGACAAAGCCTCGCGGCCAAGCAGAGCGGCAAGGCACTGCAGGTGAGTCCCCAGCCAAAGCCCGAAACCAAACGGAGCGGGCCTCGAATGGTGAGTCCCCGGCGAAGTCTCGGAGTCATCTCGAAAGGCCATCTACCAACGAGTCCCCATCGAAGATGCGCACGTCTGATGGTCGACCGCCTGCTCCCAGCCCAGGTGTCCTGAAGCTTCACGAAGTGAACGCAGGAGGAAGCTCCCCTGCCCGAGATGGACGGCCTGCGAACCCTGCGCGCACATCGCCCGCGCTCAAGGTGAAACAGGACGCCCGTCCCCCCAAGGGCAAGAAAGAGGAGAGCCGCGACACGGGTAAGGATACGGGCAAGGAACGCAAACCGCCGGTGGTGGCAGCCAGTTGGGAAGTGCAGGGAGATGATGGGTGGATTCCGTTCCGCCCAGGCTGCAAGTTCAAGGACGAGCCCGGGACGATTCAGCACATTTGCCATGGAAAGTTTTGGTATGCGCTAACATTCGACGAGGACGGCCTCACTGGGACGCAGTCCAACACTTGCACAGGCAAAGTCCGGCAGCTTCGTCGTGTGTTGCCGGCCAGCCCAGATGAACGGCAAGCGGCTGACATCACGGCCACGAGCGACCAGAGTCAAGAAAAGAAGATGCAGACCCAGCCAGCTCTCCCAGCCGCTTGGCTGAACTATGCGGGTTCACTTCCCTCGGGTTTGCAGCTTCAGCCTTCCAAAGCTCCTACCTTCATCGCCTCTCAGGGCTTCGGAGGGTGCATGGGGGTGTTGAACAGAACATGCGTCAGAAGCCTTGCATGCCCAGGCTGGGGGCTGGTATCCTAGCTTGCTGAATGGGAGCACGCCTGTAAAACAGGCTCCTGATCCAGTTCGCTGATTTACGTTACTGTCATTTCCCAAGACGTGCTATCTTTGCAGAAGCATACAAGAAGCCACCAGAAGAAGCTTGGCCATACTACTCGTGGGGAAACGACAGATCCTTCGACCGACAGTTTCGAGGCTTTAGACAAAGCTCTCAACAGCTGTTTTTCACGAAGGCAGATAGGCTAATGAGTGAAGCTTCACGTGACGCGTAGTTAAATTGACCCTGATGTGTCCACACAAGATTGGACAAGATTTCTGAATCCACACATCTCAGGCCTGGAGCTTCGGCGCTTGTTGGTTTCGATAGTAGCACTTACCAGCACCTCATATGGTCGGTGGTCAGGTTATCGCAGTATGATGCTCGGGCAAGCCACATGTCAAGCTTGTCGGCAAGAATCGCCGACCAGCTTTTCCAGACAAGCTCGCCACCAAACAAGGGAAAAGGGCTTCTTGATGTGCAGGTATTGGTGTGCATGTGTGTATGCAGGTCCAGGCACTGTGTCACTGTCTTCCATCTCCCCAAGCTATCCCAAGCTGAGATATATACGGCGCCCCGGCATTCCCAACAAGACTCATCGGCTGTGATCCAAAACCCCAGCCGGATTTGAGGCTTTATGACATTCCCTGAAGTCCTCTGAGGCGTCGCGAGTGCTCGCACCCGGCCTGGTCTTGGGCGAGCTCTGGCCGAGATGCCGAGCAAGGCCATGGCCGGACGATTAAAGTATGCTAAAAATCGGGATCACAAATTTACTCTTATTAGTATGATTCGTGTTGTCCTTGCTACTAGTAACTATATAGTTATGAGTATAGCCAGGGCTCACTCTTCCTCTGATGGGTTGCCATCAGAGAAAAGGCGAGTGCAGGTCTTCGCAGCATGAGCTGGCGCAGCTGGCTCAAGCATGGCTGATGTGGTGATTACTGGCAGGTTCGAACCTTTGTTTGAGAGGTTTACCAAAGTTACAGTGGACATGGACGCCTCCAACGCTGACTCGAAGGAGACGCAGCCCGTCCTGGAGAGCGTTCCCACACCGAGCCGAAAACTGCTTCCTTTGAGCTATGCTCCGAGTGTGGCACGTCGGGCAAATCGGCGGCACGTCACAGCGCCCGCCCAGGCACTCTTGGGCCAGATGAGCGCTAGCCCTAAGTGTGCGGACACTGCCAGAAGAAGCCCACCTCGAGGTTCAGTGAAAGTATGCCATCAGGCCAGCCCTACTGCTTGCGTAAAGCCCGTTGGCACAGAGCGCCGCAACAGCAATCCGACCTTCAACCTACCGACCGATCCTGCTTCTCCCGTGGGCCCACGCAGTGCGAACAGGGACACTGCCAAAAGCCCGCCAAGAGGTGCGATCAAAGGGTGCCGGCAGGTCAGCCCGAGTATTTGCACGAGGCCAGTGGGTGAGCGTCGCCACAGCAACCCGTCCATTGCTTTACCAGCAGATCCATCTTCAGTGGGCCCACGCAGTGTCGTCAACAGGGACACTGCCAGAAGCCCACAAGGAGGTGCAGTCAAAGGTTGCCGGCAGACCAGCCCCACCGCCTCTGCAAAGCCTGTGGGCACGGAGCGCCGCCACAGCAACCCGACCTTTGGACTACCGACAGAAACTTCTCCACCCGCGCCTTCGAAGCGCGGCATGAAGAGCCTGCGCTTCCAGTCGTCAAGGTCACCCTCACCCCAAACCCACAACTCACCAGACTCGCCACTGGCAGGGCCAAAGCCCAAAGCACGAGCGCGGTCGCAGAGCGCGCCGCGGCGGGATGGCGACCCTTTCAACCTCTACCGCTTTGTCGACGCGCAGAGTGAAAACGGGACCTTTAGCCGGGCCTTGCAAGAGATCCAGGCTGGCCGAAAATCCTCCTGCTGGATGTGGTTTGTAATTCCATCGCCGCCGTACATGAAGAACAACATCGAGCATGGAAGCAGCACGAACCGCAAGTATGCGATCAGATCTGAGCAGGAGGGCAAGGCATACCTGAACTATGAGGCCGATGGCGTAGATTTGCGCAGCAATTACTTCGCTATCCTCTCTGCCGTCTGTGAGCACCTCATTGCTGGGAAGGCAGCTCGGTCTGTGATTGGCGGGTTCGATGAGCCAAAGCTCGCGAGCTCGATCATTTTCTTCGAACGGATAACCCGTAACGAAGACAACGAGTTGAACAGTTTATTGCTGAAGCTTGCTGGTCTGATGAACCTTCAGCTAACAGCCTAGAAACGAAGCATGGAGACCAATGAAACGCACTCACAAGAGTTGAGTGCCTTCGGCCGTCGTCTCCTTGAGGATCCTAGTCCTAGCTTAGCTGTCGGTTTCGTGCAGAGACAAACTCTGCAGGACCGACTCGTCTCAGCATCCTTTCCTGGCCAAAATGGAGCACTGAGCACGGCTGCAGTCCCAAACATCCCAAAGCATAAACTTCTCTCGTCGTTGTTCCAAGGCACGCTGTCCCCCGCATGGCCTCGCAACGAAGCAGCAGGACAGCTTCGAGAAAGACGATCGAGTGACAAAAGAGCCAGCACTCCATGCCGAGTGATGCTGCTAAACTTACATCAATGTAGAAGTGGCACCACCACAAGTTTGACCAGAATCTTGCTTGATCCCGGCGCACCTTTGTTGTTGCCAAGCCTGCTGCCAATATTCTATATAATTTCAGTGTCACGGCATCGAACTAGTCACCCCACTTCCGGACAATCTGCATCATTCAGTCAGGGCGATCTTGCAGCCAGCTGCGACAGCCTTTCTTTCTGACAGCTACATATGCCGACACGGTGAACAAATCTCGGCGGCCCAGCCCAGTCCATCCCAAAAGCGACCGATAGCGTGCATCCTATCCCACAATGGCCATGCCACATGATCCGCTCGCGGAGTACTCGAGTCGGGCTCCAAGTTTCACGGTTTTGTCCGTCAGTGGTGTCAAACAGGTTTTTACTTGAAGCAGGGTCGAATGGTGCAGCGCCTTCAACGAATTAAGTGACTAAGGGGTGTAGATCCGCATGCATGCCTGCCATGCTGCTCTACAGGGCCGGTATGGCCCTACTCCGATCAAAGTTTCCGTTCACCCGCTAACTGTGCACAGTTTGTGACATCGAAACTCGAGGTCGGCCGGCACGTGCCCCTCGACTTGGCACCATGGAGACAGGACCCGACACATAGACCGTCGGTCCAACTATTGGTTGTCCTTTCGAGCTTGGAGAGCCGCCGAACCTGGGAGCTGCAAGGGCGAGCAGGATTCTTCAGAAAGGTTTCGGCCTCCCAAGCTTCAACAGCTTCACTTCTCCTTGTCTCCTTGAAGTGACAAGGCGAATTTGGATCAAACGTCACAGTTGGCATTTTTTGTGCTCGCTCGGAGGATGTGGCGGCTGCCGAAGCCCGCCTCCCAGCAAGCATTTTCGGTGCGGCATGACTGGCTTTCTGCAGTCAGGTTCAAAAACAATCGCTGATGCGTGCTGCATGTCGAGGCATTCTCGCCACATCCCTTCAAGCTCGACGGCGTGCAGTTGGGCAAGAAGGTGCTGAGATCGTCGGAATTCGCAAGAAATGTTTGCAACAGCATGGCATGCCCTTCACTGCCCTGCGCCTGCTGCCCGTCTCTGACGGGGACTCCCAATCGAAGAAACTCCTGAAGCAGTGATGCACGGCTGCCTCTCGAAGCCAGGCGCATTGGGCGTCCGCGCGCGGACTGTCCGACCCTTTCTTCTGGCAAGCAGTGCAGAGCCTAGAAGACGTCCCATCACGGAGACTGCGATGTATCTATCGAGCGGCCGTGCAACTGGGACATCTCCTGAGGTGATTTTGACAGCTTGTGCTATTCAACACCGTGAGGATGGATGGTGGTAGCTAGGACATGGTAGATTGTTTTTCGAGGTAATGGGCTGGGCTTCGTAAATCATCGTGCCCAGGTTCGCCTGCGTGCCCGAGCCGTGGCTCCCCTGCTTCGATTGAGGGATGTTACAGCCCGGCGGCCCAGCTGGGATTATTATTATTATTATTATAATTATTATTATTATAAGTATAATAATAAGACTTATTATCATTATAATAGCTGTGCTTTTTTGTGCATTTTGCCTTTGCATGGCAGTGTGGGGTCTCCTGTCAAGGCACTCCTGCAAGGCAGCGTCCAAGTCGCCCTTGTGGACTCCGCCTTTCTCAACGCCATGGGCCAGCTCCTCGGGAGCTGAAAGAGCCAGTCATAACTCCCACTACGGGAGTGAAGCCCTGAGACTTCACAAATCAACCAAATCTTCAAGAAAGGAGTCGCCCAGAACTCTTCTGGCACCAACTCGCCTGAGCGACCCTCTGAGAATCCTCACTTGTCACTCCACTCAGCTCGTCGTGTGGACACTCTCATCTGCTGGAGCCACGATTTGCCTGGCCCTCAGCAGCAACAGTCGGCTTCATGCTTGTTGCTACTGCCTGATCTACTCTCCATCACTTCCCCCAACCCCTCGCGCGGCCCGATTGTCGACAATTGGTGTCCGTCCTCTCCATCTGCATCCGCCAGGAACGAAGGGGCTCAAGGCTCCCTAAGACAGGCCTTCCATGGCACGGCGACTGCAGCGTGCCTTGTGTTTACTGGCAGTCTGGGGCTTGGCTGGCGCCGTGGACTGCAAGGCAAGGCCTCGCTACATTACCCGAAGTTTGTTGGTACCAGACGTTAGGATGCGCTTCTTGCCTTCTTCACTGCCTACAATGACGTCTGCAACCGGCACTACTACTACTACTACTACTACTACTACTACTACTACTACTACTACTACTACTGCTACTACTGCTACTACTGCTACTACTGCTACTACTGCTACTGCTACTGCTACTGCTACTGCTCCTACTACGACGCCGCTACCAGCCCACCAGCACCACAACGACGATGTGGCGACGACTGCAATGGCAGGGAGTATCAGCAGCAGTTGTAGCCGTGGTCGGGCTGTTTTCATTGCAGTAGTTCTGCTGCTGACACTCTGTCAGGGTCAAGTGGCCGGAGACAAGCTCTGGATGTGCCCTGACATCGATCTGGTGCAGTGCCCGCTCTCCTTCGTTCGCACTGGATTCGAGCCTGGATTCGTGCAATGCGACGTGGTTGCATACTCGGTTGCTTGGAGATGTGACACCTACATATGCGTGCCGTGCGTGCGCCCTGTTTGCAGCCCCTCCAGTACTTCTCTGAAGCTGCTAAGGTGGGGTGGTCGGCAAATACTGCCTCTCACTTGGCCCATTCTGTGAGCCGCGTGCATAGAAGGGACTTTCCTGATCGTCAAGGTTCAGCATGCGGGGCTATGGAGAAGGTGCTCCCGTACATCCATGGTATATGGAGACGCGGTGGAAGATAGATGACTTCGGGAGGGCAGCGAGAAAAAGAATGCATCTGCCTTTATAGGCAAACGTCATGCACCACGCTGCCGAGTGAGCATAGCAGAGAATGTTGCTGGAATATTGGCCATCTGCCACGAGGCCCTCCACTTCAAGAGTCTGGCCGGCGTGATTGGACCACCGTCTTTCAATTCGGACGCAACCATGAATCTCTACACCCTCTACACCCACGTAAAGCCGATGTAGCTATCTGCCAACAACTACTTCTTGCGCCGATAGGCTGCCCAGATGCTTCTAATCGATCTACCTGCAACGTCTCACCTGCGGTAGGACTATTGGGGTGATTAGGGCTTCTGACGTGAACTAGAGCTACAAGTACCTTTGGGCGTACTGGGCACAGTTGGCCCTAACTCTGTAGGCACAAGTGTTCTTGTGTAGCATGTCCTTTTGCATGGCTACCTATATTGCTCGGACATAGTTGGCAGAAGCCTCCGACGTGTCCTCTCCAAACTTATTGTACACATGCCCGCGCTAGGAGCTGTTCGTAAGGTAATCCCTGCTCTGGTTTCGTAGACTTCCAAGCAGAGGCCTGGGCTGTACGAGCAATTCCAAGAGCCAGCAAGTGGGTTCCCAGCCGGACCTTGGCCAGGACATGACAATCTGTTGCAACGCTTTCCTTCGGGCGGGCCTCGATGTACAGTCGCCACTCTTCCAGGAGCCAATCCCAGACTTTCAATACAATTGAGCTGCTGTCAGAACAGCGCGTATCATGCTCGTGTAGACCCCAGACGCCACAAGCCCTGCCTGAACAGTAAAGGGTGCCACTAGCACAAAGATGCAATACATTCCTTAGCTTATGCCTTTCATTACCCACCGCACCGTGCACGTGCACACACGAAGACCAGCCCCTGAAGTATAAGTATGAGCCGGTACGGGTGATGGTGGTGGTGGTGGTGGGGATTGTCGTGGCTGCGGCTGCGGTTGTGGCTGTGCCTGTTTTGGTGGTGGTTGTTGCCGTTTTGGCTGGTTGATGCTGGTTGTGGGTGTCTGTCTTCGTGGCGGTGCAAAGTGGCCGTCGTGTCATTGCCATTGCCTTCGCTGCTTCTGTTCTACTGTAATCATCCTGCAGGATAGAGGCACTAATGCACTACACCCATCTTTGCGCTTGTTCCGTACGAGGACATGCTTCGCGTCATCGCACGGGGATTTGCTCGGCCAAGTCCTTTTCAGGCCTGCATTCCAGCTCCGCAGAACGCGCAGTGGAAGTTGCTCCGATGAAGACGTCTGACTTCTGCCTTCCTGTGTAACTGCGGAGGCAAAAACCTGCCCGCCATCCGTCAAGACAGCACAGGAAGTCATGCCACCAGAGCCACGCATGAGAATCAAGAGGGTTTAACTGAGTCGCAGCGAATGCGTTGCGAAGAATCTGCCAAAACAAAATTCAAGCTACAGTAGGAGCACAAAGCAGGCACATGAGCACCGCTCTGCTCAAGCCTCGCCCTCTTCGGCCCCTCTTGGACTTGGATGGCGGCAGAAGTGCGATTTGCTTGTAGGCGGCTTCTCCGGGCGGCCTCGGCGAGCTACTGCCTGGAGGGCAGGCAGAGTCCCGCACAGGGTCCTCTCTCAAACTACTCCGGCCGAAGCGAATGGCATCTGCTGCTTGCTTGCAATTCGGGCCATCTCACGTTGGCCTTGCTAAGCTACCAGTTTTTGGCGCCCATCCGACACGGAGACAAGTGTGTGTCATGCTGCAAGCAAATGTTCAGAGCTGTTGGTTCTGTAGATATGCCACTAGCTGGCTGCTAGCCACATTCCGCTGCAGTGATCCAGGTCGGGAGTCGCTTCTTCCGCTTGTCCTCACGTGGTGTGGTCATCAACGAGCGCATCTTTGTGAAGGGGCCGACCATTGTGGCAGCCCGGGCTTGAAGGGAAAGTGATGATTTGATCCCACTTGGCGTCCCTGCCCCCTCCCCCTGGGCCCCTGATGGATGACCATTGGCCAACAGCCGGCTGCAGGCAAAGAGAGTGCAAAGCAAGTGCAGTGACTTTTGCAGGGCGCCATAAGCATTGCCCTTCTGTTTGCACTTCCGTGTTGTTGTGCCAGAGACGTAGCCGTGGCCAGTGAAGTGCAGACAGGTATTAATGCCCATGGTGCACGTGGCGGCCAAGAGCTTCTTCGATGCCACGCTCAGAAGCACTCGATTTCACCAGTTCGATGCAGTCTATCATGAGGGCCCGCCGCCAGGGTGCACAGCCGCTAGGTCCGATTGTGCTGATTCATGCATACTCATGCTACAGCATTTGGTCGTTTCTTTCACGGTTGCATGTCTCTTGCAATGCCATGGCAACAAGACCAAGGATGATCCTGCTTACCCGACTTGGCGCTTCACGCCCTCCCTTCGCCACGCATCTCCCTCTGGGGCGTTCCTGGAGCTGTCCGAGGCCCAGAGGTCAAAGCAAAGCAGAAAAAACCGAAGTTGAGGTCTCGAATTCTGAGCCAGGGAGCAAAGTATGACTAGGTGTTTGCTCAAGCCGCGCAGTTTGCAGGTGCTGGATAATTTGGTTTCGAGTGCCGCTAGCCGTGAGCAACAAGATGTGCAAGATGCTGGGATGGCAGCCCTTGGCCCTGCAGCCAGAGCCAATGTGCCTTGTCTGAAAGCTCAGCTCCCGACCCCCAAATCTTCCGTTGGAGAAGCTGCTCAAAGGCGTCCATCAACGGAGATTCCGCGTTTCGAGTGCACCGACTCCACCAGCGTGGTGGAGACAGCACTCTTCATGGCAAGCCTTCACCGCTACGACCCGAGGGCTGACCGCCTTGCTGCTTGGATAACCTCCTTTCCGAGAAACCTTCGGCTATCGGAAATCTCCCTCTGATCCCAGCTGAGCCGAGGTCGCCGCGCTGATTGAAGCTGCGCCGGGACGGTATGCAGTGCCGTGGGGTTTGGCTCACATGCGTCTCCGGCACGATTGGAGCCAAGCCATGAAGACAACCACGTTGCAGATGACTTGCAACAGTTCATGCCAGTTAGGGTTGTTTCCCGCGCAGGCGGTACATCGAACAGCAGCTGCGCGCTAACGGCACTTTTGCTGCAGTAGTAGCTGTCAGCCGCAACATTGGATTATCGAATTGTCAGAGGAACTAAGCCGGCCGCAGACACTAGGCTTTGCACCGTCGGAAGAGTTCGATCAAGAACACACTGCCTGCAGCTGGGGCACCGCGATTTGTGCTCATGTGCAGCGAGGCGGCAAGAGTTCTTACGTTCTGAGTGACCACTTTCGCGTGCGTCCGGAGACATACTTCGGCATTGTTCGGCATCTAAGTACAAGTTAGTTTCCGGGTGAAGCCCAGTGTGCCGAAGACATTAGAACGATGACAAGACTTGTCCCAATCGCAGCTACCGAGCACGACATGGTAAGGATGATCTGGATTTGGTGGTGGTTCCTGCATGCAAGTGCAGACGCCTGGTTCATCTGGCACCACACGGGCTACATTGTCATCAAAATGCCACTCTACTGGCTGTACCTTGGGTGCAGTACTTTTGGCTGAAAGATGTTGATGCGTTGAGCCAAACTACTTCTAGCTTGTTCGATCTATACCCTTGACGGTCTTACTCCCACGTTCCAAGCCGCCCTTATGTTGAGCTTCTGCATAAATCGGCCGATGCTCATGACATTCATGACAGACCATGCCTCGTGCTGCAAGCAGACCGCCAGCTCTATGCTTGACTTCGAACTTTTTCATGATATACTAGTTTACTAATATCACATGGCATATAATGTCAGTGCCTGGACCGAGGTGCCACGCCACCTTGCGCATTGGCGACTCTGCCGTGACCCACGAGCCAGCACCTCGCAGAAACTCCTGGTGCTTGAACTTGGTTCGGTAGCTCTGGTGTTACGAGGTTCGAGCTTCACAGTCGTTGTCGTGGGAGCTTGGTTTGATGACTGTAGACTCGCAGTGCCACAGGATGCTACACGCGACCTTTGCTTGCGAATGCTCAGGGGCGGGCGGAACCAGTGGCCAAAGAAGCTGGCGACATTCGCGCGATGCAGAAATGGGCAGTGGAGTGGGGAGGGACTTGTGCAAGTCAGGGTGCAGATTTTGAAAGTTGTGGCTTCTGCTGGAGTCAGTGGTGGGCCTTTGTGCATCGCTTAAAAAAGTCGGAATTCAGGGGTCTGCCTTCGGTCATCATCGTATTGGTGAGGTTCGCAGGCATTTTGTCTTTAGCTTCCAGTCTAGAAGTTTTGCCAGGCGGCCCTCGTGGCATCCTGCCTGGGCCGACTGAGGCCTTGGCTGGGCGTTCGGTCGGAAATGAGGGGGACACGGCATTAGCACACTGTGTGCATCTGACACGATCCTTGGAGAGAGCAGTGCAGTTTAAAGCTGCAGGGTTTGTGCACCAGGCAAGCAGACGACGTTTTGCTCAAAGGCCGGGGAGATTGGCTCTTGTGCTCCAGTGAACTCCAGTGTGTCTGCAAGCAGAAGCTTCATAAAGTGTGAAAGAGCTCCCTAGACCCCTGCCCACCTGAGGTGCCGAACGGGCTGTTTGCGCCGCTTCCACAAAGGCCATGTCCGGCACGGACAGATTTGCCGTCGGGGCAGCACGGGCAGTTTCGCAAGGGTCATCAGAACGTCCGGTCAGGATCCGAAAGCCTTGATCCAATGCTCTATGGTGTTGCACGCAAGGAGCCCAGTGCACCTGACAACCAGTCTCATGAGAACGGCCTGTGCAGCTTGAGCGGCGGTTGCCGCAGCTGACCGGCAGTTCTTGGTCCTGTTCGCTTACCAGATTTCACCGCTATCCACCACTGCGAGATTTGTGTGTGTGTGTGTGTGTGTCCAACCCTGTTTCGAAGGGAGAGAAGTAGGCAGGGGGTGCCAGGGGATTGCAGAAGGCTGGCACCAACGAAGACCTTTCTGCTTTCCTGTGAAATCGACTTGGGACGCCAAGTCGACGTACCTGCAGCTTGTGACGCCCTCGATCCTTTAAGCCGTGCAATGTTTTTACAATTCTAATAACTTCAAGAAGCTGACTCTTCTGACTTTGAGAGTGTGATTCGAGACCTGCGACACGATGTGTCAAGTGTGCTTCACAACGGCATTCCCTATGGGCGCCGTGTCTCCCAGAGGTAGCTCTGGCGTTGACTTTCCCGATTGACTGTATAAGCATTGGATGACTTTCCCTGACTCTATATCCGTGCTTGCAAGCTGACTTTCTCAGTGAGTCTTCACCGAATGCTTCTACCGAAACCTGAATGCTGACTTTTCCATTGACTGTCTATGATCAAATCGACTTTCCCGAATCTGACTTTTTCGCTGACTTGTCGCAGGTCTTTGGCTACAGATTGAGTACCTGAGCTGTACTTCTGGGTAGTTGCTGATCAGTTTGCCATGGATGCTTCAGGAAAGAGACGCAGTACCCGCACATCAACCCCCCCCCCTCCTCCCCCACCTCCCCCTCCACCCTCCTCCTTCCCCCTTCTCCCTGTGCCTCCCCCTCCCCTCCCCGCTTCTGCCCCTGCCCCCGCCGGTGGTACCACAGCGAAGTGGATTCCACCCCCCCCTCCCCTTCCCCCTCCCGCCTTCCCCCCTCCACCCCCCACTCTTGCAGTTTGCCCGGCGCCTGCTTCATCTTCTTCTTTGCCGGTCCCTTCTGCATCCAATGTTGGAGCGGGAACTACAGATGTAACTCCTACCTTGATTGCTGCACGTGCTGTAAATGATCGGCAGGTTCTACAGCAAGAGGTTCCTCCTGCAATCACTCTTCATGCAGACGGCACAGGTTTCCGGTTGTCGTTTCGTTCGGTGGCTGATTTCGCTGAATACTCAGCGATCATGTCGGCAAACTTGACACATGTCCGAGGCCACAGAGATGTGTATGCTGGCCTCAACAATTTGCTTGACATTCAGCAGTCTGTTGTTTCTCAACAGAATCAGTCAATAGCATCTGGTCAGAGCCAGCAGTCAGCCATCACGTACCAAACGGATGATTCGTCCCAGCCAACAAAGCGACTTCGGCAAGTTCCTGGAAGCGAAGTTTCTCTCGTTGCAGACCCTAACAGCATTCGACTTCGTGCAATTTGTGATCAGATTCCTGGTACTCATGCAGATCGCGTAGGGTGGCAGCTCAGTGCGGACCAGACTTACGTCTTTCGAGTTAGACCCTTGCAAGACTCGTATGAGCATTTTGAGAATCGATCTCTTCTCAAAGGGCATGTGGAAGTTGAGTGGGAGCAAGATTCAAACTTCTTCGTGATTCCTGAACTTCGTGGGTTGGAAGTGCGCGATGAAGAAGCGAAGCTGATACGCGTGTACTCATCTAGCTTCAATTGGGTCGCATTATACCCCATGTTTACTGCTCTACGTCACTTGATCAGTTCCAGCCCTGGCCGTATGAAATCGGCATGTGAGATTTCGACAAAGATACAGGCCAATCTTGAGTTGCAGGTTCCCAGCTCTTTGATGCAAAGCACGGCGGACTATCTGATCAGCCTGTTAGGTCTTCCTCCCCACTCTGTCAATTCGACAGCACTGAAGTATGTCTCTCAGGCAATTGCAGCAGCTGACCAAGCCGCAAACATTCATTCTGTGGAGCTTCGTTCTTTGTCGAGTTCGTGCAAGTGCTTGAGCATCCACTTCACCCACTTTGAGAGGACCATGATCAGGTCGCATACTTCTGCAGCAGGGATTGCTCGTTCTCCTGTTGCACACAACACAACAGTGGCAGCGGCTGCATCAATCCTCCTTGAGGGAGCGATCCGACCATCTTGGTGGGATGCTAGTGACAGCAAGTGGTCCCCACCAATTTCCTTCTATGCTAGGGCTCACACTTCAGATGCAGAACAAGCACAAGAGGCAGCGGCCAAGTACGGTGGCATTCTGAGTGAGCGTCCGGTGTGCATTTTCGGACATGCATTTAATCGTCAAGGATCCCTCACGCCTCCCCACTCAAGAATCCCCATGGGAGGGGTTGAAGGTGACCATTCCTGCAGCTACATTCGTGATGTTGCCCGTGCCAAAGATGGCAGATGGGTCTTTCGCTCTTCATGTTTCATCCCGGAAGAGCTTCTTGTTTTTTGGAGGGTCTGAGTGCAACATGCTGCTTTGACCGGCCACGTTCTCAAGTCTCTTCCGTTGTCACCTGCTTTGCACGTATACATGTGTCGAAAACATGCCAGTTAAGATTGCGAGCTGTGCCAGTAAGGGACGTGCAAGTGTGTTGCAAGGGACGTGCAAGTGTACTGCAAGTGAAGTGTCAGCGATAGTGCAAGGGTCTGCGTCGGAAGTGCAAGAGAGGAGCAAGTGTGATGCAAGAGTTGTGCAAGTGATGTGCAAGTGTTGCAGTTTGGCAGCAACTTGAGCAGGTTTGTTTGCCTACGGAGCCTTTTGATTCGAAGTGTCGTTAGCGATTCCGCGCACTCAGATTTGTCGATAGATCTGAAACCATGGCATGGAATGGGCAGTGGGACACCAGCACAGGGTACGGGAGGTCCCAACAATCGTGGGGTCAGCACCGCTATCAGCCGTATAGCTCGGGAAGTTGGACTGATCCCAACCTCTTCAAGTCTGCACCTGCTAGTCAGCCACCTCCACTACCTCCGCCTCCACTTTCTTCGGCACCTTCATCTTCGCCGTCTACCCCCATGCCATGTCATCAAGGTCCTGGTCTTGTTCCTGCACTACCAAATGGATGGGCGTCAGATCGTGATCATTATGATTCAACGGTGCTTCATGGGTTGTCCTTTCGTAAGTCCATCGAAGCCACCCCGTGGTCGCGGAAGAAAGGGATCGCAGGAAAAGACCCACTCAGCATTCCTGTTCAGGAATTCCTGTTTCATGGAGTTTCAGATTGGCGTCTTCGAGCATTGAGTCATGGCAAGTTTTTCAGTGTTGTGCCAGTTGCTACGGTTGCCGAAGCAGTGTTCATGTCGCAAGTGACGAAGAACCTTCGAGATCGCAAAGTTGACATCGATGCAGTTGCTACGCATCTCTTTCAGGCCGCTAATCCATCTACAATCATTCCCAACAAGAAAACGGATTGTGCAGCTCTGTTTCAGCCGATGGTTGACAAGATCGTTCAGCTCATGTTTGACAACATGCCGGTGTCTGCAGGCGTCGATCAATCTCAGAAGTTTCTTCAAGTTACGGAAGAGCCGAAGCCCTGAACGATCACAAAGCCCGACTAAAGGGATCAGGAGAGGGGGACGTCGACAAGTGGATCCAGAGCTTCAAACGACCCCTAGGAAAGCGCTTTGTCGATTTTCAAGAACACATTGTGTCTGTCTCCAAGCTTGTGCAAGAAGACCAAGAAGTCCAAGAAGTCAAAAAGGCTGAAAAAGGACCGGTCACCAAATAAGTCTCCGAAGTCCATGAAGTCTAAGAAGGACAAACGTGAGCGTTCACCTGTTCCCTCTGAAGCAAGTGATATCACGCTTGGGGATCCGATGCAGTTTCACCGAAATCCTGCAGCACGGTCAAAGGCTTGTGCAAAAATGCTGGTCAGAGCTAACCTCCGCTGTGCTTGCCATTTTTGGTATGGTGCACAGTGTCCCAACCGAAACGTTTGATTCTTATTTTGATTTGGACACCGGAAGTGTACAGGATTACATGTCACTTGCTGAAAAACTACCAGAGCAAGAGTTGTGCCCCCGTGTCCTGGAGTACGCGTTCTTCGTTCAAGCAGAGTGAAACGTGAGCAGTTGCGTCTGTGTGCCAGTGTCACTGCAAGGGTGTTGCAAGGGATGTGCAAGGGACGTGCAAGTGACGTGCAAGGGATGTGCAAGGGATGTGCAAGTGACGTGCAAGTGATGTGCAAGCAAGGGTTTGCGTCGGAAGTGCAAGAGAGGAGCAAGTGTGTTGCAGAGTAACATGTCAGAAACGTGCAAGTGCTGAGCATCGCAGTGTTTTCAGCCAAGAGACGAGATCATCTGTGTAAGCAAGCATGCCGACGGTGCCACCTTCGGATCCTAACATCGATGAGTTCCTGAGAGCGCTCACTCATTCAGCGCGTGTGAGATTGCTCAACTTTGTATCACGACCTCAACTTCGTCAAGCTCTCGTACTTCAGTTGACAGCTTTTGTGCGTGACGGGACAGAAAGAATGCTGCAGCAAGAGTTGCGTCGCTTGGATGAGAGGGATAGAGCAAACCTGCGTGAAGAACGTCCTAGCAGTAGCGGAGCTTCAGGATCACGTTCGTCCAGATCCCACCCCTATGCACCTCCATCCTCTCTGCCAACAACGAGGAGTACACCGAGTGCAGGGAGCGACAACCCTTCGTCCAGTTCTGCACCTCCCCCCCTACCTCCCCCTGGCCCTCCCCCTCTTCCCCCTCCTCCCCTCCCTCCCCCTCTTCCCCCTCCCTTTTTCCCCCCGCCCAGTGCCAGTGCTCCTATCTTTCCACCCCCGGTACCACTAGCAAGCTTGGAGCATCGTGTGTCTGAACCTCCTTTGGTGTCCAGTGCTGCTTCGTCGTCGGCCGCACCTACATCTTCAGCTGCGTCAGGTACTCCGATTAGATCCAAACCTATGCCTACCAGAAGACGTGTATCACGCCGATCTCGACGCAGTCAATCGTCTGATCTTAGCTGAGTATGCCCGATGTGACAGGATTTCACTTGTATCTGTAACGCATGCGAGTGCTGAAGTGAGAAAAACTGTGCAGTGGACGCCAGTGCTGAGAGTACTCGTTCATTCGTGTTGTGGTACACACCAGAACAGTGTTGCAGCACCCTGCTCAAGTCTCGTTCCATTGCGCTAATGTCGAGCAACTCAGCGTGCGATCCGTTGGCACCTCTTCAACGCTGGATTTCCTACACACAACAGGAGCTGATCACAATCAGAGGTGAATTCCGTCATTTTCGCGAAGAAGCATTGTCCGTCCAGAAGATCCAACAAGCCCAACTCGACGTGCTCACCACACAAATCAGGGACACTGAGGCTCAGGTGGCGGAAGTCATGTCCGCCACCACAGAACTGTTTCAGAAACTTCAGAAGACCAACGAAGTGGTGGGGAACTTGCTGACGGATTTGCATTCTCTTCAATCTGTGACTACTCATTGCGTTAATTCTCTTCAACTACAAGAAACAACAGAGTTGCCCCCAACACTTCCAGCAGAAATTGAAGTCTCAGAGTGAAACGTGAGCAGTTGCAAACAAGCGTTTGTGTGCCAGTGTCATTGCAAGGGTGTTGCAAGGGATGTGCAAGGGACGTGCAAGTGACGTGCAAGGGATGTGCAAGGGATGTGCAAGTGACGTGCAAGTGATGTGCAAGCTCCTGCTTAAGGTGAAAGAAACTAAAGAGTGCGCGTGTGCGGTGCTGTGCATCTTCAGGTTTCTGCATGAGCCGTCTTGAGTTGCAGCATTTGACATCCAGTGAAATTGTGTAGGTTGTCCAACATGAAGCGCAAGGCTCGCGAAGCCAATTTGCCTTGGAGTACGAGCCGCGACTACAATTTTCGGATGTGGGTTCGTGTATGCAGTCGGGCAACCGGACACGAGACTATTATTCTCCACATCCAGTTATCAATCAACGATTCCATCAACGTTGCCAAATACCTTGTCGCGATGCAGCTCTGGGAGAAGTTCGGCTGGTGGCCTAGGCTGCACACCTTCCAGCTTGTACAAAACTTTCGTCATCTTCGGTTTACAGAACCTGTTACGACTGCTCAAACCCTCGAACCAGTCGATTTCGTCGTTACGGTATAAAAAGAGCCCACCTCTGTGTTAATTCAAGAGCAGTGACGAGCAAGGGATGTGCAAACGGATTGCAAGTGATGTGCAAGCGGATTGCAAGTGATATGCAAGGGTGTGCGAGGTATGTGCAAGTGCAGTGCAAGGAGTGTGCAGAGTAACATGTCAGAGACGTGCAAGTGCTGAGCTGTCGTGAGCTGCTCTCATCAGACATGAGTTTTGCTTCAAGCACTCGGAAAATTGTGTAGACCCCGAACATCATGGATTGGGCTGCGTCTGACGTGCTCGACAACATCTTGATGTACGTGTTGCCGATCAGAACCAGAATCACATTCATTACCCGTCTCGATCCAAATGATGACTCAGAAGAGGCACAACCCATAACCGACACCATGGTGGCGTACACTTTTCTGCGACGTGGGATACAGGAGTTTCGACTGTCCTCTTCGGTTGAGTGGACCATGGGCTTTCAGTCTTTGCATACCACCATCCGTTTTGCACAAATCAATGCCGCGGCATGCACCATGTTGAGCAGCCCGTCAAAAAGGTGGATGAGAGCTGTCGTAGACCTAGTACAGGAGCGTTTGCGAGTGAGTATTGTGTCACTGGCCAGCGTTGCGTACCAAACTGCAACTCAGTGTTGCATGTACTTCGATGCTGATGCGGAAGAAGCAGAAGATGAATTGCACTTAGTGCATAGACTGCGCTTCCTGAGGTTTCGTAGCCCACTCTCCTAGGTTTCTTGAGCATAAGACTCTCCCATGAAATTCAGTGAAAAAGCAGCAAAGGATGTGCAAGGGACGTGCAAGTGACGTGCAAGGGATGTGCAAGGGATGTGCAAGTGACGTGCAAGTGATGTGCAAGCTCCTGCAATGAGCCCGGTCGGGCTTGTGTGTGTCCAACCCTGTTTCGAAGGGAGAGAAGTAGGCAGGGGGTGCCAGGGGATTGCAGAAGGCTGGCACCAACGAAGACCTTTCTGCTTTCCTGTGAAATCGACTTGGGACGTCAAGTCGACGTACCTGCAGCTTGTGACGCCCTCGATCCTTTAAGCCGTGCAATGTTTTTACAATTCTAATAACTTCAAGAAGCTGACTCTTCTGACTTTGAGATTGTGATTCGAGACCTGCGACACGATGTGTCAAGTGTGTGTCCTCTGTGTGTGTGTATCTTCGCCTGTTGGCTGCTACAAATTCGTGTACGCATGCTTGTGTCTGTCTGGCTGGCTGGCTGGCTGTCTGTGTGTCTGTCTGTGCGTATTTGGCTCTTGTTTACATGCTGTTTCATGTCGAGAAAACCTGCGTGCTTTGAGTAAGTGTATGCCGGACTCTTTGAGGCCATAGCCACCCTTCGGCCGCAAAGACGCCCGGAGGCATCCAAGAAGGCAGTAATTCGCCGCGAGCACGGGATCGTCTTCAGTGCAGGCACTCGAAGAGATCCTTCTTGAGCTGCTGCAGGGCTCGTGTGGGCCCTGGCAGATCCAGAAAGTTACGTGCCAGGGGACATGATGCCTTGTGAGTTTCACAGACACACATGATAGACCTGTATGGCTTCAAGGCACCTCACCGACGGCGGATTGTGCCAGCAGGCCGCTTGTGGGGGATGCTGAGGAACGAATGGTCGGTGATATTCCGTGAAGATGCGACGTGCGCGGCAGAGAGATGCATGAGGGTCGAGGAGCTGGGGCAACAGGCCAACATGTCGTTCCTCGTTTCGGTCCGAGCTTTTGTCGAGGCTTTGCAGCGGAGTTGTTTGGCGATCCTTCAAGCAGAAGTGAAGTGGGCGGACGCACAGGCCGCACCGACGGTTGTATGGTTTCAACCTTAGGACTCTGCGGAAAGATGACAGCCAAATACAGCCGAGTTTGCCAATCCAGTTGTCCTGCACCACAGAAAGGACCGGCCATCTGCGTTGATTCGGTCCGTGGCTGAACGCTTACAAGGATGGGCATTGGAGTGTTTTCATAGTGCGGCTGCAGCAACAGCATCAAGAAGAATACTCAGACGAGCAAAAGCAAGACCAGGTGCCTTAAGAAGCAGAAGCAGGAGCAGGGAGACGGAAAAGCGATTAGTAACGAGAAATGCGATCAGAAGCAAAAGCACGAAATGAACAGCAACACCGACTGCCGCACCGCCACCACCTCCAACACCCAAGTCTCATCGACAGCAGCACAAAAAAGGCACTGGTGTTTCTAGCATCCTCACCGGTGAATGCAAGATTTCATTGCAACCAACCCTGCCACTAGTGCCGCCCGCAGCGTCATTATCATCATCATCATCATCATCATCATCATCAACATCATCATCATCATCCCCTCGTCATCCGCATTGTCATCATCATCGTCGTCTTCCTCCTCCTCCTCCTCCTCCTCCTCCTCCTCCTCCTCCTCCTCAGCATCAATAGCATCACAGGCATTTTCACATCAAGGCTGTTTTTCACTGCGAGTAGTCGAGTCGGTGTTTCACAGCAAGCAATTGACTGCGATCTTCAAGGACTTGCACCGGCAGAACCTTGGAGAGTTGGACGTGCAGGTGCCTGCAAGCGGTAGTCGTAGATGCTCGGCAACTTCCAACATGGGTGGTTGTCAAAATTAAGATCCCTGTTTGGGTCCCTACAATATGACGGCACCTGGTGTTTAGATTACCCAAAAAGGGACCTCAATTTTAACAACTACCCATATGGAAGTCGGATTCGGATGGGTTCGACATCGAAGGCCGCTGCCAGCCGTTCGTCGTATGCGATTTGGTGCAAGGCCTCCGCACAGCAGCGCGGGCACTGGGCCGCTGGGGCCAGCCGCTTAGACCCCCTTTGGGCTCGGGGTTCCTCCCAGACCAGAGAGTCGGAGAGCATAGTATGCAGTCTCAGGTCACTCCTGTGAGCCGCTGGCAGAAACTGCCCCGCGCTTCCTTGAGGCACTTGAAAGGCAAGCAGCTGCGCCTGTGTTGCATCGCAAAGTACTGTTCTTCGGTGTTGCTGTGGCTAGAGTCTGAACAACAGAACAAGAGCAGGAAGGCAATCAACAGTCAACAGGCTCCAGGAAGACTACGCTGTGCACACTGCGATTGCAACTCCTCGGATCCTGCAGGATGCTGTGCAAAAGTTCAGACCCCCAGTGTCTTGCTGCAGGAAATTGCCATCTGCTGAACGGGAGCATGCAGGCGGCTTGACAGCCTGCCCTCAAATTCCGTTTGCATGCCTGCGGACTTCCGTATCCGTCATAGTTCTGACTGCAGGGCTGCCGCCTTCCGTGCTGCTGGAATGCCTGGGGTCAGCAGTACCATTCGTCAATCACTCAAATGGAAGGCCAGAATGTCTGTGTTCCCGCTTGCAACTGAGGATCTCACGAAGCCTGTTAGGCACGGATTGAATCCCATCGTAAATTTCCAAGTTTTCGGGCCTTCTGCCCCGGCATCTTCGTTGCCGTGTAGAAGCAGGGCACCTTGATCAAGTAGACCTCAGGGAGATGCGGTGATCCGTCGGAGTCGAAAAGGCGGTCTGCCCAGAAGATCTTCAAGCATCTTGTGGAGAAGGCGGCAACCCTTCGCGCAGGCACCGCTAAAGGATAGGGTCTATTTTAAGTTTAGGGTCTTCCTTTGCAACACATCTCTTAGATAAGCCAATACGAAGTGTAGAAGCTGCCCACACATTGGGTCCTCCCTTTCCTCACGCTGCCTGTTCCATCATCGCCCCATGCAGTGCCCAGTTTTTATGCAGGCCGCAACAGACAGATTCAGTGTTGCTTTTTGGCATGAGCTTACTGAATCACGTTTTGTCGCATCTCAGCTTTTAGGAATAGCATGTTGTTAAGCTCACAGTATGGCGTCGCTGGACGCCAGTTGCTCAAGCCATCGTGAGACCATGCCCGAACAACCAAAGCGTACTCAGAATGTCGAGATGAAATCTCGGAGCAGGTCAGCTGGTTGCCTTGGCTGAGCTATCGGCACTATGGCAAGCTTCAGGTGCCAATTTCCGGCCGATAGGCGGCCAAGTGGTCCGAGTAGACTTGTGCGGGAAACTGAAGGTATGCATGACGAGGAGAGCGACGACGATGACCAGGCCCATAGCAGCATCTGCACTCACGGCCATGAAGCTTGTGAGTGCGGCTGTTCCGCGACCTTTCAGATGAAGAAGCCGCTGCGGCACCAGATCGCAAGCTTGGGAGCAGAGCTGCAACTTGGCTTAAAATTGGCTTGGAGTTGGGCGGCTTGGTTCCCTGTTGGGATCGAGTGCATCAGAATGTGGAGGTGTGGCAAGAAATGCTGTCAGCTACCGTAGGCACTAGGCAATCAGTCGTCGCTCCCAAGGTATCGGCGCAGTCGCGAGTTGCCGTTGCGGGCCATTCCTCGTGCACTGGCGGCCTCTCTGGCTGTGCTTCGAAGCCGCTCCCAGCAGAAACCGCGGTGTTTCACCATGGCAGGCCTTGTTGCAGCTCGTGCCAGGTGCCCAGCAAAGCCCGTCTTATGTGTAGGGAAGGCTGCTTTCCGCAATTGTTCGCTGAGGCCAGCCGAATCCCAGGAGGCTGACTTCCTTCCTTTGCTGCGGCGCTGCACCGGCCGACTGGGCTACCGACTAGGCGCAGCATGACCCACCAGAGCCGAACCGAACCAACCGGAACCCAGCCGAGTCTTTCTCAACTCTCGATCATGCTAGCTGCTAGCTAACTGCTGGCAGCACTGGAATTCCCTCCGGAGCTGATGCCTTCGACTGCTTGCCAGGTGAGCTGTTGGATGCAAATGCCGCCCAGCACGAGCGACTCGAGGACTTCGATATCGATGCGCTTGGTGAGGCAGGTCTGTGCGACCGAAGCGGTAGACTACGGGGGTTGCCGGTCGCACGGTGGAACTCCTTTGCAGGTGCTGTACGTCTGCGCTGCAGCGGGCTACACAGACGACAGCTTCTTGGAGACCAGCAGCCACCCGAGCCGAGAGTGCGAGTGCAGCATAGAAGTGCGTTTCAGGCAAGAGTCGGTGAACGAAGTTCAGGATGACTGCTGTAGTGCACGATTGAGGGGCAGTGGAGCTTCTGCTAGATGCAGCCAGCCATAGTCAGGCAAGCGATGGGTGCTCCACGACAATGCTGCGGATCTGAAGGTTCCTCTGAAAAGCAAGCGAACACTCATGATAATACGACGAGCTTGCACGTAATCTGGGGCATTGCCTGGAGATTGCTGTCTTGCAAGAGTCTTGCGAGGAGATGCGTCGCAATGTAACGGCCATCCATCTGCTGCACTCCTTCTCACTCCTGAAGGCGGCTCCTACGACATTGAGTTGGGTTTGCACGGCAGGCTCAAACGTAGTTCGTGATCGAGGTACCAGCTGCATTCTGCATGACCACTAAAGATGAAACGAGACCGTTGGACCAGCTCGGAGTCGAGAGAGGACTCGTCACTTCCGTGCCTGGGGGCAGGAATGTAGACACGTGGTTTCAGCATTCTTGGATTTGACAATCAGAGGAAGAGGCAGTCGTGTCGACGTTAAGCCCTCGTTGCCAAGTGAGCAAGTCTCCAAATTACCAGACGGGGAATCGTACCCCGGCCGAAATTTGGCAAGGTCGCGCGCGGCGACTTGCTCCACAGGCTCGTGGCAGAGGCTCGTAAAGTAAAGATGCTGAGTGGATTTCACATTCATCTATACTGGCCGTCGGGCCAGCCTGCTGCGACATGGGGACACATTGACAACCCTGTAATCCGGACCATAGAAATTGGCAAAGCCCTCAGCAGCATCTCATCATCCGTGTCGGCCCAAGCCAAACCAAGTAGTAGGTTATGATCACTGAACAATCATAGGGCACACCCCTCCAACTAGCAGGCAAGAAGTCGCGCCTTTGCAGCAGCCCGTGCCAGGCGAAGGGGAAGCTTGAGCAGTTCAGCGCCTTCGAGGCTCTCAGGGGGATTCGACCACCAGACGCTCTGTGAAAGGTGTTGCAAGGCAAGATCTGAGGCTGAGGTTGTACAGTGCTAAAGCGAACGCTGCCAGTCTGACATGGAGCTGCTGATTGGAAGAATAGTCAGCTTGCCGCGGCCGTGCGATGCCCTAGTCGAGACTCGCTCCAAGGTTCTTGGGTTCCTCGATGCAGCGGCTATCTTGCAGGCCGAATCGGACAAGGCCGTCCCATTTCCTGCCCAAAGCAGGGTTTCAATTTGAGCATCCTGTCTTCGTGCCTTTGCCGCGCAGCCTGTCCCGTCGGCCTTCATCTTCGACGAGAGCGACCAGCAGGGTCCTCCACCGTCCGGTATCGGCGCAGAGACCTCAGTCCATCGCGGAGTAGTTCTGTGGAGAGATGAGTGTGGGCGTGTATGGCGTGTCAGAGGAAAGCTGGTGATAGGCTCTGAATACGGCAATTTCCATTTCAATGAAGTCCACGTGTGACGGAAGATGACAGGAGGAAGCCTTGCATGCGGTATTGCAGCGACTCAGCGCTGCGGCCCTATCAGCATGACTCAGTCTCAAGTGGAGCCATGATTCATCGTTGCTATCGTCACTAGCAGGGAGTGGCACGAGAAAGAGTGGGTTGAACATTTGGAGGCGTGATCGCTCCTTCTGCAACGATGGCTTGGGTCAAGTGCGAGGATTTAGAGAGACGTCATTTCGTGCCCTTAGCTTTGGCCGAGGAACTCTTGCCCTTGCTTGATGACGAAGAGCTGCGGCTTGGACTCATAGTATTCCTGGAAACGCCTCTTCCTGCGAGTGCCGCAAGCCTCGCGCGCGCTTACGAAATCTTACGAACACATGCCTAGAAGAGGTGCACCGTAACCAAATGCTTCTCCACGTGTCACAGTCACAGTACATGATTCGAAGGTCACACTGCCCCAGCTGTTTTGTAAGACGCCTCTGCGGCTCTTGAGCAGTTCTGCCAGACTGCGGGGCAGCTAGGATCAGGAGTCGCCCGCACAGCATGTACAACTGTTGGCAAAGGTACACCTGCCTGAACCTCGCGTCCTCAATCAGACTTCCAGAAGGCTTGCAGCTGTGAGTTTAGGGGAGTTTGTTCCGCTTTTGCTGGATGCGCTGTTGTCGAGAGGATGTACGCTGTCCGACATGGAGCAGGAAGCAGCTAAACGCGGGATGCTTGAGGCAGAAAAGTGGATCGAATGTTCGAATCGTTGAGTGCATGTTTGCCGGCAGCATCCGATTGCCACCGAAACTTATGTTTGGCTCCGAGCATCCCAAGAGGTCAGTCAAAGCTCGATCCCTCAACCCTTCACGCAGCTTCGTCAAATGTTGTGCACCATGTGGTAGCTTCGTCCAAGGCCTACACAGGCCAAGTTGTCTGTGATACCGGCGCCTTCGCCATGTGCTGAAGAGCAGCCTCACGATCTCACGTGAAGCTGCCATCCATGGCAGAATGCGAAGTCTGGTGCTCTGTCTCTTGCACCGAAGCCTTGTAGTCAAGACACGGTGCGTAGATCAGAGTGGCACAGTTGCCTCATTTCCTTGCATGACGAGGTGCCCGCCGTCTGCTGCCCCATGTTTGGCCCTCGGCGATGCTTAGAGCACAAGGCCTGCCTATGGCAGAAACATGCAGAAACTGTGCAGGTTACTACTCGTAGTAGTGGTTGTGGCAGTAGGAGAAGTAGCAGCGGTACACAAGAAGCGGATGAGGTGCGGGGGAAGACGAGTAGGAGTTGGAGTACAAGTCAGAATAGTGGTGGCAGGAGAAAAGCAGATGTTAGATGCTGGTCCTACGACGACGACCGGCTGCTGTTACTGCTACTGCTGCAGCTACTGCTGCTACTACAATTACAAAAGCGACGACTACTACTACTACTCCTGCTGCTGTTGCTGCTGCTGCTGCTGCTGCTACTTTACTGCTGCGGCAACGACGACGGCAACAACGACGACGACTGCGACAGCTACTGCGACTGCGACCACCACTATACCACTGCGACGACGACGACTACTGCTACCCCTGGTGACCTGGTGCTCCTGCTGCTGGTGCTGCTGCTGCCGGTGCTGCTCCTGCTGCCTGGCCGCCACGACGACTGCCAACAATAGTAGTAATTATAAGAATACGGATAAGAATGAGGATGCATGCGCAAGGAGCACAGCAGGCCTTCTTCTATTCTGATGCATGCGTGTGCTGATGCATCGGGAGCTTTCTGAGCACTTCGTGCAGTCAATCTCAGGTTTGCTGGAAGCAGTGCTTCGCTTCGCGAGGTCGGGAGCAGTGCATTGGAAGCCTAGTGCTTGGCAAGAACCATGGCTTCATCACTTCTTGAGTTGGATAGAATCAGCTCTTGGCGAGAGTCTGTTGGGCCATTTGAGCGGCACGCAGGCCCGCGATTCTGGGAGATACTTCCAGTCGCAGATGCTCAGCGGCATGCCTTGCAGCACTCACCTCGGGCGCACCTATCTCTAGATGTGGTGTGGATTCAATTTCGGCGAGTGAAGCACGAGGTCAAGATATGTGCGCACGCGGGCTGGCCGTCAGACAGGTGCGCCTGCCAAGCCTGCCTAAAGGCCTAAACCGATTCTTCCAGTAAAGGCTGTGATGTATTTGTGCTGAGCAAGGGGGGCCGCGAGCCCCGATGCCAGAATCACGGCCAGAGGCAGAAGGGTTCCTTCAAAGCGCAGAGCAGGTCGGAGGTCTCCAGTTGACTTAGTCGTTTTGGCCAGTGCGAGTGTATTTGCTGCTGGCTGCGTCTGTGCTTCGAAAGTTTCTTTGTCGACTTCGCAAGAATTGTTTCGTTTGTAGTGACGCTGTCTGCTGCTTACAAACTGGTAGCAGTGTTGTATTTGATCGTTGTATGGTCTTGCAGCTGCCAGGGCTCGCCGAGCAAGTTTGCAGACCTGGAGCTGTCAGAAGCAACCCAGACGGCCCTGTGCCAGCCTTGGAAGCATCCGAGAGGAGCCCTTTCCCCCGCCACCGCCACCACCATGAGCCTCCGCAGATGCGTCATCGACGCCATCATCGAGCAGCCTCAGCGAAACAGTCCCGGATTCACATCTTTCGCATCCTCCTAAGCCTTCCCCCAACTCAGCTCATAACTGTGAATTGTGATTCCGACTAGTCGATTCACAAGGCAACTCAAGGCTTCCAGGGCGAAAGCGAGTTGTGACAAGAACTACTGTCTCGACTCAATGATACGGGATCACAACGATGATGAGGTTGTGGTTGTTGTTCTTGTTCTTCTTGATGATGTTAATGTTGATGTCGGTAGGATAAAAACAAAAGCAATGACGAGACTAATGATCATGGTGATGGCGACGTTTACTAAGAAGAACAGCACGACGCCGCCATTGCTATTACTTTTGGTGATGATGATGACGATGGTGGTGGCGGTGGCGGCGGCTGTGAGGGTTTGGGGTGCTGGTGACGATTGTGAGGTGGTGGTGCTTCTTGTGCTTTGGCAGCAGGCTCATGACCAATGATGACGAAGACGAGGATGATACCGATAACTTTGAATGGTTATAACATCCTATATGACGCTGAGGCCGAAGACGATTCTGACCATTATGATGGGATGTTTTTGCCGTAAGTTTCGCTTCCGTCATCGCCCCATTGGATGCAAACTCTGAACCATCACAACCAGGGCACCAAGCCGCAAGACAAGTTCTTTCGGTTCCCGTCGCCACTCAAATGGCCCTCAGGCGTGAAGGCTTTGGCTACCAGGAGCTTTCCCAGGTGCAGGCGCAGGCGGCACTATGTTTGTCTCCCGGAGCCAAATGTACGTTTATCCAGTAAGTTCAACAGGTGGCTGCGATCCATAGCGTACTTTGGTTTCACGATCAAGCTTCCAGTCGTGTGCCCATTATGGCTGGCTGTACTAGCAGATCATCTTCACAGTATGACTCCGCACCACAGCAGTACAACTTACAATAGTGTCCTTTCGCTGGTACCCAGTCTATGATGCAAGATGATGCACTAGCACCGACTCATCAGAATCTCTGACTTAGAGGTGCTGCCCATGGCCTTGGCCAAGAACTTCGACCTCGTTGTCCGAGCGTCCACTCCTCAGATGCCTCGCGGAGAAGAGCGGGTCAGGCAGATGCTCGAAATCGCCGCAGAGACAAGGCATACAGGCACTGGCAAGACGCTTGCCTTCCTCATCCCGGCCATCGAGGCCGAAGTAGGAGCAGCCAGACGATAAAGGCATGGGATGTGGACAAGCCACGGGGCCCAAAAGCAGTAGGCCAACCGTTTAAGGAAGGCGCGGGGAGACTGGAAAGACTCCTTATCCACCTGAAGGGATGCTACTTTCCAGACAGGAAAGCAGTGCAAAAATCACATCCCGACACCTTAAGAAATCCTCCCTTTCAGAAGCTGGCGGCGGAACCAGCAGGGCAGGGCGCACGGCTCCCAGGGGACGGGTTCAGAATGATTTGAGAACTTGGGCCTGTCATGCAGCCTGGCTCTAAGTGATGCGGGTGGGTGGCCCCTTGCGGCTTCATCCTTGCAACACTCTTGCAACCCGCACCGGAGGTTGCCATCCTGGTGGTGTCTCCAACAAGAGAGCTGGCGTTGCAGATTGGGCGCGAGGCGGCATGGGACTCCTCGATACTCCTTGTTTTGATGGACCGTGCCCATGAGGCGGAGACGCTCCTCTCGCTGCATGACATATCGTTGATGACCATGATCGGCGGCACCAGCTCAAGGCATGACCAGGCAGGTCCCGCTCCCCACGCAAGCTGCTGGACTTCGAGATTTGGGGACAGCTGAGTCAGAGGTGTCCTTGAGGCGGATCAAGCCTCGAGTTCTTGCCTTGAGCTCGGACAAAGCGTAGCGGCATAGCGAGCTGGCCGCGCTCGCTAGGCGCTAGCATGCTTGGGTTTGCTTGGCTTCGTCTGTTTAGAGCCCGGCCCGGCAAAGACGAGGTCTCGACCCCCGGGCGACTGCTTGAGCACCTGGAAAGGCAGGATGATCGTAGGGTCGGGCCTGGCTTCTGGTGGTCGATTGGCAGGACCTACCTGTTTGCCACCTTGGTCCAGAATCTTCAAACCTTGGCCAGGAGCTCATAAACTCATGGGTGGTTGTCAGAATTAGCGTCCCGTTCTGGGTCCTTCATATAGTACGGCACCTAGGATTTAGGATACCCGAAAAGGGGCCATAATTTTGACAACTACCCTCATGTACAATGTACCTTGCTATCCTTGAATGGCAATCCTGTCGGCCAGGTTTTACTCGGTGTCGTCTCATAGCTTTTGTAGGAATTGGCGCAAGGGGCCATCCATGTCCATGCTGTCAAGTAGCCGTCCCAGGTGCTCCTAAACCCCGAAGCTGTCATCCCAGCTGGAAGCCCCCAACCTCACCCTAGCCCCAGCCCGAATCTGGATATGCCCAGTGTCTAAACACCCTGCTCAGGCTTAACACCCAACACCCAAAAACCCTACAGGAACACATCAAACCCAAGCACGCAAAATCTAAAGGACCCCAAACCCTTGAACCCCAACTACCAAAACCCTAACCCCCCCTAAAGCCGCTAATGCCTGAACCCTAAAAACTATAAACCCTAAGTGAATACAAATGCTATAATATACTTTGATATACTATCATACACCATAACATATGCTCTAACGTACTATATCATACTAGAATATACCGTAACATGCCATAGCATACTGTAACATACTACAACATAAACATACTATACTGTATTAATGTACTACAATACAAGAAAAATGGACTCTGAGACTTGGGACATGTATTAGACCTGCCAGCGCCCAGGTCTTGGACGAGGCGGACCGGCTCTTGAGCCTGGGCTTCCTCCCAGAGGCCTGAGGTATCCCAGAATTCTATAGTAGACTACAAGACAAAAGAGCATAATAAGTAGAATATACTCTGATATATATATATATATATATATACACTATAATAAACTACAAGACATAAGAGTATAGTGAGTACACTATACTAAACGGCTCATGTAGTAGAATATGAGTATAACAGGCTGTAATATGACACGATATAGTACTTTTGTGTTTCCTCCTTGTTCCTAAGGGTCTGTACGGTTTCGAAAGGTTTGCGAGTTTTGGTGCGGACCTCCGGGTTTGGGGGGGCTCTGTTTTTTTGGTTTTGAGGGGGTTTAGAGAGTTTCAAGGATTCGGGATTGACTCGCAGCCGTTCCAGCAAGTCACACTGAACAGAAATGGTGCTTTAAGAACAATGAAGAACAGCAATGCTATCGTAGCGAAAGTAAGGCTATAGTACAGTACTATGCTAAGGATTGTATTGCACTTGCGCACCCTCGACACAACATTGACTGCACAATGTTACAGCTATGACAGCTCACTAAGTAGTGATTCTCAGCATAATCACCAACATTATCATCATCAGCATCAGCACGCGATGACTACGATGATG